ATAGTGCTAGGAGCTGTTTGGAGATTTATACCTAACTGAGGTCTGGCCTTGTGGATCAGTTGTTTTCCATGCCATCATTGCTGGCACTCATTTTTAAACTTCTCTGTAGCAGAAACTGCTATGCCAAAGGAGAGTTTGCTGCTCATTTTACTGAAGTGGCTTCCCAAGATCTTTCCGGACAACAGGAACTGTAGAGATCAGTGCAGACGTGCACTTACTATTTTTGATCATGTTCCATCTTGTGCAGTGAAAATTAGTGCTTGTTCCATTATAAACTAGCATATTCATAGAATCAGGCCACCACATCCTGAGTGAGACTACAGAGGGGGTTCATTATGCCAATTTTTTTCTCATGGGGCATTTGTTTCTGTGTTCCTCAAACTTGTCTGTTTCATATTTGTGCTACTAAAACAGGAAACTCAGGACAGGTTTATACTTGGGCATAATGCATATCCTGGTGACATAATTTCCATTCCTTGAGGGGGAAGAAAACTATTCTTTCTGTTCCCCATGTCAGGCCCAGCAGTGGAATTCAAGAAGCAGGCACTTTGTTACAGGGGAAGCTGTACTGTCTCTATTGCATACAAGAGCAGCATTCATTTTCCAGTTGTTGGTTATGGTTTGTTCTTCTCATGTAAGCCCATTTGCTTCTTGGTAACAGGTGTACAGGAGAAGCTGGGAGTCATGAACAAAGGTGTAGTATATGCCCTGTGGGATTATGAAGCTCAGAACAATGATGAATTGTCGTTCCACGAAGGAGATGCAATTACCATTCTGAGACGCAAAGATGATAACGAGACAGACTGGTGGTGGGCTCGTCTCAGCGACAAGGAAGGCTATGTGCCTAAAAATCTCTTGGGGGTAAGTTTTGCAGGCATCTGACCTCGTGCAGGGACAGGCTGAATGTAATGCTTTGCAGAAATCATCAGAATCACTTGGAAGTGATGGAAAGGTGTTTATTTTGAAATAGGAAAAAACGCCGCTAGGGTTTAAGCCACATCAACAGGATTTGTTTTGCCCCACTTCCTAATACAGTGGTGCCTTGGCTCACGAACTTAATCCGTTCCAGAACTCTGGTCGTGACCCAAATTGGTCGTGAGCCAAGTTAAATTTCCCCATAAGTTTCAATGTAAGTAAGGTTAAACCATTCTGTAACCATTTTTAAATCAGAAAAATGTGAAGCAAAGTGACAACAACGAAGATTGCGGCCATCTCCCCACCCCCACCCCCTGAACACAAGCGTGGCCATCTCCCTGCGCCCCCAGCACAACCGAGATCGCACCTGTCATCCCTGCAGGTGCCCGTCATCCCTGGGGGCGGGGGGAGACAAGCACGATTGCGGGCGCACTGGGGGAGGAAAAGATAGGCGCAAATGGCACGCTGGGGAACGGAGAGATGGGTGCAAACAAGGCGTGCTGAGGGAGAGATGGGCGCGAACGAGGCACGCTGGGGGGGGAGAGATGGGGTGATCTTGGCCATCTCCCCCCCCCCCATCCTCAGCATGATTACGGCCATCTCCCCACTCAGGCGCGGGGGAGATGGCCGAGATTGTGCCCATCTTTCCTGCAGGAGCACCCCTGTGATCATGCACGCCTTCCCTGCATGAAAGCAACTGCGATTGTGGCCATCTCCCCTCTTGGGGGGGGGGGGGGGAGGTGGCTGCAGTCTTGGTTGCCATGCAATGCAGAGTTTGCGACATAAGTCAAAATTTTAATGAAATTTTTGTTTGACCCGATTCGTTTGTGAACCAAGGTGTTTGTGAGCCGAGGTACCACTGTAGATGGAAATGATTTTGAACCCATGACACCCTCTCTCTTATTAGAGAGAGTAGAGTCAAATGTGCAGGGAAAATCACAGAACAGTCCTTGTACAATTATATTACATTAGGCAGCAGTTGAGAGAATTATGTATTTGCTCCCTGCACATTAAAATGCGCGCATCATAAAGGGGGCTAGGCTAGCAGCTTACAGCCTGTATCACTCAAGACAAAATCCACTGGCAGCTCTCCACTGTGGGCCAAAACAGACTTGATATGGATTGTTTGCTGCTAGCTCTGAATTTGGCAGGAGGAAGAGCAGGCAGGGTGGGAAGGAGTTTGCCTGAAAGCCACTTGCTCAGACAGATTTGTATTCTCTTTCAACTGCTTTTCCCCCACCATAGGAAGGAAAGCTGCAGGGGATGGGGTGGGAACTGATGTTGCTGCAATCATAAGTGAAAGTCTCCTCTGGCCGGATCAGAGTAAAATGTGCTTGGTTTAGCTCACTGCTTCTTCTCACACCAAATATGCTCTTTAATATCCAGGGAACTGCTGGCCATTACATATACCCTTATGGTTTCCGGTTCTTGCATAGCCCTATGAAACAATGTTCTGTAAATGAAACGTTTTCTAATCCATGAATTTGCAGTTAAAATACTTACAAGTTCCTGTTAAAGACTGTGTATTGCTATTGGTCAAGTTAATTTTATCTAGAGTGTTGTATAGTAGCTCTGTGTCCTAGCTTGTACATTACCATAATGGTGGGTTGTTTAAACAGAAATGCAGCATGCTGTCTCCCACCTTCTCACTGCATCCACTTTTACTAAATAACCTAGGAATTCCTCATTCCTTTGTTGTTTGCATGATTTCCAAACCCTGGATTTCAGATTTCATAACCAACAGTAAAACATGCCAATGAAAATGAAGCAGCAAGGAGTCATGAGGCAGTACACTCAGTCCCACATAGGTCGCAGATAATGCATGGGTCAACTGACCCACCTTCATAGAGAGGAATGAACTGGGACTTTATATTCTAACATAGTGGGGTCCAAGATTCCTAGAATTATGCATGGTACTACATGCATAATTGTTGGGCATAAAAGATGTTTTTGATTATGCATGTTTAATTATACTAACCTAGGAACAGTTCTTTAGCAACCCTGAAAACCTGTGCCTCATCTTGATTTCATTTTATTGCAGTTATACCCAAGGATAAAACCTAGGCAACGAACTCTTGCCTGAATCTCATCATTTGGCAATACAATATCTTGCTGGCAACTGGAAGATGAAAGTATACACTGGAGACATTTTCAATTACATTTTGCCAGAAGTAAAGCTGTACTTGTTTTAAATGGTGCTCTTGTTTAATACGATGGACAGCATTTGAGATTTTCAGTCTGCAATTTGTAAGTGAGGTCTGCTCCATGTTAACCTGATCAATCATTGGGAGAGGTACTCAGACATAGCCTACAGTATTTTTTGCCAACTGAATATAGAAAAAATCCTTGTGCTAGCCATTAAAAGCTTTGCAAAATGCAGATATGCTGTCTGAAAATTTCTAGTCCACAGTAACTATCCTGACATGTCAAGAACTCTACAATTAAAATTGTCAATGGAGTATTGAGTTTACTGTGTGAATCCTTAAAGGTCATGGCAACAACAGTTGACATCTGGCAGTTATCAAGTCTTCTGGTATAAAAGGTGTTACTGACACAAGAGAGGAACATCAAGGCTGAATGGATTTTGCACACTTCTCAAAACTGCACTTGTTCCTTCACTTGATGTTTTTTCTTGGTATTCTGCTTACAGCACCAGTTTAGCTTTCCCACATTCCATTACACTTTCTCAACACACACCTTGAATTCCATCTTTTGAGCAAACCTGCATTCAGATTTAAGGGATTTGTATGTCTATCTGGAAGAAAAGTGCAATAGTTGAGAAGGGTAAGAGTCAGGTTATAAAAAGTTAAAGGGTCACTTTGAGGACCTGATCTGTGAAAGTAGGATGACTGAAGAACTGAATAAAAAGGTCAAGCTGGTTGTGTAGAGTGAAGGGGAGAAAGAAGAGACTTATGGCAAAAATGATTTGTTTGGGCTGGGACAGTGTCTGTGGTTCTTGGCAGCCCTGCACCTTCTGTCAGGGTGAGTTATGCAATAACTTGAACCACTATCTAGTTTCACACAAAAAAGCACTTCACTGGAAAATTAATTGTACATGATTTTATATACAGAAGTCTATTTTGAACTTCCATTACGTTGTAGCCACATGTTTTATAATTTGCTCCCAGTAAACTGTAGGCCAATTGGCTTTATTCATGTACACGTTGTGCATAATTTATATCCATCAATGCAGTGCTGTAACTTGCTTTTACCACTGTTTAGCATTAATTGTATATATTGTGGTGATGAGAAGTGAAAAGATATTGTAAAAGAATATTTGCTAAATGAATGTGAGTTAAACGCCTATGATACACTGCTAATCCAGTGTGCACAATAAATTACTGCTACGGCATGGATGTGTTTGCAGGTGTTTCTATTCCAAAAGATCTTCAGGAGCATTCACTGGAAATATCTAATGTAAAATGCATTCTGTTTCACATATTTGATATAATCTGCATTTCCCAAAAAGAGGGCCTACTTTGTTTGAACTGGCCGTCTTGTTACATTGAGAAGTTTTTACTAGTAATCTACAAAAATGAATTGTAAACTACAATTCTCATCAAGTGGCACTTAAATGTTAAGTCTTAAGACACAACAACACCAGGCTTATATAATCTTCAGTTTGCCTCTGCAGCAAGGCAGTTTTTCAAAACCATGTCTCCGGAAGGCCATTGGAAGTCCCTTGGAACGGACAGCTGAGTCAGTGCTGCATTTGCAATGGTGATAAGAAGGGTACAGCTTGTACTCTTGGCTGGTACACAGCAATGTCAGGCCTTACAAACGTTGGTATGAACTGTGTACCATATGCATGGGTTGCCCTGCAGATAAGCCAACTGAGAACAGCATTTGTGAAGACAGAATTTGACAACAAATAGCTTTCACCAACATGGTTTTATGTGCAACTTTGCCCATAGCTTTTCTCCTATAGTAATCTATTACCTTGCCACAGTAGGAAAACTTCTTGTGCTTGCCTTGACTTGATTGTCTGCATTGTAGTCAATTTGAGATTCGTTCGAAGACTAGTGCAGCACCGGTTTGCTCATTACGCAGGCTAGCTAACATCAGGACTACCAGAATGACATATGTAGTGTTTAATAAGTTTTTATTAGCCAAAGCTAGAATTACCACAAAGCATGAATATAAAACTTCAAAAGTCAGTCTTGCTTGAAAGCTTCATTCAAAAAGAGACTTAAACAGGATAATTTGTGGTATTTGGTAAATCTTATTTTACAAAAAAAAGTGTTTAATCTCAAGATACAAACCCTCACCACAAGAAACAGTGGCTCCTAGAAAATAATACCCAAGGCAGATTTCATAGATCACTTGGATATGAGGAAAAAAAACCTGAGATCTACACACCTGAAAAGCTATTCTCTGGAGCATTAAAGTTTGTTTCTTTTTTCAAAATGAATTACACAGTATACATAATCTGTACTACAAAAGTTGTGCTATGTATTTTGCAGTAGTGCAGGTCACACTTCATTTTACATATTAAGTGCTGACAAAATTTAACAAAATAAAGTCATAGATGCAAGGCTCTATTTAAAGCATTAATAAACTGTATACATATTGCACACTAAATAAGTGAATACTTATAGGGCAAATACATTGTAATTGGCCAGTGCTTACATGATGAACCACATTTAGCATTGGAAAAGGGCAGGGAGAATCCCTATTACCAAGTATGTATTACCATGTGTCAACTAGCAAGTAGTAGAAAGCTTATTCAGAGAGCTGATCTTTTCCCCTCAAGTCAGAGAAACTGTTATTGGTCCCGAGATTCATAAAGAAGTTTTGCTGCCTGCAAGAAGACAAAGCAACATTAATAATTAAAGCAAGCCACTTTGCTTTGACTAATTCCTCAGAGCCAAGTTTTTTTCAGGAATCTCCTGAGGTTGAACACTGTGTCTGTCCTAAATATTTTACAATACATTAACAGTACCAAGAAATAGAATCACTATAACTGGAATAAAGGATTGTTAAACACAAAATTTCATTATTCACAAACAAGCTCAGGGGAAACAGTTCTAGAACAGTTCTCCCTCAGATCAGTAGCTGTTTTCCTTGAGGTTACTGTACTATTAAATACCTTTTTGAGCACTTGGTGAAGAAACTGCACTAACAACACACCAATCTGTCTTCTGCTTTGTAAATATTAACCACATTAAGAATCAATTCACATGTGCTCTTAAAATGGCACTAGGCATTAGCATCTTGGTCCTCCATGAATTTGTCCATCATCTATGATGGCTACGGCCTACTTCCAAGTTTAGAATAGCATGCCTGGGGCAGCAGCAGCAGCTACCACAGCAAGCTACTCCCATGTCCTGCTTGTGGGCTTTTCATAGCCATCTCGTTCATTGCTGTGGAAAACTGGATGCTGAATAACTGCCTGACCCTCTAAGAGGCCTGGCATACTGCCTTACCTTATGCATGGCTGCTAACCAGGTAGCAGATAACTTCTTGTTGGAACTGAAATCTTCACCAGCAGTAAACTTAATCTGTTTTTCCTCCAGCCCTGGTCCCTTGTACTGAAGAAGCATACCTGTAGCACGAGTATTGCCTCCTAAAGAACAAAATTAATAGTTATTAAAAAAATGTGTTTGTGCACACCCTAGCTGTACATTAAATGCAAGGGTATTACCAATCTTTTAATGCTTCGTTAAATCTCACATCTCTTCCTATCACAAACAGGTGAGAGATGTCACAAAGAATGTAGCGTTAAACCCTAAAAAAGGAAGGTGGGTAGTGAAGTAGTGAGACAAAGCCAAAAGCACTGTGGTTGAGCAAATATCCAGCTTTCTCAGACTAGCATTAGGTAGATCTGCACATTGATTTAGCCATTCTGCAAATAAGCCACAGTGGGTTGGCCATATGCTTAATAACACATGGTACTAATGATAATCAGTCAGGCTTACCATGGCTTCTCCTCCTTGGTGCTGGTATGCATCCCAGCACTGTTCACCCATCCTATTTCCCAGTTCCTGCTACAATTACTACCACCTTTTGCCTTGTTCAGAGCCTCAAAAAACTTCAGTTGGGCTGATTTTTCATTTTTTCAGCCCCTGACAATTCTGAAACTTTGTTCATATTTTAATATTTTTGACAATCTTTTCCCACTGTGCTCTTAAGGTATCTATGTGTGACCTTCCCTGGTGAATTACCTCAACTGTTTTAGCTGTTAAAGAAAAGTATAATAGGTAACATACAGGCAAATGGACAAGAAACAGCTGCTTATAGGCTAATTGGTATAGTTTTCAGGGTCCAGGATCCAATAATCCCAGTTGTCAATTGAAAAACACTGGTAAAGAGGAAAACAAGCCAAAGAAAATGCATCAAAAGGGAAGGGGACAATATTTTACTACTTAGCCATGCAATCCTTTTCAATTTAAGTTCTGAACTGACAGTTCTCAGTGCCTTCCATCTCTACAACACTTCCCTGAGTCTTCAGCTACTCCAGAAAGGGGAAGTACCAACTTCCCATCCCACTTTTTGAAACATCCTTTTTGGAGCACTCACTGCTGTGATTACTGCAGTTCTCTGACAGTTTTTTTTAATTCTCTCAGAAATATACACCAATTTAATGGCTGGAAAGTAAATGGAGGGGAAATGCATGCACATGCTGTAAGTGCTCCAAAAAGAAGCCATGGCAAGTGCGGAAAAACAGTGACGGTTGCTCCAAAGTGTTGTCCGGCCATCAGTGGAAGGGCAGTCACCCGCAGCAAGATAGGTAAGATCACAAAGAGCAGCAGGAGGTTCTACTAGGCTTCCCAAGCTGGTCGCTGGCTGATCTCTGTAACTCATGATTACATTTTCCCCAGATCCCTTTGGGACACAAATGACCTCTAGACAAAGCCACAGGTTCTCAAAGCTGTTCTTTCAAATAAGCTAACCTGTGAGAAGTGGGCTAGGTTTGGACAACGTGATAAGTCATCACCACACTTCCCCATCATGGATTATCATGTAGTACAAACCTGAGGGTTATAGTCACAATGTCCGACAGAAAGGCTATTCTGAATTCCAATGTCACTCCAGCATATTGTGGGAAGTACACGGTGGAAAGATGATTATATTACAGTTACACCTCAACATCCTTCTTCCAACGAACCCACTGTAACTTCTAAAGTTCTCCTCACTCTTATCTCCACAACCACCACCATCTGGGGTAGATTAGCCTGAGAATCTGACTGGCCCAAAGTGAGTTTCATGGCTGAGTGTGGAGATGGAGCCCAGATCTCCTGAGTCCTAGACCAACACTCGCTCTCAATACAGAACACAGATTTCAGGGATGTGCACTCTAGGAGCCTAAATTTTGCATAACAATGTGATATGCAACTGATCTTGGTCCACAGGACTATTATTATACCACAACTGGTATACCAAGTAGCAAAGATTTCAATAGGCTGTTTGTCACAGAAACAGAAAGGACAGAGAACAAATCAGGAGACATTAGGAAAAGATGGGTCTGCCAGAACGGGCACTGACAGATGGAGAGGGAAACAGTCCCAGCGAGGTGCCTTTGGATGCCTGCTCCAAACTCTTTGTTTTCAAATGCTATTTCTAGATAGTTTTTGCAAAAAGCACTGAACTAGAACACTGACCTTGACCATAACCTGGTCTACTCTATGCTGCTGACTTTTTTGGGGGGGGGGCACATTCCAAAGACAACATGGTCTTAATAACAACAAATTAAAAAACAACTATTTGGAACTAAATACTATGTAAGTTGACCAAATGTGTTTTAGAGGATATGATTTGGAATTCTGAATTCAGAGGTCATTTTCTATGCGAGGCTGTCACAATTCTGTTTTCAGATTTCAACAGAAGCTACTGAATTCCACATTTCAAAAGCCTGTGTGGTTCCAGTAGAATCACCACAAAGCAAAGATCCAATCCCAAACCTAAGTAAAGATCTACTTTCCGCATCTTATCATTTGATTTTTATTTCAAACAGAACCAACAAGAACTGTTTCTGCTCAGATTAATGCATGCAGCTTCCAGAAACCACACACACATTTCAGAAGCCTTGCCTTGTTTTTGATTGTTGTACAACAGTTGATTGACCTGATTTGAGAGCAACCAAAGACAGCTGCAGGTCACATAATCCACACTGAACAAAAGGCACAAAAGAAAGAGATTATGAGAAAGGAAGAGATGGGGTAACTATGGTCTCTTGCTCAGCAATGGATGAGAAAGCAAAGCATGATTTTTTTTATTTTGCTGATACGTGCATATGCCCAGTATTGCATAATGCTGACCAATTCACAATTACCCTTAGGTTGCTCAAACCATTGATAGTCATAACCATGTGAGAGCAAGAAAGTATGCCAACTCTGCTGTGCCAAACTGAATGTTCTGGGTTTTCACCATAATGTCCAGACCCATTATCCTGGGTTACTGAGGGAGAAACAACTCTGTTGTTGGGTAAAAACTCTGGGTTGTTTCTCCCTCAACAACCCAGCATTCTGGGTTTGGCCAACTCAATATAAATTCACTGATCAGGTCTGCATGACACAACAAACTGCAATTAACTTTGGTGAGGACCCGCATATTTATACTGACAGACAATTAATATTTAATCAATGTATGATGAAGTGTTATATAGTCCAAAACCACTCACAGTCTTTAGATCTATGTAAAGCTTTAAACCACGTGGAAAGTGGAATCCCATCACCCTCACAAGCATCCAATGAAAGGCGAGGCATGATCGCAATCGCCAGTTTTTGCCATCTAGATAGAGGGCCAACAAGCAGGATGGAAGGAGGCCGAGGCAGAGTCTGGAACTGGCAAAACACCACCACCCCACCCTTGTCTCCTCAAGGCCCAGTGGTGCCCTGGGGAGGGGCGGCTGCACTGTTCTTTCCATAATAACTGCAAGGGGTCAGGATGGGCTCCAGACTCCAAAGAATCCGTTTTCATCCTAAGTTCATTTTATGGAACACTTTCCTAATTAAATAATATTTAATAAAATACCTTCACTTCCATCAGCTGCAAGATTTATATTTCACAAAATATTAACATGATGTAGTTAATTCTGTTTAATAACTGTAAATCAGAGAGGTCCGCCTGGCGCTGTCGTTATTTGTTTTTCGGTGCCAGGCGAAGACCTTTTTATTCAAATGTTATTTTAATTGTTAATATTATTTATTCATTTTATTCTTTGGCCAGGGCGACTTAATTTATATTGTTAATTTATATTGTTTTATTGAATTCTATTTATTTATGGTTGGTGAGCCGCCCCGAGGCTTCAGCGAATGGGGCGGCATAGAAGTCCCCTAAATAAATAATCAATCAATCAATCAGAATGTTAAAATCAGATAACCAATTTAAGGCAAGTGATTTTTTTCCCAGAAGACAATCACAATTGATAATGGGAGGTTTCAGTGGCGTACTTCCACCAGCAGAACAGCCACCACAGGCAAACAGAATCTGCCTGCAGCCAGACAGGTACTCTGTAATCTGCTCCATATTTGGGGGGCATGCAAAGCAAAAAAGAAACATCCACTGCATAAGCAGAAATCCGCTTGCATGGTATTGTATTTAGCAAAAATCTAGTCAGGATGGACCACTTGAGGCCCTAGCCAGCACACCCAAGGCCAAAAATAATGGGAATAGGCCAAAGCATATGGAGGCTGCTCAATATGCCAGTGGACGCTTCCGAAAGACATTCCTATATCCAAATAATTCTCAGTCACTCCAGCAGTACTTTGGGAGGACAGTTTATTTCACAATGCTACACTTGAGGAAAACACAGCAGTAAGGAATATCAGAATAAATCAACAAATCAAATGTTGGCTGCATTTCTGAATGCAGAGGGCCTACTGTATTCAGATAGCTATTCTTTGAACAGTGTGAAAGAGAAACATTTTCAAAACTTACTTAAGAGTCTTCCTTGATTTAGTACAGTCTCCTAGTTCCTACGTCTGTTTAAAGGAAGCTATTAATCTTGATCTGTTATATCAAAAACTATAAATCTTAACAGTTACCTAGAATCTCAGCTCCAGAACTTTCAGAATTCCCATTGCATATTCCTCATATAGCAACTGACCCTGAGAGTGGAGGGGCTTATTACTAAGCAGCCCACTATAATGTCTTTCCTCTTTCCCAGTAGGCTAGAGTTCAAGGTACTCGCAGGAGCAGGTAACTACTGTAGCAGCTGTCCTCTGCAGGGCCTGTGGCATCAACAGGAAAGACCCACCCGGCCATGTGACAAGCTTTCAGCAGCATTCTTGCCACCAGCTCTTTTTTCCACACTGTTCCATTTGACTTGGATCTACAAAACTGCAGAATCTCTTTTCTCAGTTAAACAGAAGAAACAAAAGAAAATAACAAGCCTTTCAGAACAGGTGAGGAAAGGAAGTCTTAAAATCATAGACAAGTATAGTTGGAAGGGGCCATGAAGGCCATTGAGTCCAACCCCCTGCCTCTGCAGTATCTCAAATTGACACAAAGAGGTAAATATGTAACCTTGGAAGGACCCTTGAAACACCAGATTCCCTGCCAGTGCAGAAGTCCAAAATGCCTTGGTTTGCATGGTGTCTGTGATCCTTTTACCAGGAAGAGGGATATTGTTCACAGTTTCTACTGCCCTCCATCCTGCTCACGCCATTGTTTCTTAGACAGTATTGCTTCTTGGTTCAAGCCTGGCTGTGAAAGGAGAAGAGCAGAGAGGCTGTGTGGACCTAGTATTTGAGCTACTAGCTGGGCCAGAGTGCTTTTCAGAGCAGGTTCAAACTGAATATAAATGGGAAACAATGTTCCATGGTAATAACACCAACAATGCACGGTTCTCAAATCTAGCCAGGAAGCAAACATCTCTTGACCAAAGTAAGTTTGCACTGAAGCCTGCAATAAGCAACAAGCATTGAACAAAAACTACAAAAGCATGCTTAGAAGAACTGAGCTGCAGTGCTAACCTTCTGTAATGTGCTCGTTTTCCAAGAGGCTGGTGTAAGTATGAATGTCTTTTTCTACATCAAGGAGGCAGGCAAGCAGGGAGGAGAAAGATCAATCAAAAGAAATTAATAAGAAAGTGCTCCATGTTAAGATGAAGATACAAACAGCCACCAAACTTCTGCACAACTTGTTAACTAATTGGATGAATTCATTTGGGAGAAATATAGCATGCTGCAGGTAAAATGTAGGAACACAGTCAAAATCCAGTGAAAAAGACATCACTTGAAGCTCTGGTCCCAAGTTTAATTATATATTTGCTCCTTCCTCCCCCACCCCACCTTTGGTTTTATGTAACCAGGCTTTCTTAGTTGAGCTGTTTCACTAGGTTCCAAAGATGTGTGAAATGCTTCCTGGTTACCTGCATTTTTCAGGGCGTTAGAGTAATTGTGTTGACTCAATTAGTTAACACACCTGTTAATCTCACTCAAGGCTTACATTCTACAGAAGAGTCAGTCATCATCAACTTACAATTTAGAATTTGCTAAAAGCATTTAATTTTTAGACTCAATGCTCAGTTACAATGTATCACAGTAGTCGAAGGGCCACCAAAATGACAGTAAGTTGTGAGGCGGGCTACCGCAGGCTTTAGGTGCATCGGACTAAAAGGTTTTCATTAATTTTAACTTTGCCACGTTTGTCATTAGCAAGGCACCTGGTTGCTACTGGCAACTAGACATAATTCCTTAGCACCTTGAGGCCTTGGCTGCCAACATACTCACCAGGTCTAGCTTTTCAATTTTTTCTTTTTCTCTCTTAAATCCATTGGAAAGATTCAATTAATTGTTTATAATCAGGTCACTACTTTCACACCAAAAGCCCACTGTCTGGTTTTTCAAATAACTGGTTCTCTTTTGAATACAGACAAAAAACCAATCCATTAAGATGATTTGGAATTATGGAACTGTTTGGCTTCCTTTGTGTGTTCTCCGTAAGGCATGAGGGCTGAAAGAGAGAACAGAAAGGGCTGCGTATGCTGCCCCTACCCCACCCCATCAGCTCTGCCTGATTCAGAGGCAAGGCCTGCAGGGCAGCTGAATGCAAGCAGAACTATCCCTCAGCCGGGGACTTGCATGGCCAAAGGCAGGCCAGTGAAACTCCCCAACAGACCTTGCCCCAGTGCTGCAAGACCATGGACGCACATGGGTCTATTTGCCCATTTCTATCCAGAAGATGACCCACCAGCTGGCTTACAATTATACGCAGCATTCACAATTTTAAAACCCCAAGCAGCAGGCCAGCCGACACACCAAAAACCTGCTTGAATAAAAGTGTGTTTGCTTGCTGGGGAAAGGGCAGCAGGGAGGGAGCTCCACAGCCTGGAAAGAGCAACCAAGAAGGCATGCTGTGCCTCTGAAGGGGAAGCGCTGAACGAAGCCCCTCACCCTGATGTTCTTAGGGCCCAGGCAGGCCCATGCAGCGGAAGAGGCGGCAGTCCTGCTTCATGCGGAACAGGGGGCATGAAGACAGACAGCACGAAGGGCCCCCATTTCAGCCCTCATACAATCAGGAGAACACATGAAGAGGACTTATGTTCCATGTGAAATGGTTGTGGTCAACCTTTTTCTCAAGGCCAGCAAGTAGTAAAATGTGAAGCAAACTTTAATTTGTTGTGTGCATTTGCCGCTGAAGCTGCCACACTTAAGCAGCCATTTCTGGAAGGCGTTTCCATTAGGGCTATGGAAGACTGCTTTTGATGACTCAGCAAATGAAAAAGTAAGATTTTACCAAAATTCCAGCAAATCTTCTCACAAATGAAAGGATGGAAGGAGAAACTAAGGAAATACAATATTCACCATACAAGCACTGCAGTGTCATTGTAAGCAGGTACCTGTTTCAATGGACAGAATTTGTGTTCTCTTCTTGATTAGTAAGAACTCCCAATTGGAACAAGCAATGTTAAAAAATGCAGGTATTTAAATTTATTATTTCATGTTCTTTAGCATAATACAAACAAAGGAACTCAGGAGGGGTATTTTTCTTTCAAAAATGTAATGCTACATAAAGATAGGCTACTTAAATACTTTCTGGAAGCTTGTACTTTTGGTGAACTTATTTGCAAGGCTGAAAGCTGCAGAAATCATAAAAATTTACAGATATTTCCCAAAAATTAGGAAAGCACACAAGTTAATGGTTGAATATACTCTGCTTGGACTCAACACATAAGAGCTGAAGAAAAACTTCACAAATTAATCTACAACCATATGGGCTAGAAATTTATTTCTAAATAAATGGAAATTTGGTTACCAGCAGTTACAGACTGCAGATTAAATGCCCTTCAGTCAATCAATTCTTCAGTCGACGTATTCAGTCCATGACCCTGTAACTACCCACCATTGTGTTAACCATCGTCAATCACATATCATATTTCTGGGAGCAAAGGTTTCTTCAGGATTATTATCTCCATTCAGAGGGCCAAGAGTTCTCAACTTCCTCACGACATTGAAGTAAGTGCCTTCTGAAAACAGACAGCCAGAATTCATGCCGACTCTATCATACTGCTCTTGTGGCAGTGAATCCTCTAGTACTAACTGGCTGAGCTAGTCTGATGGCCTGAAACCTTGGTTGGAGGACTTCCAAGGAATGCTTTGAAGCCCAGATTATGCAAAGAAATGGGAAGTTGTGGCTAGGATTCAAGCTTCCCATGGAGGTAGGCTGAAGACTGGGAAGAAGTCCCAGAAGCTAAGAGATAGGGAATTTGGAAGTAAGGGTATTAAAATAAAGGGTTAAATTAGGCAATGAACTGAGGAAGAACCAGAAGGAAGGAAGGGAGGGTAAGTAAGTAGGTAGGTAGGTAGGGAAGGAAGCTTGAAGAGCAGCAAATGAGATAGAGAATCGAGAAGGGGCTATGAAGAAGCCACAGGTTTGAGAGGACTGCATCTTACTGGAGATAGTGGAAGAGTCCTAAGAAAATTAATCAACAGAGAGACTAGCTAAAGAAAATAGGATGAAGAATGCAGTAGCTTGTAACCAAGAAAGGGGCAATAGAAACCTCAATTAAGGAGAAGCCAGAAACAAAGTCACACTGAGATGTTCACTTTTGGCACGAAGGATGCAGAAAGAAAAAAAAGGGGAGGTGGGCTAACAGAATTGCTCAGCCAAAGCCCAGACCTTGACAGTGGAATTATGCTAACAGGGGCTTCTACTGTCACAGGAGCGTGATGAGCTAGCAATCCTAAGGGACAAGGGGACCAAAAAGCAGTGAGGCAGTTCACATGACACAACATTCTGCTATAGCTTGCTTTACCCATGAGAACTGTTCTGCAGTTCAGTGTAAATGAAAACACAAGCAGACATGGTTGTTGGAAAATTAAACAACCCTCAAATATTCATTCTTTCAGTATTATTTGAGAGTTGGTTACTGTTTGGATTTCCATGAAATGGAAAGCCATGGCAAATCAAGGTACTGCAAAACTGGCGCCATGGGTGCTTGGCACAATGTGACAGCTCCATTGGTTAGCCATTTCTTGGTGGGCTCTCATGACGTGCAAACAGGCCCACTGAAAAAGAGGCACTCCTATCTCTTATGAAAACAAAGAAATACCCACAGGTAAATGCAGAGCAATCAATTTAACTGCAAGTTTACCTCCTGGAGTAAATCCCTCTGTGAGCATCTGGACCGATGAAATCTGTGCAATTTCTATTTCATAATGGCTTTCTCCATCAAGAAAAAGGTACCTACATAGAAGGAGAAAACTGTTGCTCAATTTGTCCATTTGCAAGTCTTTTAATACTAAGATTCACTCTGAAAAGAAAGCACTAGTTTTACTGATACTGATGTTTCATAATGACAAGGCATGTAAACAGTTTGTTAGATTTAGGCCTGACTAACCACTTAGGTGGTTAATCTGTGTGTTTGGGTTGTATCATCTTAGCTAACAGGTGGAGCTCATCGGTAAAAGCCAGTTCATTTTTTTAAAAAAATGTGCAAATAGAAATAGAAAGCCAGTGTGGCGCAGTGGTTCAGAGCATGGGACTGGGACTCAGACGATCCGGGTTCGAGCCCCCACTTGGCCATGGAGCCAGCTGGGTGACTTTGGGCCAGTCACAGACTCTCAGCCCAGCTACCTCACAGGGCTGTTGTTGTGGAGATAAGATGGAGGAGGAGAATGATGTAAGCTGCCTTGAGCCCTTTGTAGGGAAAAGGCAGGATATAAATCGCAATATAAATAAATATAAACTGAATGGCACAGAGAAAGGTTAGCAAAAAGCAGGACAGGGAGAGGGCTATGTGCAGGGAATGTGTTTATACAGAGAAGCCGTGAATCTTGTCAGTCCCACTTGCACTATAAAGTGGTACTGCCCATATGAGAGCAACAACCCGGCCAGTCACAATACATGGTGTGTGGCTTTGTGACTCAGAGCTGATCACCAGTTTGATGGAAAGCCTCAAATACAGCCATCCCACCCTCAAGTACTTCAGGAATGAAAGCACAGAATGTCTGCCAGTAATATCACTTCTTACTAGAAATTCTTCTAATAGCACAGTTTTTCCAGATGTGGATTCAAATTTTCCTCACAGTTCTATATAGCTCTGTTGCTTGACTATTCTTCCATGGCATGGTTTTCAAATACATTTCTAAAAACATCCAAGAACATTCTGCTCAGCTTCACCACAAAACTCAAGAGTTTAAACAAAACCTTACAACTAAAACTTTAAGGTGCCATATCAATAATCTCCCTGAAGATTTATAACACAACAAGGGAAGGTGTTGGCTTTGATACCATTTTAAAGGAGACTTCATTTGACAGGAGTGTCCAAGAGTTTATCAGGTCAAGGGGCTCACACATATCAGAGTGCCCAGAAAAGTATCAGAAAATATTTTTTGTAGCTGCATCTGGTTGAGATTCCAATGCTGATGGCAGAATAAACGTATTAATGATCAATGTCATTCCCTTTTGATATTTGTGTCTTCAGCTGTTATTTAGGGTTTACTTTGAAATTTATTTTAAGGGAAAACCCTACAAATGATTAACAGAAATACTTCCATGTCTCAAAGATGCAGCATGCATAGTGCACTTCGCTAGTGTGATAAGTTTATCTTCTAGGCAGGAAAAACTGTCCAAAGATGGAGCATGATATAAAACTCGTACCTGAGAAAGTTGGAAGGGTAGAGAAAGTGGTTATGCAGTAAATGCTGAAGGTCAAGTCAAGCCAAGGTTGCAAGACAAGAATTTTAACAGACCAAGCAACAGGCTGCAGTGACTGCTGGAACAGTCAACTGGCAGAAGCAGGACTCTAAATTAGTAGTAAGAATCGACTAGACCTTACAATCCTGTAGCAACTGTAACATTTTGGAAAATGAGCTTTCAAGCTGATGGTCTCCCAGCAGTCAACACAGCACACTTCTTACCTCTGGTTGTTGGAAAGTCGACAAACCATCATCTCTGCCTTTTCTGAGGTCCCAGGAGTTACAAAGAATGTAGCACCTTGATATCAAGGGGAGAAGAAAAGAGCAGCAAAAAGAAACATTAAAAACCTAGAATTTACAATTAAAAGCATAATCCTGTGCATGTTTTAAAAGTCCTACAATTCCTAACATGCTAGTTTTAAGACTTTTTTGATTTAAACATGCATAGAATTTACACCCTAGAAGTTTAAAGTTTGCTGTATTGCAGAGAAGGATGCTGCAGTAGAGCAGTCTTTATCTGACAGCCCTTCCACCTGTCAGATATAATGTGAAAGATGCTCTCCTTGCATTCAAGTTAAGAGTAATCAGAAAAATCACCTGTAAGCAGTAGAGACATTTTTCGACAGTTTACTCTACAGAAGGTCTACAATGCTGGTACAATTTCAATGGGAATGAAGGTAGAACTAAACATTACAAAAGATATGAGGATGGTACTAAAACCAGTCATCTCTCATCTGCAATATCATCACTCTTTTGATTTCTCCAAAACCCCCAGTGTAGAGGTGGGCTGCAGGTATTGATGGTAGCCATGTATTTCATGGATGATCAAGATTTACTGGAACTGAGCCCTGCAACCCCTTCTCTGAGGTGGCTCTTACAACCTCAGAGATGCAGCTGATGTGGTTCTTTGTGTGCCAGGAATGAGGTGGGCAAATCCTTGACTCCAAGGTTGGGAATGTTTTCCAACTTCTGAACTGGGAGCCAAACAATCCTATGATCCTCTAAACACTGTCTAGAAATCATAGGCTCACTATGTCAATTTTCTTATTCAACACTGCTACCCAAGAACATAGCTGTATACATTTTTGATAGCTAAACAGAAATCCCAGAGAATCAAATAGCAAAGCACATTAGACTTCCACATTAAATATTTCCTGAGAAGTGACAAACTCAAGTTATCCTTCCGTAAGTCTACTAATGATAGTAAAATCCTGATCGACAAGTATCCCATGCTCAACACTTACCATTCATAAGTACTTTGAGCTGCTTGTCATAGAACTCTGTTTCCTTTTGAGAAATGAAAGCACATTCAGCGCACTGGCGCACAGGGTCAACAAAGCACATGCGAGGCAGAGGCACTTTCTTGCTGCAGCATTTGTCACAAAAACACTTCCCACATCTCCTACAGTGGTGCTGAAACAGGAGAAAGAAAGAGAAACAAAGAAAAACCCACTCGGCTACATGCAGGTTTGAGTTAAAATGGATGCTTCTGGCACATGGCTAGTGCCACAGAACAGAGCCGAAAAACAGAAGAGTGATAAATGCAGTGGGATAAGGGAGGAGAGAGACTTGAGGTTCTGAATTTAAAAGTGAGAATGAGTGTCAAAATGAAAACCCTGCAGAAAAAGAATTTCATGGTAAGCAGTATTCTCATATGGCTTACAAGCCTGCATTTGTACTTCTCCCTTTGTACTTCCCCTACTCTACTCTGTTTCCCATGGATTGCTAATGATTTATTTGTTTAGTTAATTCTGGTGCAAGCTTTCAGGACTTTGGAAGTTATAATGCTATCATAATAACCACGCTCCCCTTTCTACAATCCTGTCTGGATGCCCAGAGCCGTTGAACTGACTGGACTGAAGGAATGTGGATGTGAAGGTTGCCAGCATGATCTTCCCACTCTGTAAAAAACTTAATTTTGGACTACCTCGGAGCAGCAGGAAGGGAGGCGCCCTGAGGACGCATCCCATCTGGGTGGCAGCCGTCTCCTCCCCTCCCTGGAATCCCCAAAAGTGGTTCTCCAGGGCTCCTCTTGCAACTCCGGAGGCAGAGTTAGTGCAGTTCTTTCCACGCTGGCTGAGGCAAGGGGTTCAGAGTTCTGATCACCAGCTATGAGTTGTAGAGTTTTCCTGGGAATTTATAGCTGGGGCTCTGGCAGCAATAGGATCACTCTGCCCAATGGCCCATGAACCACCACACAGCTTCTTTAATGCTTTTCTTTAGGTTGCTTTTCCATTCCATTAAACACACCAATAGCAACAGCCATGGCCTTCAATAATTTTCACAGCAGTATTTCTAACAACAAAATAGACAGGTCATATTTAAATTAAAGAATGGGTTTTATTGCTCAGTATTAAGAGTAAATAGTAAGAACTTCCCCCCAACAAAAGCCCAACCCGTCCCAAGGTTCAATTTCATATGGCTCATTCCCCGGGTCATAGCCAGTGACTTTGATGAGAACACTTTAGAACAAAGGCTAATATTTCAGTTATTCAGCCTCCTACCTTTCTAGTGATGAAGTCAAACTTAGTGTTGCACTGCATGCATCTGGGACACTAGAAGATAGAAACATGAAGACAATTATGTAGAAGTTGTAAAGATTTGATGGGCTGTGCTGAAGACCAAAACAATACAGAATGGATTACAAACACAGCTTTCCCATAATGAGCTTCCCCCTTGATGCTCGCAAGCAAGCAAGCAAGCAAGCAAGCAAGCAAGCAAGCAAGCAAGCAAGCAAACTAAGCAGGAGAGGAGCAGCAGCAGACACCTCCCTCACCTCCTGCCCTGCATTTCCATTGGAGGGCCTTTTTGTGCTCATCTAGCAAAAATATTCCAGAGGGCGAAGCAGGCGGGCTGGAGAGGCCTCAAATTAGTGTGTATCTGGAGCCTATCCAGCCTCCTCACTTCCCCACCCCTTTTTACCCCTTTCCAAACTCTTTCCTGACCTTGGAGATCAGCCAGTGTGGTTGCTTCTGCATTCGCTGGCTGGCAGGTCGGCCGGCTGGAGCTAGGAATCCAAAATATGCCCAGATGCTGCCTAGGGGCTATAGGATTGCTTTCTAATACACCTAATTAGCATACTGTACATCTTTCTTCTCTCAACATACAATTCTCCTTCTACAGAGAGTTCCTTCTCTGTATTAAAAAGAAAACATGGACAGTAAACCTCTAACCAAAGAATTGAGAAAAAAGGGTTCTGGGGATCATCCGATTTCCTAATTCAAGCACAATGAATGTGTGTCAGCTGAAGAACTACTCTCCTGAAAAATATCTAACTCCCAGTTTTAAAGCTGTCTGAAATCAGTTTCTATGGTTATGGTTTCATCCAATGAACTCTGGGATTTCTACTTGTCCGTGTACTAAAAAAGAATTGCCCCACCCAAAATGTTCTTCATTAAATCATTTTTTCTTCACTTTCACAAAACATATTTCACAAAAATGTCTTTACCAAGAACAGGTCCACAAAACAGCGCTGGGTCATGGGAGGCAAAGTCTATACATATATGCCTGGGAAAAGGGGGACAAACAGTACTAAGAGAGTCTGCAAGAGGAAATAACGAAATTAAAAATTATTAAGTTTAATTGTTTATATTAACACTACATTTTCCATCTTATTACTCTACCTCAACAAATGTTTGCAGAGAATAATTAACATAAATTAACATAGTTACCCTAATGTAGCAACCAACTGTGCAGAGCAAGAGCAAAAAAGGAAGGTCATTTCACTGTTAATACCTCACAAATGATTAAATTTTACTGATTTCTTGGTCGCAAAGTCTTCTTCATCTATTAAGACTATATATTAATTTACTTTAAAAATCAGGTTTTTACATTGCTTTAGTGGTATTTTGTCATTTGTTTTCATTATTTATATTTTACATTGTATTAATTTATTGCATGTCATAGGATCATGGAATCATAGAATTGTAGAGTTGGAAGGGGCCAAGAAGGTCAGCAAACTTGGAAAACTCAACAGTGGCCACAGGATTGGAAAAGGTCAGTTTACATTCCAATCCCAAAGAAGGGCAATGCCAAAGAATGTTCAAACTACCGCACCATTGCACTCATTTCACATGCTAGCAAAGTTATGCTCAAAATCCTACAAGCTAGGCTCCAGCAGTATGTGGACTGAGAACTACCAGAGATACAGGCAGGGTTTTGAAGAGGCAGAGGAACTAGAGATCAAATTGCCAACATACGCTGGATCATGGAGAAAGCTAGGGAGTTTCAGAAAAACATCTACTTCAGCTTCATTGACTATGTAAAAGCCTTTGATTGTGCAGGTCACAACAAATTGTGGCAAGTTCTCAAAGAGATGGGAGTACCAGACCATCTTATTTGTCTTTTGAGAAACCTATATGCGGGTCAAGAAGCAACAGTGAGAACTGGACACGGAACCACTGATTGGTTCAAAATTGAGAAAGGAGTTTGGCAAGGCTGTATACTGTCACCCTGCCTATTTAACTTACATGCAGAGCACATCATGAGAAAGGCGGGGCTAGATGAATCACCAGTTGATATTTCTCAGGGCAATCTTAATTCCAACAACCTCAGATATGCAGATGATTCCACTCTCACGGCAGAAAGTGAAGAGGAACTAAAGAGCCTTTTGATGTGGGTGAAGGAGGAGAGCGCAAAAGTTGGCTTGAAACTCAACATTAAGAAAACTAAGATCACGGCATCTGGTCCTCTCACTTCCTGGCAAATAGATGAGGAAGAAAAGGAAGTAGTGACAGATTTTATTTTCCTGGGCTCCAAGATCACCGCAGACGGGGACTGCAGCCAAGAAATTAAAAGATGCTTGCTCCTGGAGAGGAAAGCTATGGCAAATCTGGACAGCATACTAAAAAGCAGAGACATGACCCTGCCGACAAAAGTGCGTATAGTCAAGGCTATGGTTTTCTAGAGGAGATCAACCCTGACTGCTCTTTAGGAGGCCAGATACTGAAACTCAAATACTTTGGCCACCTAATGAGAAGGAAGGACTCCCTGGAGAAGAGCCTGATGCTGGGAACAATAGATGGCAAAAGGAGGGGACAGCAGAGAATGAGGTGGTTAGATGGAGTCATTGAAGCAGTTGGTGTGAGCTTGAGTGGACTCTGGGGGATGGTGGAGGCCAGGAAGGCCTAGAGGAATGTTGCCCATGGGTTCACGATGGGTCAGACACAACTTCATGACTAACAACAACAACAACAAGGTCATTGTGTCCAACACCCTGCTATTGTAGGTCACCAATTTACTCCATCCCACTCAGATGACTGTCCAGTTTCACAATGAATGTTTCTAATGTGGGAAAGTCCATGACCTTTCCAGGCAACTGGTTCCAATGTCGTATTGCTCTAACAGTGAGGAAGCTTTTCCTGATGTCTAGCCTGAATCTGGGTTGTTGCAACTCAACTTGATTATTCCATGTCCTACATTCTGGTATCAATGAGAAGAGATCTTGACTTTCCTCATTGTGACAGCCTTTGAGGTACTTATAGAGGGGTATCATGTCCCCCCTCAGTCTTCTCTTCTCCAGGCTGAACATGCCCATTTCTCTCAGTCTCTCCTCACAGGACACTATTTCCAAACTCTGGATCATTTTTGTTGCCCTCCTCCATACCCTTGCTATTTTTTTGCATGTTTCTTAAATCTTGGTGTCCAGAGCTGAACACAGTATTCCAGATACGTTCTTACTAGTGAGAAGTACAGGGAAACTACTTCTCGTGATTTGGAAGTAATACTTCTATTACGGCACCCCAAAATAGCATTTTCCTTTTTGCAGCTGCCTCACATTGTCAGCTCATATTTAGCCTGTTGTCCGCAATAACTCCAAGGTCTTTTCCCCTTTTAGTTCTGTTGAGCCACATATACCCCATCTTGTATTGATGTATTTGGTTTCTTTTTCCTAGGTGGAGGATTTGGCACCTGTCCCTACTGAATCTCATTTTGTTGCTTTCAGCCCAGAGTTCAAGTTTTCAAGATCGCCCTGGAACGTCATTTTATATTCTAGGGTGTTGGCTATTCCACCCAGTTTTGTACTGTCTGCAAATCTGATCATTGTTTTTTTGTACTTCCTCATCTAAATCATTAATAAAGATGTTGAAGTGCACTGGACCTAGGACTGAATCCTGTGGCACCCCACTAATTATCTCCCTCCAGTTTGAGAAGGTGCCATTGATTTAGCAGTCAATTTTGGATCCACCTAATACTTTTTCTATCTAGTCCACTTTTTGCTAATTTATCAGAATGGGGGTTTTGCTAAAGTCGAGGTAGCCTATGTCCACAGTGTTTCCTCTCCCCGTTCAGGAAACCCTATGATCAACTGTGTAACCGAACTGAGGACTTCAGCTACTGGATGGCATAAAAATTAGATAAAATGTATTATATTAAGTTGTGAACTACACCAACTAGTTTGGCTATAGGGAGGAGGGGTTGTATAACAAAGTAATGAACTAAAATAAAACTTGAGTTACAAGTCGGATCACTCTAATTTCTAGCTACATAGGACTTGCCAGTTTCACATCCCTTTGACCCAAAGACCAAAGTTCTAGCTCGAGCTTCATGCTGGAGCTAGAACTTGCAGTCCTGAAACGTTCATGCAAACATTGTCCGTGAATTTTTAGAGAGCAATTTTCATAATGCACGATTGGAATAAATCATGTCTTCCTCAACTCAATGCCCTCTAAATGCTGTAGACCTAAACACTTGACAGAGCCGTCTCTAGTGCAGAAATTGAATACAAATTGTTTGCCAATAACACACTAATTGAAGCCTATCCAGGACCACCATTTTCACTTTAATTCCTCAGTACAACATTGAAAATTAGCAGTCAAATCCAAATCATGATTTCAAGCCTAAATAAAGGGAATAATTACTAAGAGAGGGCAAAACCCATAACTTTAAGTGAATTAGGATTTTTTTGCTTGTTTGACCCCTTTTAATTACGTCATAACCGATATTAGTACTTGACCAAACCTCAGCCTCATTTCTGTGGCCAACTGACTTGGATGTGCTTCTAAGCAAGTCCCAAGTTCAAACAAAAGTTCTGAAAGATAAGCCTGGTTGCAAAGCAAGCTTGTTTACAGAAACCATTCCAAACTACTAGGCAGCTTTTTAGACCTAATAAATCAACCCTGCACCAGAACAATATACACTAGACTCTAGAAGCACTTTCTCAGGAAGTTCAAACCAGTAAGAAAGCTGCCGTTGATACTAGCGATGCACAAGCTACTTCAACTCAGCTCTCTCATATTAGGCCAATTTTCAAATGATAAACCAGAATGAGATGTGGTGAAGCAAACTAATTACATATTTAGATCAACATTGTTTTTGAAAAGTAGCCAACCAGATACCTCAGTGAGACTTTCTAAGTATGAGAGAACACGAGTATGTTAGTACCGTCTCCATGTGGGTTCCCCAACAACTTGGGACAGCAGACTAACCACAGGGCTAAGTGTGCTGCAGCCCCAGCTCATGTACTGAGGGAACCCATGAAAAACTGTGATTTGCAGTTTTAAAATAAAAATGAACAACTCTCTAACTGTTGCAGAACCAAAGTTAAAGGACAAAACATTCGGTCATATTGCAGTTGTTATGCGAGAACCATACCATCATTTTATCCAACTGTTTTATGAAAGATCAACTTACTACTCTCTTTCAGTGTGCTGTGTGTTTAGCCAATTAAGTCAATGCTATAATCAACTTTCACCCATGAGAACTGTAGAGTGACCACTACTTATCCACAGAAGGAACTTCCTGGCTGATTTTTAAAAAGACATTTTTGGAGGGGAAGGCAGGTCCCAGGAAGCTGTGAGTGCAACATGGGGGATCTGAAATGGTAGTCTGAGCTTTTTGCTAGCTCTGCCATAGTAATGGCAGAGGTGTCCCCTGTCCTGTCAACTCTCCCTCTCTGGACACCTTCCCACTCTCCCATTGCAGCAAAAAGCAAAGAAAGACCTGTAACAAAATTAACCGCCCAGTAAGTAAGGGTGCAATTTTATGCATGTTTAGACAGAAAAATATAGGATTTTTCTAAACATGCATAGGGCTGTAACCTAAAAGTACAATCCTATGCAAGTTCAAAAAGTACAGAAGCTACAAGTCCCAACATCTGCAGCACCCTGGGAGTTGCAGGTCCTTTTTCTGCCTCAGCTTTCAGAGGAATGCACCCTAAGTATGCTTAGCATTTCAGCCCAAGTATCGTTAAACACAGCATAAGTTCTGTGCCACAAGGCCCTGACTTTGTGATTGCTATTCTGTCGAGATTCAGGAACACTAATGAACAGTTTTATTATTTTTCCTACGGCACAACTTTCTTTAGCAGATCGCACATCAGAGATAATGAAAAAATTAAGTGATGTAACTTCAAAGTTCATTCTGATGGGGAATTTTGCAAACACTGCAGAACGAGGGAGCAGAAGGATCAGCCTTCCCCAACCTGCAATCGCGTGGGCCAGTGGCATGGCTGGCTGGGAGCTGGACTACGGACTACCAAGCTGTGTTTGCGGGGGAGACTGAAAAAGCTTCGGATTGTACGTCTCATTTAAAGAAAGGCCCCCAACAACCGTCCCTGCAAACGTCCAGTTCTAGCACCACCCCTGGCATGCTGTGCTGGCTTTCTACTTGCTTTAGCGAGGTACACACAGCTCCACGCTGTTTTCTGTTTTGTTTTGTTCTCACGTGAACCTGCGCGGACCTCGAGTTCCAGCCGGGAAGAAAGGGCGCCCGTTCCTCCTTCGGGAGCCCCGAAGGTGAAACATCCGAGCTGAGGCGGAGAACGCAGGGTCGGTTCGGGGGAGGCCGAGCCCGCCGCCCACCAGCACTCGAGGCAAAGGAGACGCTCCGGGAATTTCTCAGGCGGAGGAGGCCGGCGAGAGCCTGAGGGGAGGGAAAGGGGAGCTGCCCGCCACCGTTACCTCCTTATCGGGCACCCACGGAGGCTCCTCCAGCCCGAAGGGGCTCCGCGCGGCCCGGCTCTCGGGCACCATCCGAAGCCCGCTGGGCGAGCGCACCAACTTCTTGCCATCGGGGGCCTCGCGGCCCGACATCTTCCCCTCAGAGCCGTCGCCGCACGGCGACGCGCCCAAACCACCAGCCCACCGCGGACGCCCAATCGGTGCCGTTCCACTAAAGAGAAGCATTCCTAGTAGCCTATGAAAGGCAACCAGCCTTCCCCTTATTTGCGAAACGGGGGGCCGGGCTTCGTTGTCCCCGCCCCTCTGCTGAGGTAGTCTTCTCAACCAATCCCTCCAAGGCTTGTCAGTTTCTGCCATAAAGTGGACGGGGAGGAGAGAAAGTGAAAGGACAGTGCGCATGCGCGGTTTGAGTCGCTTGACGAACTCGGAAGGAGTGTTTTTCATTGACGGGAGGAAGGAAGGGAGAGGCTTCCTGGTACTGACTGTGATATTCTTTCTCCGCGGCTGTGATTGGTTACGAACTCTCCGATGCGCCCTGCGATTGGCTTACACTATACGCGGGCTCAGATGACTCCTGCCCAGTGTGCATAGCCTGCAGCTTGGTGCGAGTGCGGACCTTCCCTTGATTGGTATTAACTTAATTGCAACGTGGTTGTTCTGTAGGTGCAGGAATTAATTGCAGGTAACGGAGGACGTTTTGCAGCTCTGTTGATGGGAGATTTGCCTAAACTTTCTTGATTGGCTGGTTTTGTTAACTTCGGCTGCAATCATGTACCCCAGCTAGGTGCCCCCCGAAACTACAGGTCCCCGCGTTCCTGACTATTGGCCATGCCGGCTGGGGTTGATACGCGCTGAAGTTCAACAACCTGGTGCCTTTCGGATGTTGGAGATTTGGAAGAGGCGCGGTGCATTGGCAGGGACATGCTTGCGTGCAAACAGCCCCAGATTTGATTCTGAAGCCTTGGAGAAGTGCTGTCCGTGTCATTCAGTGACCTGGTCCACTGAAAGAATCCTTTCAAATATCATTTTCTTGTGTTCCTGTGATAACATTAGAAAAGCCGTGCAGGTGTTTTTGTTGCAACAGACCAATATGATTATTTCTTTGATATTATTGTAACTTACCTTTTTAGAGTTCCCAGTCTTGATTGTTTACCGTCTGTGTTGCACAATCTCTAGCCTGTGACCATCACTTATATTGGATTTAGGCTCAAATCCATTTCATGCTTGACATGGGAGTTTAGGAAAGTCCTGCCATGCCCAGCCAGCATGGTTCTGGGGTTGTTTGGACTTGTTCTGCCTAAATGTGCATAGGATTAGATTGTTATAGAGAAACAGGTCAATAATCCCGTCAGCCTGTCAAATTAGTGTAACACAAGCGAGGAAAGCTACCCGCTCTCACACACACAATTTCTGGTAGCATCTTTCTAACATTATCCATGATTCATATTCCCTTCATATTGATGCTTTCTTATTGGCTGCTATGTTACAGATATTGTTGTCAAAAATGGATTGGAATGAATTCGACCTGAACCCTAGAGTGATTGCAGCGCTTAAGAAAGGTGAAGTATCTCCAAGTGGATAGCTTTCATCTTTGCACACCACACAACCATTGTTAAGGTTATATAAGAACCTTTTCTGATGCATTTGGTTTGGGGACTTTATTCCTGGATCAGATTAACTGGTGTTGCTACCGATACATGTGAACTTACCTGTTCATCACAATTATTCATGTCACCTGTTCATACTTATTCAGAAATGTTCCACTGGTTTTAACAGGACATGCGTAAAGGCCAAGCTTATATATTGTGATAGGCTTTGATGAACTTAGGTCTGTGTCAGCTTCTTTGCAAAGGAATAAGGCTGAAAGCCTATGTACTTTCTGGAAGAAGCCCCATGGGACATAGTGGGTTTTACCTCTGAGTAAATAGGCATAAGAGTGTTCAGTAACTAAAATTAATGTGTAAGACTCTTAGAAATCAATGGGACTTACTTCCAGCTTTGAGTATAGATGTGCAACCAATTCAAGGTGCTGGTTTTAACTTACAAAGCCTTACACAGTTTAGGACCACAGTACCTATCAGAGCACCTGTCCCAGCTGTGATTTACCTGTACACTAAGCTCAACATCTGAGGACTTTCACCAAGTGCCAGCTCCAAGAGAGGTGCGGAGAGTGGGAACAAGGGGGAGGGCTTTCTCAGAGGTGCCCCCCCCCCACAAGCTGGTGACAAATCTGCTATCTTTCCTGTAGCTTTTAATGACTAACTCGGCCACCCAAAGGCTTGAGGGGGTTCACCAGGTATTTTACAGTGTATCTCTATATATATCCCTCTCTGTTATTCCTTGTTATTGTCTGGTTTTATTATTTGTTTTTAGCTGTTTAAAACATTTTATTTTTTCTGATTTTATGATATTTTTATTGTACTTTTACCATCTGTTTTATTTGACTGTGTAAATCACCCAGAGAACTTCGACAGTGGGGCAGTATGGAAATGCAGTAAATAATAATCAGGGAGACTAATGCAACAGTCTATGCTCACTACCTTCGTTCTTCTAAGTATTGTTTTTCACACAGGCTGGGAATCTAGGCTTATTATGTTTAATCGCTTTTCTTATTTCAGCAAACATAAAATCCATCAAAGAGATTTTCAATCTTTCGGAAGCAGATTTACAAAGGTTGACAAAACTGTCCAGTACAGATGTACATTACATGCTAAGAACAATTTCCGGTGCACTGAGAAAAAACACTGTCCTTACAGGTAAATAGTTTGTAGTATGATTTTTTTAAATTAAGTCTTTAAAAAGGTACAATGAGCTTGTAGTGTGGCTTTCCAGATGTTTGTTCTAATACTTTATCACCCAGTCCATTATTGTGAAATAAAAGGCATTTAACTTACCTTTGAAGGCAGTTCAGAAATCTCGAGAGGCAGAGAATGCTGGGGCCAGAGCACTGTCCAAAGAGAGTGGACTGTATCCCATCTAGGGGACACAGGTGGCACAGTGGTTTGAGCTGCTGGGCTTGTTGAGCAGAAGGGCAGCAGTTCAGTTCCACCCAGTTCAGTTCCCATTGCTTAGTCCTAGCTTTTGACAGCCTAGCACAGGGGTCCTCAAACTTTTTGAATAGGGGGCCAGTTGAAAGGCTGCAGTGACCGTTGCGGGCCGGGGAGGTGGGGGTGCCTGGGGTGTGGGCTGGTGAGGTGCCGTTGGGCGCGTGCGAGGCGGCACTGGGCATGCGTGAGGTGGCATCGGGCGCACGCAGTGGTGGCTCGCTCGCTCGGTGATCTCCCAAAACCAAACCCGAGCAAGTGAGCGAGTCCAAAACCATCTCCGAGCGAGCGAGCGAGCGAGCCACCACCTCCCCGCCCGCGCTGCAAGGCAGCGGCGAGTGCGCGCACATGGGAAGCAGACTGCAGTGGCTTGCTCACTCGGAGACCATCTCTGAGCGAGCGAGCGAGCCACCACCTCCCCACCTGCGCAACGAGCATGCACACGAGTGGCAAAGGGCAGTGCACGCCGGATGGATGGCCGTGGCGGGCCAGATCCATCCCACGGGCCGTAGTTTGAGGACCCATGACCTAGCAGTTCGAAAGCACGCAATGTGAATAGATAAATAGGTACCACTTCGGTGGGCAGGTAACAGCTTTCTGTGCACCTTGGTGTTTAGTCATGCCGGCCACATGACCACAAAAACTGTCTGCGGACAAACGCTGGCTCCCTCGGCTAGGAAATGGAGATGAGCACAGCCCCCCAGAGTCAGGCATGACTGGACTTAATGTCAAGGGGAATCCCTTTCCTTACCATTCATAGTACAGTGGTACCTTGGCTCATGAACTTAATCCGTTCCAGGACTCTGGTTGTGACCCAAATTGGTTGTGACCCAAGTCAAATTTCCCCATAAGGTTCATTGTAAATAAGGTTAATCCATTCTTTAAATATTTTTTTAATCACAGAAATTTGAAGCGAAGTAACAAAGAACAGTAAAGTACAGTACAGTAGAGAACACTAACCTAGGTTGTTGTTTGGAGGGAGAGTCCAAACCATAATCGTGCGATCGTGCTGGGGGGGCGGGGGGAGACAGGCGCGATCGTGGTCGTCACCCAATGCAGAGTTCGCAAACTGAGGCAGTTTTTTTCTGAAATTTCTGTTCACAACCCAATTTGGTCATGAACTGAGGCGTTTGTGAGCCGAGATACCACTGTACATCTACCTTGTACAAGCTTTGTGGGCTTAGAATTTGTTGCTGGGCTCAGTGCCAGGTGCTTGCATTCAATTCTAAAAAGCTGAATGATCTTGCACCACTATACAGCTCTTATATCAATCCACTGGCCAACATGCTGTTTCGGAGGCCCTGCTAAATCTCCCCTGCCAACAGAGGTGGCCCTGGTACAAACAGAAGACGACCAGACTGGGTGTGACTCCAAAATGATGAAATGTCCTTTCAGGACAGCCTGATTTTGTCCTTATTTGCTGCTATTCAAGTGCATGCATAAAACTGGTTTATTCTGGCAGGCACTTTTTAGCCAGGGCTTCCAGACTGGCATATTTTACAGTGAATTTTTTACGCTTAGCATGTTGTATCTTTTTCAGCTTTGTATACCTTCTTGAGTATACCCAGATATAAAAGGATAGGATATAAACACTGAAATAAATAATCTAGAATTTGTTACATTGTGTAGACTGGTGTAAGTATTTTGGCCCAGAAAGGTAATGCATTGGCTAAATATTGGGATAAGAGCCCTGAAATAAAATAAAATCTTACATTGTTTGCAAGGCTGGAGAAACATTTAGCCTAGCCTGAATGCTGCCTAGGTTAGGAATGAACTGTGGGAGCTGTCACCATTTTTCTTGCTAATCTGCTCCGGCTTCCATTCTTTGCTAACAGACACAACTGCGCATTCTGCCGAGTGGAGGGGTGACAGAATATCATTCCCTCGATCTGCTCCTTCTGTTTCTGCCTTCCCTTTCTCTCCCCCTCTGTGACCATCATGTGCCTTCTCTGTGATGGATGGAAGTACCTCTGTCCTGTGTTTCTTGCATTCATGCCCAGGGCTTGCAGTCCAACCACATTAATTAAGCCTCTGTAAAAATGTGCATAAAAGAACTAAGAAAAGTACATTGATATGGAATGTCTTTTCAGCCCAGCTGCCTCTAGCCTTCATTCATTGTCTCGAAATACACACAGATATTACACTTTCTTTGTATTATAGTTGTTATTAATTAAAGGAGTACCTCTTCCCATACATGCCTACCCAGGCCCTTAGATCATCATTGGAGGTGCCTCTCAGGGAGCCCCCTCCGAGGGAAATTAGGAGAGTGACTGCAAGGAGAAGGGCCTTCTCTGTCGTGGCACCCCATCTCTGGAATCAGCTCCCCAAAGAGGTTTGCTTGGTGTCTTCTCCCTTTTAGGCACCAAAGACCTTTTTATTTACCCAATATTTTAACTATTAGGATGATTTTAAAGTTTTATAACATTTTATGGTATTTTATCTTAGTGCCAGTGTGCCTTTTATTGTGTCTTTACTGGTTATGATTGAAGTTATTGTGAAGTTTTATTGTGACATTTTTGTTCTGTTGTTATATTGTTAATCAAATGTGATTTACTTGGCTATTATACTTTGTAATTCTGTAACATGTCCAGAGAGCCATTCTGGCAAATTGGGTGGGGTACAAATCTAATAAATAAATATTAGAATGAATTTACATCCTGCTTGTTTTCCCTCTTGTAAGGAACCCCAGGCATCCTACATATCCTCATAACAACAACCTTGTGAAGTAGGTTCAGCTGAGAGCAAGTGAGCCCAAAGTCACCTAGTAAGCTTCATCAGGTTCTCCAGAGTTCCCTGTCCAGTCCTCCAGCCATCGCTCCACACTGGCTTTATACTACTTTGTGTAAAGCACCCATGCCATTAGCCAGCCCAGACTATCCAACACCATTTTGAATAAAATCTGTGCTTATCTCCTTTTTGAATCTGTTGTATGAAGTGCAACACACTTTAGAAAATGGAGTAGGTAAATGTTACCTATTTAAATTTTTTAAAAGACTTGGAACTCAGGGTTTTTTACTTTCTTTTAGGTATGCTGGCTGGGCACAGCTGGGTCAGAGAAGGCATTTTTTTCCTGCCTAACTATGTATTGGATTGCACTAAGACTGTTCTTTTTCACCTTTTCTTTTTTTAGCACTTCAGCTATTCCAGGACGAAAACCATGGCAGTACCCGATTAAGCCTCGGCTGCCCAGTTCTAAACACCTTTCTCCGAGGTGGCATTCCACTTACAGGCATCACCGAAATTGCTGGCGAGAGCTCTGCAGGGAAGACCCAAATTGGCTTGCAGCTGTGCATTTCTGTGCAATATCCATATTGTTATGGTGGGCTAGAATCTGGTAAGAAATCTCCTTGTATACCAAGAGGGTCTGAGAATAATCCATATTCTTGTGCAGCTGCAGCAGTGCATAATTGTACATTTGTTTTGCTGTTGCATCATTTCATTGATTTGATGCCTCCCGGGGAAGTTTCAAACCTTTGAAAGTTTTCCCACTCCTTTTGCAGGGCAGGGACTGAGGCTTCAGTGAGCACTGGCCACACAGTTTAAGCCATATGCTTACATTTATAAGGGCTAGAAGTCTATCTTTTTTTTAAAGGTTGAGATTATGGGGAAGCTGAATTCTGTATTTGATTCTGTATTTGGAAGGTGCATTCTGTTTTTGGTTTGTGCTTTTTTTCTGTGATCCCAAGAGATTACGACCATGAGTTTAACATTTATAATCCTTCCTTCTCTCAAAAAATGTAAACCATGTCTAACCACAATTAATTTAAAACAAAAACCCATACAAAGCTGTAGGAATTAAAATGAAAAACACCCTATACAATATTCATGCTTTTAAGGGACAGTCTTATATAAGCTTGGACAGGATAAAGTCCCCCTACTGGGAGGGGGAAGCATGTATTCTTAAAGTACTGTTAATACTTTAAAGTATTAGAATTCCCAGGAAATGAATCTAGAGCCTTCTCTGTGCAAGCCTTGAACACTGAGCAGTGGTCACACCTTATCAGTAGCCTAGTAGATGCAAAGGTCTCTTTTCTGGCATTCCAGGTGTTTTTCTTTTCAGGATCATGTTGTATTATATATTTTAGCTGTTTTATTTTTTTAACATGCTATTTTAAAGATTCTTTTGCTATTGTCTTGTTTTATGATTGTTGTAAACTACCCAGAGCTTTGGCTATGGGGTGATCCAGAGATGACATGAATCATAAACACAGCTGATACTTGTCATGAAATCTTTCTGCAGTTCTCCCTTGAAAGCAAACTCTGCAGCTGGCTTGTCCAGGGGACTGCAATGGTAAGATGGTGAAAACCCAGACATGTTCCCCTTTCTTGCAGGTGCTGCTTACATCTGCACTGAAGATGTTTTCCCAAATAAACGCCTGCAGCAGCTGATTGAACAGCAGTCCAAACTGAGAGGTGACATTCCACCTGAAGTGGTGCAGAAGATGAAATTTGGAAACAGTATTTTTGTTGAGCACGCTGCAGACCTGGTGAGGGGCAGAGGGAATGCCTGGTTGGGGTGACCTGGGAACATTAAATCCAGTCGACACAGAGGTATATAAATGATAGAGATAGCCCTTGCAGATGGCAAATGCTTTCAAACAACAATTATTAAAGTTTAACTTCTAGGTTCCTAACACTGGCTGGTTTCCATAGATAGTGTCTCACAGCAAGGGCTAGAGAATTTCATCTGAGCGCTCTTTAGACTGCTCCCTGCCAGTTGGAAAAAAGGCCTTGGCACTTTTTAGAGTGATTCTTTTGGAAGTTCTGCAGGACCCCAAATCACAGAACATTTGGAAAGGAGATTCTGTCAGTACGTTTTAAACTTCCAGTGAGGTCTGGAAGCTCTTCTTTAAATATATAATGCCGAATTTTAGGAATCTAATCACTTAGTGGTTGTTTCCTGTAACTTACAAACCAGTGCTGGGGGTGGTTTTATTCTTCCCTTTACCTCTCCTTTACCCTTTGTATTATGCCTTTCAGACTGTATTCCTATGTGCAGGGTATATGCTTCTCTCTGGTTTGTTATGCATCTTATGCAAGTTACTCCAGGAGCCTTCTTGGCAGAAGAGCAGGATAAAAATGCTGTAAATAAATAGTGTAGATTTTCAACAAAACTGAAAAAATGAACGTATCTTTTAGAGTAGATTGTTCAGAATAATTTTGGGAAAGAGCGGTAGCTCAGTGGCAGAGCAGATCCTTTGACTGCAAAGGTCCTACATTCAGTCCCTGGCACGCCCAATTAAAAGCGTAGCAGAACTTTGCCTGAGATGCTGGGGAGATGTGACCAGATGGTCCTGGGTTGGATGGATCACGGTCCAGTTTTCCAACCATCAGACAAACAAACAAAGATGTGATAGATTCATGTGGCTTCAACATGAGCCACCTTAGTAATGATCGTGAGTTGCACAGTGCAGTCTCATTACGCCTTCAGAGGGGCCAGCCGCAAATTAATACGCAGAGATTTGTAGCATTACCTTCTAATCTGGCTTCCATTTCCTGTGCTAATAAATTGCTACCCGAGCGCCATATGCTGTGGGTTGCTGTGCTGAGGTCACGAATGAATGCAGTCATGAACTGCCTAGGGTCAAGGTCACTCCAGTCCAGGAGTCTCTCCAAAGTCTCCAGACCGTGCAGCGCGTGGCTGCTTCCTCCCATCTCCTAAGGTGGCTTCTTATTGCAGGACACTTTCCAGAAGTGCATTAGCAAGATGAATGTCCTGCTCTCACACGGCATGGTGCGCCTGGTTGTCGTGGATTCCATTGCTGCCCTGTTCAGGTGTGAATTCAGTGCAAAGGACTCTGTCTTGAAAGCGAAATATTTGCAGATGTTCGGAGCCAGACTTCACAGACTGAGCAGCAAGTTCCAGATCCCGGTGGTATGCATTAATCAGGTACGGTGAGAAAATGAACTTGGCCTGAGCATTATGCCATAATCAGTGTGGTGAGAACCGGTCTGGTCTTGAGGTCCAGGTGCTCGGGAGATGTGGTTCCTAGTCCCGTGAGGCTCATTGGATGGCATTGGGCCGCTCACAGGCTCTTTAAACAATTCATGGGCAGTTTTTGATACACAAACTGGATTGATGCTTATAATGGGAAGTGATGGAACTTGTGGAACTTCCACCCTTCAAAGGAAGGGGGCTTAAACTGTGCTGGCTGGAGCTCCTTCGGTTTTGGCAAACACAACCCACAGTTGCAACCAGAGAGTGAACTCTCACTGTAGTGCTAGCCTTTAAGAAAGCACTTTAAGTTTCTTTGGCAAGAAACCCACCCGTTTCTTGCCAAAGAGTCCCTTTTATGGGGCAGGGAGCCTATCCCTTCATTCCCAAAATAAGCATCAGGCCATGGGAGAGAACTTCCCATACTGATCTGTCCCACTGGCAGTCTGCCATCCATGCCTCATCTCCTCCTCCCGTCCGTCGCTAATATAACCCTAACATCGGCTTTTAAATGTGACCTAAAGCCCATTATTTTAATGGTCATTTCACTGAATTTTGTTTTTAGGTATTGATTTTTGTTTTTAGGCTTTGATTATGTAGGTTGGATTCCACTACATTGTAATCTGCTTTATGAGGGCTTTTGCCCAAAAAGGGAGCCATAAATCTATTAAATAACAACTAAAAAGCACACCTTTCTTTCTGGATGGGGGAAATAAACTCACACAGTTCATCCAAAATCCATTATTTCATCTTAAATATTTATTTATTTATTAAATTTGTATGCCATCCATTACTTGCGTCTCTGGACGGCTTACAACATATTTTGCATAATAAGACCACCATTTTCTCCGATGCTTTCATGCTGGTCTAGCTGTGTTGATAAATTGCCTTTTTAGCTCCTCAGTGTGTTAATTCTGTTTTAAATTGTGTATGCTGAAAGTTCTGTGCCGTTTGTGCTTGTACTCCAGCTCATGTCTTATGAATTGGGGTGAGCTGCTCAGACAGCTTCCGCTCTTGGGAGGTGTAGGAACGAACAAATGAATCAAATATTTTACTTTCCGTTACTTCCCTCTGGCAAAGTGAACTTTCTTTTGCAACTAGGTCACGGACAAAATGGATGAGACAGGGGGTGCCACACCAAGTAATCCTGGGTGAGTACAGTAGGAAATGGGGGGAAGAAACCTGCCCGGTGGGGACAGCCTCTCCTCCACTTTCAAGTGCGTATAATGGTGGACCACGTGGGCTGGTCCCGCTCTCCTGATGCAGCCAGTGGCTCCACTACTGGCAACCACGCAGGGAGGGCCACTATACACACACTGATGTACACATGCAGGGCTTCTCCGCACAAGGAGATGCAAATCAGACCGTGGACGGAGCCCTTCCTTCGTGCTGCTTGTGTGTGGGCATATGCTGGAGGGGGAGGACAGCCTTCCAGATTCCTGATTTTCACATCCTGGCCTGAGATGGTGCCTTCTAGAGTTGCTACTAGATGGGCAACACACGGCAGGGCCCACATGTGGCTTTCTGCACTGAGCTTCACAACAGCCCAAAGCCATGGTAGTTTACCCCTATAGGGTAGACATTTCACTTTCAAGGAAGCTAAACTTGACCTGTTAGTTGCTTTAAAGCAGATAGCCATTGAAACTCAAAGCAGGAGATCTTTTCACTGCCATCACAGGAATGTGACTCACAGGAAAAAATAGTCCCCAACCCCATCCCTCAGGTTTGGGCCACCCCGTCCTTTATTGCTGACACTAGACAGCGTCATGCATAACCACAAGCAACAGTGGAAGCCCCAGGGCATGGCTTGTCATTATGTCTGAACCCAGCAAGCATCCTGAAAACAAGGCACGTTTGGTCTGTGTGGAACCACACAGAGAGAGAACAGCTTGTTCTAAAGCAGGGGTCTCAAACTCAACTTACCTGGGGGCCGCTGGAAGTAGAGTCTGGGTGAGGCTGGGCCGCATCAAGTATTCCACCCCCGCGGTGGTGGGGGGCTGCTCATCCCGTGGCCGGCCCAGGCGCCGCCAGCGCTTTGAAGGCTGCAGGCCCTTCCCCCGTGCCCCGCCCATCCCGGCAATTGGCCCATGGGCCACGAGTTTGAGACCCCTGTTCTAAAGTTTCCAGGTTCTGACCAGAGAGTTCCGCAGCAAGAATGGCCACAACCGCAGCAGACACTCCTGCCTGCACTCTTCGCTTTCCAGATCTGCCTAGCAGCTGCTGAGCTGCAGGCAGCAACACTCTGATTGGCTGCTCCAAGCTCCCTTTCTGCCTTAACAGTGTATGACTTTCCCACGCCTGGCAACGAAGTCTCACCTGAACAGCCCGTGTCTCCCACCCTGCCCTCTGCTCCTATCCTGTCCTTTGCATTCCTAGACTCAGAACAAGCTCTGTTGTCCTGTCCCATCACACAGCTCTGAGACAAACACTAATAGTGTGCCAGAAAATTTTATTGGGTAGATGCCCAGACAGGCTCCCTTGGGAAAGTCTGCTCAGCAGGGCACTCCTCTGGCAAGAGTGCCCACACTGATGCTCTCCTAGCTGTGTCAGGGATGCAAGTTGGGACCGTCAGCACATGAAGTGTGGCCCTTCAGCAATATTAAGCACAAGTTCTGTTGTGTCCTTAATATTATGCTGGTTCAAAAGACAATGTCTAGGGAAAGACTTCGTCAAGACTTTTGTGTATGCATGGTATGAATAGTGCTTAATATGGATTAGTCATTGAAGAACTTAATATAATTACTGGATTAGAGTGGACAACAGGTGGCCCTCCAGATGCTTGGGCTTACAAATCCCATCACGCCTGAGGGCAGGCTAACTAGGAATGATGGGAGTTTAGGCTAAAACCTCTGGAAGGTACACGCTGTTGGGTGAGCCAAATATTGTCTGTTTGGCCATCAGTGCTGCTGGATCTTTTTAGCTGTAGACAGAGGTGGAGCCCCAGCCCTTCTTCATGCAAAGCTTGTATGCTACCTTTCCTTGGTGAAGGCAAACAAACCAATTCAGTGTCAGCAAATTCAGTGTTGCAAGTTCTTAATAGACGGTCGCTTGGTTTGTGGCACTGTGAATTGACTGTTTGCTAAAGAAAAGTCTGCTTTAAAAACTCATTTTCATCGCTTAGGGCAAAAACAGCCCCAAAAAACATAGGAGTTTGCTTTGACTCATCAATCAACTCAGTCTTGAGTTGATTAATGAACTAAATGTTTTGCAGAATGTTTTATAAATGGAGGCTTTTCTTTCAGCTGCACAGCTGAGAGTGTGGCTCCAGCACTGGGAATAACGTGGTCCAATCAGCTACTGATGAGACTGATGGTGAGTCGCACGTTCTGCCAAGCTGCCAGACACCCATCAAGCCATAACGGAAGTTCCCTGCGGACAATGAGGGTCATTTTTGCTCCTCACCTGCCCCCGTCTTTCTGCTACTATACAGTGAACCTGGAAGGTGTGAGAGGCATAAAAGAAGAAACTCCAACATGATTAATGAAGAAGGCTATAAAGCAACCAGTCTTTTGTTTCCTATAAAAATAGGAGAGCCACCATTAAAATGAGCCTGAAATACTTGTCCAACAATACTCTCCTTTTAACTACTGCTTTTTCTCTGCGCCTCTGTAGTGGAAACAATGGCAGACCACTCATGTTACTCAACTGGATGGCACCCTTGGTAAAAAGCTGGAAAATGTCAGTGGCTGAGGTTCAATGCAGCCTATGACAACACAACAGAGTAAGTACTGGGAAAGACCAGCACAATTTTAGAGTGACACAACATGAAAGGTTTAAACTTCAGACAGGCTGTACTGATATTGTGCCAGTATCCTTCAGAGAGCCAACAAAGGGGAACCCCACGTAACAGCTCACATGCCTCTTGTATACTTTGATTTGACAGTGCAGTAAAATAAAGAATTCCCTTTGTTGTATGTTTATTTGCATGTGTGTTAACAGTAGCGTTATTAGTAGCAAGCAAGCATTTTGACCGAAACAAAACCTTTCTGAACTGAGTACTCTTTGAAGCCAGTCACATCTTTTTCGTATGTTGTTAGAGCACAGTAGCTCAATTAAGTGTACTTAGCTCTGCAGTAGATATTTTAGGTTGGCTCCAAGATCTGCTTTTTGGGAGCAAAAGACTCCGCTTGCAGGTCCCCCTGCTTAACTTCTGGGGATACCCCCCCAACAACTCTTTCAACAGAGTCTCCCCATTTTCTCCAGCATTTTCAGAAGATTGAAAGGTTTAGGGAATAGCACTTCTATGAAAGCATTTGTCATGGCAGCAATTTCTGTGTTGATTACGTGAAGAAATGTTGGAGGCAAGTGCCTGCTGCTTCTTATTTTGTTTAACAACATAGAAGCACCCAATTCCTGGAATGTTCTATGACATTTAAATTTGGAAAGTCTAGGTTGTAACAAAATAACAAACCATGGGAAATTGTTGGGTTACCTCTGGGTTGTTTGGCCAAAAACACTCATTGTTGCTAGGTTGAGACATCGCAAAACAACCCAGAAAAGGGGCCTTCAAGGGTTATTGACTTGAAACTAGAAAGGTTATTGACTTGAAACATCACTTGCAGTATACATGCCCAGGAATTCCTGGGTTAAACAACTCAGGAATTGCCAGTGTGATGGCTTTAAAATATCCAACTGTATGGAGAACAGGCAATATTCAATTAGTCTGAAGTATCCAAAAGATGCATAGATTAAAGCCCTAAATGGCTTGGGACCAGGATACCTAAAGGAATGCCTTTTTCCCTATATGTCACCCCCCGCCCGGCCCCTAAGATCGGCAGCAGAGGCCCTCCTCCAGGAACCCTCTTTGAAAGAGGTCAGGAGACAGAGTACTCGGAGGAGGGCCTTCTCTGCGGTGGCACCCCGACTGTGGAATGCACTCCCTAGAGAGCTCTGCCTGGTGCCGTCGCTATATGCTTTTCGGCGCCAGGTCAAGCCCTTTTTATTTGACCAATAGTTTAACATATAGTAATTTTAATTGTGTTAGATTTATTTAATTTATTTTAAATAGATTAGTTTTATGCTCAGTGTGGAACAGTTTATTTTATTGAGGACTGAAATAATGTAAGCCATCCAGAGATGACAGTGATGGATGGCCTACACATTTTCTAGATAGAGATCTGAGCCCCTCCCATTCCTCAGTGTCCCTGCTTAGTGGAAAAAACACTATTACCTTTTAGACATATGAATGACATAGGCAGCCTTTTTAAAGGTTTGGTCTTTTTCCTGCTACTTCTCCTGTATGCTTGTGGGTAAACTGTGGTACTTATCCTGTTCCATGCCACCACAATGTGGAAATTTGGTTCCTTATACTCCACGGGAAATGTGGCTCCTTAACCACTATAGCACCAAATGCAGCAAACAAGCCTCTCTCTATCGCACACTCTGTCTCGCTTCCACCCTACCAAACATTCCCCAAATTGGAGGATCTAACTATCCATCCTTTCTGAGCCTGCTTATAAATTCATTTCAACTTCTTACAATTGACATTTTGCTACTGCCATTAAACACAATATGCCAATAATTTCACAGTTGTTGTTGCGAAGTCGCGTCCGACAATCACTGTCATGAAGAATGAATCAAAAGAGTCTTTTAAATTTTTAGAACTTCATTTACTTACACTGTGTCCTAACATTATATAAGATTCAACTGTGTTTTAAAAGAGCAAAAATAGCTTACTAAAATTCTTACCAATAAAACTATATATTTTTATAAATTATAATTATGATATGCTGTGTAATTACTTAATGGAGGCTGTAACTTAACTAAATTAATTTCTATTAATTCCTCTTTTTCTCAAATATCAGAGAAAAAGATACAAAGTTCTCCCTCTGAACCTAGACTTACTGAAATGAGGCCAGGTTCTACATAGCCCTTCCAATATTTTGACCAGTGCCTTTTCTCTAACAGGCTCACTTTAGCGTCTCCTGAAGTCCTCCTCCTGGCCGATTACTTGGCCAGGACATCCTCAGACCATTAGCATGGTTGCTTCTTCTGAAGTCTTTCTTCCTCTAGGACACCACAGAATAAGACTTCTAGTTGGAAGTCTGCTCAGTTTTTGCCTTTCAGCTAGTCTGCCGTTCTCTGGCTCTAGTGACCACCACCAGGCCATACAGCTCCAACTGATTGCTGACTGTTTGGAACTGTCCTTTTGATAGAATTAGTCAGGACCCTTCAGCTCATGAATACCTGCCAGCTCATTGGCCTATGACTAAAGCCAATGAAAATCAATAGGGTATTTTAAAGCGACCTATCGCAACGTGTTCTTTTGAATCTTGTCTATCCTATAGGCTGACAGCCATTACAACTGTAACCACTTCTTTGTGACAGCAACTTTTATTGGCAATTAGCAGTAATTATGCACAGGGGGCTCTACTCATAGATGTCACAAACTACAGAGGTAACTCTTTCACTTTTCTCTGATAACTTTTATACCTTTTCAACCTATGGGTTGTAAACCTTCCTGAGAATCCTTTGACTAAAGGAATGGCATAAAAATGCCATAAATAATAAATCATATAACAGAGCACACCCATTTGTAAACTTTACATTTTAAGTATCCAAGTTTTTTAGATTCTCTGCACTGCAAATGTATAGAATAAGATGTTTTTTCCTTACCTTGAAAACTGGTTTAGTGGGAAATAGGAGTACAAGTCAGGATCACACATACTCACCCAAAGGAAAAAACCACGCAATGTGTGGTTACCCAAACACTTTGTTTGCTCCTAAGACTCATTGGAATACCCAAATGTGCCCATTCTTTGTTTCTAAATGTAGCCAACCACTTAAATTTCCTGAGTGAGTTGCATTGCAATTCAGTTTTTCTGAGTCCCGTTACTCTAAAAATGGGAAGAACTGAGCATGTATTGCTCATTGAAATTAAATACTTAACATTAGCTGAATTGTGATTCTAAAAAGTAACATAATACTACAACTTAAGAAAAATTACCAGGTATTACAACTATAAAAGGTAAAGGTTTCCCCTTGACATTAAGCCCAGTCATGCCTGAGTCTAGGGGGCGGTGCTCATCTCCATTTCCTAGCCGAGGGAGTCAGCATTTGTCCGCAGACAGTCTCTGTGGTCATGTGGCCAAAGGGAACTCACCCCATTGTACAAATTTGAATCAGTGACCTTTCAATCAACCAGCCCAGCAGCACAAACCACTTGGCCACCTGCAGACCCTTATTACAACTATATATAGCATGAATTAGCTCAAGTCTTACAGTTGTTGGTCTCATCTGTTACGTCCAAACATAAAACTATCTTATTTCAAATCAAGTTTCATTAACTTTGGAATTACACTAATTAGCCCTTTTTGTAGGTTCCTTTCTCATGCAGAAGTTTGATTTTAAAAATAAATGTAAGCCTTGGCTTTTACACTACTTTAGGTTTTCTTTCATTCACATTTGAACATAATTCTTGCCCAAGGATTCATTTTTTTTACTTACAAACCCACACGTACGTATAAAGAAAGCCACCATTACAGTTTTCTTTTTGTTTCAATATTTTATTTTTACAATTTGAAAATGCCAAGGAAGCTTTACATGTTAAACAGTTTCATAATGGACCACAACTCTGTAACAAGTTTAAACTGAAAACAAAAATGTGAGGAATTGTTTAATGGAAAATGCTCTGCACTTCTGGAGAAAGTTAGCTGTTTTTAAAAGTTGCACAACCTGCTTTTTGTTGTTCTAAATTTCAATGGGGCCATAGGAATAAAAATATATTTGGAAAACTAATGTGACAAGCTGAACATGAGATTGTTCTAGTTAAAAATAAGTACTTGGAGGGAGAGGTTAAGTCAATAACAGTTATTGACCTCTTATGTACAAACTGAAAATGATTCACTGAAAATGATTCTTACCATAGGAACTGAATTCAAAATTTGGGTTTGTTTTTTTTAAAAGCAGCTAATTAAAATCAACATGTAGAATTGTGTTATTTTTAATGGATTTAAACAAATGTATCCCATTTCTATATTTAGGCTGTTTCCAATTTTAAAGCCAAATGGTAATTGCAACATAACCAAACACTTCTTTAAAAAATACCACAGCTACCTTGAAAACTCTTCACTGAGTAAAGTAGCCTCAATGCTTTAATTTGATTTGCCGATATCTTTATTTTGTGCCTCCAGAAGGAAAACGAATGAACTACCCACTTTTATGAAGATAAGCAGCTTATGAACTTTTCTAAATCTGTAGCCTGGATTAGCTGGATGTGCTGAGGGGCATTACACAATGCTCCCATCAGCTGCAGCCATGATGCCAAGTGCAGCAGGGGAAACTCAATTCAGATTTGTCCGGGCACTGGGTAAGTCATGGATATGTATCTGCCCATTACAAGCACTGCAGTGCTACTGGCAAAAACAGCAGATAAAGAATGAGTTTAGGATCACAGGGTTTTTCTGATCTGGTTTAGTCTGAGTAGAATTTGAATTAAATACAATCCCATATTATTACAGGGCAATATTTATGGTGGGGGGGTTGCTGTGCAAGCCGTTTGCATCCCTAGACACCTCTGATGCCAACAACAAGAACTCTTGTTTTCACAGACTGTACTCAAGTGTGTACATGATCATGCGCCAAGGTGCCTGTTTTACAGCAAGTGAATGTTCAGCACAAAATAGCAGCTTTCAGAAAGAAAAAAATACAAGCTAAAAGAAAATTATACATTTCAACTTAACAGTGTAAACAATTTCAGTAAAGCACTACACATTCTGTTTTCAGCTCATATGTACAATAGAACTTCACAGCCCAAAGTCAGTGGAATCCTACTTTTAGCTCCATATAGCGCTCAAATTTCTCCAGCTTGATAGCTTGCATTCATCTAATTTCTCACTGTTGACCTCTGGTAAGTTCTAATGTTTTGCAAAACATTAACAAAAACTGAGTACAGCCTGGCACATTTCAGCTCAATTGGCTTCAGCGTTCCTACATAACTGGATCTTGTACTGGAAGATCATTTGGATTTGCTCACTTTTTCTCCCAGATGTAACGCATGCCGCCATAGAAGCACTGTTGCAAATGCGTACTTGTGAGAAACCTTGTCAGGTTATTAATCCACGTGAGCTGTCTTGTTTTAGGAAGATCCTGGAACAAGACAACTGTCTCTTTCCTGTTCTTGCTTAAGGAACTGTTCCACCATTCTATGACGGCAGACAGTTCCGAACATTTCATGTGTCTAATTCAACAGAGTCATTCCCAAAGGTAGAAGGCAAGTATCCACCCCACATGCAATTCCCTTTCAAGGCCTTTTTCACAAGGAGAGTGCTTAGGGTACTGACTGGGCTTCTTAAAGCTGTACAGGGCCATGTGGCAAAGGACACTGATGAAAGAAAGACCATCTATAATACTGTGAACCAGGCACTCATAGTACTGTCTAAAAGGTTTTATGCCATCATGATAGGTAATTTAGGATAATCACTACCTACACGGATCTAAGTTTCAATTGCAAAAAGTGGGCTTTCATGGGCTTCATTTCCAAGGAGTTGCCATTTTGCATCCAAGCAGGCAGACTATTATTCCAAAGGGCAATTTATTAAATTCTCTGGTAGTAAAGATGCTTATTGGACAGAGGATACATTAGCTCTACAACTTAGCTTGAAATTTATGCTGTTTGGACTATTATGCTGCACACAACTGCTTGGAAGGAGCACACGCTAACCTTGAAAGTAATGGACAGAATCCAAAACTGCATGATAGGAACTGCACTAAAGCAACAGGAGCTGCCTTCCCTTCCTTCCTCCAGCAGCCTTCCATGCAGACCTCATAACCTGCTGCAGAGAATTCGAATCCTCCAGATTTTGGATGGCACAAAGTTCCAGAGGGAGGGAAGGATGGAATCCATTTTGCTGATAGATCATACTCTAATTTGTATGTATGGACGTACATACTTGGATTTTTCCTACTGTTCTCACTGGTCATGCTAATTCAACAATAGTTCTGGGATACATGATTTCACATATAGATATAGGCTACCAAAGAAGCCTGCTGGAAAGAGAAAAGCAACCATGCCCTTGGAGTTCATGTGGAACAATGAAGATTGTTGCCCAAGGCTGCTTTTGTGACTGGCAAGGCACTATGGCCTCTTTTAGGACAGCTTGTGTACACAGCCAAGGATCCATACTCTGCCACATGTACTACAGCTCCACAGCTTGAACTTTGGGTACTTCGTCAACCAACGTAAGAGAATGGTGTGCTTGGTAGATGGCATATTTATGTTCCAACAATGGCCACTTGTACAAATGAAAATGCTAAACTGAAACCTTCTTTCAGAACACGTAACATGGATTTAAAATATACAGAATGTTCAAAAACCAAGTCCTGCTGTTTCTAAAACACTATGCTGCAGGTAGGGTGCAAATAAATGGTGTATTTAAAATGGCATTATCGTAGACTGACAACTTACCAAGCTGCCCTGCTACCCACACAATGGCAGGATCGTCCACAGGCCGTGTAGCAAACCACACACTTAGCAGCCTGAGTTAAGTAGGCTGGCCGTGGGTAATGAACAGAAATCTCTTCCCCATCCTGGCCATCTGCAGATGTATTTGCGAGGCTGACCAGCCCTACATTATGCAAAGGTGCTGCACAGCACCACAGGATGTCTCCTGCAGGCCATCCCAACAAGAGTATTGCCACCCTGGATCAGGCATTGACAAAGTCTGAAACACTTGACATACAATAGGAATGTTTTCAAACTGCAGTTTAGCAGAAAAGACCTTCCAATTTATGCCATGTTTATTTCATTCTTAGGGTGCATGGCAAGTTTATCAACTGTAATCTTCTACGAAATTGAAAGGTACAGTGTGAATCTTCCATTTTAAAGCAAAATGGCATCAAAAGATGTGGGACAACACAATTCCCAACTATGTTAAACACAGACAAGTTTCTCTAAGTATTTCACCTGAAGCTATGTTACTGCATCATCTCTTCCTCAGTTTTTTTTAAAGACCAATTAACTGGGAGGAATACAATGATTAGCAAGTAGGAAGTCCTATGAAAGATTTTTCTCCATTCCATACCCACTTGCAAATACAGAACAGACTAACCCATCATTAGCCTAATAGGATTTCATTCTGAAAAGTTTATACAGTCCTAGCTTCTAAAGTAAGTTTTAGTAATGCATATTTACTAGTGTTCATCGATAAAACTTTTAGCAACTGGAAATAGTGTGAAATTCTAAGCAGAACCACAATGTCACACCTAGGTAGTAACAGCATTATTTTCTTGAATTTACTCTATATCTCTAGAAGACTTTTTGGATATGTGAATTTCTACCACTGTACAAAAGGACCAAAGGGCCTCAGCTACAGGAAAGAACAGATGGGCAGAGTCTGTTGGGAGGAATGCTGGATGGAAACATCATCAAGGAAAAGTACGAATACTCCGTGCCTGCTACAAGTCATTATTCTCGGGCTTACTTGCAACTTAGGGCTGGAGTGTTTGAGGACCATAGATAGTAATTACCATTCTTGCTTGTTTTGTTCATTCCACCAACTTTCCAAAGCAAGTTCAGATTATATGTAGAGCTTCCAAATTAAACATAAGAGAGTTAAGAACAAGAGAATCTCCATTATGAACCTGCAAGCACAATTCTCATTCACAAACAGCCTATAGGATTCTAACCAAAAGTGCTACTCATTTTAATAGCACTTAACCCCAGAGAATTACCATACAGCTGTTGCCACACCAACATTCAGCAGATATATCTCAGCACACAATCCTGATCAAGTGCATTCTATACACAACTTAAGCATCTGGCTTTCTGAAAAAGGAATTTGTAAACTAGGTAAGCAGTTTTAGTGACATCAAAGCTGTATAGCTCAGTTTAATAAAATGCTTACTTTTCTCCTTATAAGATGACAACATTAATCTCATTTTATTATTCCTACCAACCAGAATTAATGTTTGCTATAACCATAATCACAACATACACACTCTTCACCCTTGTTTTCAAATACCAGCTTTGCAAAATGGACAGACTTGAAAATTATATGCGTTTCATGAAAGCATGGGCTATAAACTCAAGTGCTGAAACATTTACTCTCTCCAGCCTGGTCCCCTGAGAATTGAAGTGCATCACCCAACTATATATTAAGCAAATGGATGATTAAGACACAACCAGCCAATATTATGCTTTCACTCTGACATAGCAGCTAGATCCCAGTACACTTGATTTTTATCCCCTTCCCATTCTGAACAGAGGCAGAACTCGAGAGACAACAGTAACAATATTTAAGGGCCCTGAAGAGAAGATGGGTGCTCTAGGTGACAGACAAAAGGCAAAAGTCTTAAAAGCTGGTTGGCTTTTAAGCCTGTTCCTTGTGTTCCTTCCTCCCAGTTTAAAGCTAACTGCACTACTGCCATTGACTGTTAGGCCCAAAACGACAAGAAGTGATCACCTTTCTCACACCACATTTTGAAGTAGTGTCTAAGCCGCTCAATTGCAGTATATTAGAATCTTGCTTTACTAGTTATAAAAAGGTGAAGTCCCAGTCAACAGTTAGACAAGCTCTGTGCAAATTCTGACAACCAACAACGTAAGCCTTCAACAGTACACAATCCTGGTTTTATACAGTGATCAACTTAATGCAGATCTCTCTCATTCCCTCAACTTTATAAATAGTTACTAACATACCCTTTTTGTAATAGTTTTTAAAACAGCATGTCCAAAACTGCTTTCACACTATCTTAGATTTCAGTACATTTACTGTGTTGTGGGTCCCCCCATCAGCCCCACAACAAAGGGATATGTAACACAATTCCATATAACTAGCAGTGAAGCAACAACCCCTGCATGTCTCACAAAGAAACTAGTCACTAACTCTTTAAAATGCCACTGATTTTCAGACGACCTAGGAAGAGCAGTCCATTCAGCGATGTCTCTAACCTAGTTGGTTCTAGAAAGAGGAGTGGCAAGGGACCCAAAAACTGTGAACCTCAGTGCTTCATAATTCACAAGGGAAATTTTTTATAGCTAGCGTTTGTCCCAGAATCTCAGTGGGCCAAATCAGTATGACTGGCACTCAGAGCTCTTGAGTCTGTCAGACAATTAGTTCGTCCCTGCATGGGGAAAGAGAAGGGAAAGAGTTTATGCGTAGTTCCAAATTATTCCAATCATTTAAAAATACAAACTCTAATTGGAAAAACAGTACATAATAATTAAAAATAAAAATAGAACAAGTAGTACTGCTCACCTGCAATTAGTTTCAATAGGCTTCAACTCAGTTTCAGAATGATTCATAAAACTTATAATGTAATATCTTAAAGACTTTGTTCCAATTTGCAATGAGAGAATTTCCTACAATCCCTACCACTCAAACGGGAATCCAAAGAACCCTACACCTGAAAAGTGTGTGTGAGCCTGGTATCACTCCTTACAACTCTACCGTCAAGAAAACATTTTTATGACCTACACCAGGGTTGGGCAACTTGTGGCTGCCCAAATGTTTTGGCCTACAATTCCCATCATCCTTAGCCAGCATAACCAATGGTAGGGATAGAATGCAAGTTGCAGGAAAAATGTCTGAAGGGCCACAAGTTGCCTACCCCTATTCTGGTGGATTTACCCTTTATGCCAGTCTATTGCCATTTCTCTGCTAATCCTACAGGATATTGTATTTCTCAAAAAGTTTATTAAAAAGCTCAGGTTTCTAGAACAGAGTTAAGGGCTACCTTTAGGGATCTATATTAATGCAAGAATATTTCAAGCAACTGGAAATTATTCTATTCAGGCTGTTTCTTCACCATATGTAACCTTTTAACAAGTACAACAGGTTAGTACAGAAGCATTGGCTACTTCATGACATGAGTTAGTTGTAGTTACGTGTTAGTTGACAGGCACAACACAAAACATTGGTAATTTAGGTAAAGCCGTTATGTGAAGCATAGGTAAAGATCACAGCACATGAAGAGTATATTTCCACAGAAACAATATGTAAGTGATGCGGTAAGAACTTTAGCTCATCCTATGGAGTGCGCTAGCCCTTACCCTAAAATTCACTTCCTTTGCATTTCTCTGTAATTGAAGGTTTAAAAAGAATCCTTATTAGAATCCCTGACTGGCTTCTATGGAGGCCTTTGCCAGAGTAGAGACTTTTCTGCATTCACTCAGGGATGCAACAAGGTACCCCTTCCATCCGTAGTTCCTTGGGATGGATCAAGCGATGCTCTGAACAGTCACTTCAACCTTCAGGAACAGGTGAAGGCAGAAGCCCACAGCAGGAAAAGATCAAGCACTGAAAATTCCCAGTAACCACATAGGATTCCAGCCACTGTCACTTTAAACTGAACTCTGCAGTCCACACTCTGGAAAGCTCAAAGAAACTATTTGCTAAATGATATTTCTCACACTGCAGTAATGTCTTGGATACTGTTCAACAGTAAGATTTTAACATGAACAAAACCAAAAAAACAGAACCAAGCTAAGATTCAATAGCTGCTAAAATGCCTATCCAATTAAGTCTCTCTCAGAAGACTCTGGAACATTACAAGGCGCAAGCTTTTCACAGATCTGGAGCGGGAGATCCAATTCCAAAGGAACCAAGAATAATTTTTTACTTGCTTTTAATAGTCCCAATCTAAGGACCAGCATGATATTCTCAAAAAAACATTCTGACGGTTCTGAAAGGTCACAGGATGAAGCAAGTAACAGCAGCTGGTCAGCCTAGCAGGGTTCAAGTTTTCAAGAGCTTGATGGAATTTTGTTAACATATTTCATATTCTACAAACCACTGGACAGTAACACTGGCAGGATATGTCTTGCCAAGACCTGCTTGTGAGGAGGCATATAGCTCTGTGCCCATGTTAGTCTCTGATCCATAATAAGGGTGGCTTTCTGAGGAGCATATTAGAGCAGTACAGGCCTGAAGTAATAGAGGCATAAGCCAATAGTCTTTACAGATGTAACTGTTCACCTGCACAGGAGCCTTTTCTGATTGATTGCCAATATTTACACAAATGTGTATCCCTTGCTTTCCTCTAACAAAAAAGATATATGAAAGTAGTGCATAGACATTGGATGTCCACTCCTACAGGGCAAGCAGAGGACATGAACGACGTCACGGGGAAGCATGTAACATGCAATCCGCAACTGTGGTCTAAAGTGTTCTGGTCAGGAAGAGTTTTCTTTCCTCATCCACTGACTGAATGAAGCAAGCCTTGGCACTGATGTATATTGGTCATGCTGACTGATCTGGGACTTGAGAACAAACCTTCAGAGGTGAGTAGGGGCAGTTCCGAATCACCTGCAAATATCAGCACCTAACAGGATCATCTCACAAATGCTAACAGCTCTTGGCAGCCACTTTTTTAAAACGGAGCTCATCCCACACAGAGACTGCATGTAGAGGTTTGCCACAATGATGAAGCAAACAATTTGGCTTATTGAACAGCTTGCATTTCCAGAATTTTTAAAAGATATGTAAAGATTAGGTATGTAAAGTTGCTGAAACAGAATAAAATATGGACCTGCCTCCACACAGCTGACTGCGTGTTTGGAGTTGGACACCAAATTCTCCAGAACTACTACCATTCTACTGACAGATACAGCTTTTCAATCCAAGCCCTGCTAGAACCATCTAATTGTGTAAGAATATTATAGGGCTCCTTACTTGAAAGTGATCTTCTGTTGCCTTGCCACCCATGTTAAGAACATTCAGTGAACTGGCACGCTTCATGCTGGACAGTGAACATGCAAGGATAAACCAATCAGAAGGGCTTTGAACACACATGATGTATACAGCAAGTATTTTATTGTAATGTAACTCCCACCATCTTTTATATGCAAATTCTTTTTAGATGCATTTTCCTGTATCTAAACTGTCTCAAGGTGAGTCACCAAAACATTCAACTTTTGATTGCTCTTGCACAGGAAGCTTTAAATGTAGTTCCATTTAAATCAGTATCAGAGTTAACAATTACTGTATGTGAGCCCAACTTGAGGGTCTCTAGTCTCTTAAAAAAACACAAAAACGTAAGCTACTCAGAGACAGTTGCTTCTTTAGGGTCACCACATTCAATAATGGCAGCATTTTACTGGAATTTTAGCAAACTTTATACAATTGAGGTTTTGATTTGCAAAGTTTTGATATAATTACATGATTCTCAACTCTTTAAGGGATCATGGGCCAGATTTATCTCATGCCTGGATTGTGAGATGTAATGTGGACAAGGTAGTGAAAGTTCTGCTCCAGTATCTTACATGAATTAATTGAAGCTCTCAATTCTCAGAGGACAGTATTAACTGCTGATATATTACTCAACTAACATAATTTTGCAGTTGGAAATTTGTTACAGAGACATGAGATTTCCACAGCGGTTTTCCAAGATTTTTTTAGAAATTCCCCAAATTGAGCCACATCTGTTTCCCTTCGAGAAAGTCTTTATAAGCTGGTTTGTGTTTAATATAAAGTAATCATGAACTGCACTGTGGAGGATCAGATGATCACTGTTTCTCTACAGCATTAGTGTCAATATCTGTATCGTAATGCTCAGTTGTTATTTAGTGCTATAATCCTGAAATTCAATAACTGTGGGCAGATCTTTAGAAATATGTAGGAGCCTACTAGTCCCTCACCACTGCCCCGTATGTGGAAGGTCTATGAGACCGCTGACCCATTGACATGATATCTATGATGAACAATTTTTTAAGCTGTAGGACAGGGAGCCTTACTGAAAAACAGCCTGCAACACCCTTCTTTTCCCCCATGGATTAGCAGAGTTAGAATGTGATGATCTAAAGTGCTTGGTCTTACAAGTGAGAAGGAGAAAATATGTAGACCAAGAAAGGATGGGCATTCCATATTCCTTCAGGTCAGGGTGACAAAAAGGCAAAACTTCTGTCTAGACTACATTGCAGCAAGCCCAGGCTTCCTGAAAAATCCTTCTTTAAACTGAAACTCATAAGTGTGTGTGTGTGTGTGGGGTGGGGGGGAGAGTGTGATGTTCTAAGTTTTTAAAAAAATCATTGGGCATAACTAAAGTACCATTTTGAATCCCAACCAAAAAGTAAACACAAAACTGAAGTTAGCAAGATCTTGTATATGTGGAGATTATGCAACCATTTTACTGTAACTATAAGTCTGGAATTTGGAAAACAGAATAAAGTTTATGAACAAAGTTATACATACTTGTATAACTGGGCATAATCTTTATGACTTTACCTACATAGTCAATGCTAGTATGCTTCAATTTAAGCAACACAGTTTAAAGGCTCCAAGAACAATGCACATATATTGAAATGTAACACAAGTGTTAGCAACACAAAGAAGCAGTAAGTCATGCAATGTTGACACCTCTGAGTTATTTATTTATACAAAAATAATACAGTAAGCATACAAATGTTAAACTAAAAATGCATACACTGCCACAAAGAACATACACACAAAACTTATATTTCAAATAATAAATAAATAAAATTTCAAAATCCACAGAGACTATGCCAAAGTGTTAAAGAACAAACAAACAGAAAAAAACCAGTGTTTCATTATGACCATGTCTTTGCTAGGGAAAAAAAAACAGTAGCTTCAGAAAAAAAAATATAGTTATATGAAACCATTAAAAAATTGGCAAGTATACTTCGGCATTTTTCAAGTTTGAAGCAAAAATGTAGTGAACCTGTTTACTTATGCAGTTCCCTTTGCATGAGAATCTACAACTGGTTAATGGCACTACTATTCTTACAATACACCCTTCAAGAAGATACCAGTGAGGCAGGAAAGAATATCTTTAGGGGACTTGCTTGATAATAGCAGTAAGCCTACTAGACAGAGAGTCAGCTAAATTTCCTTGTGCAAGTTCAGTAATGCAGTGGTGCAAATGTTAACTGAGAGGTGGCTTTCAAGTTAAGGATTAATGGCTAATCAGAAAATAATGCCACTACTACAGCAGGGATCCTGATTAAAAGTTGAGTAATTTGATTATACAAATGTTGGTATGGGCAGAGTCTGTTAGCCTGTATATTCCTCAACTTTGGTTGATTTCCTCTTCCAGTAGTAACTTTTCCAAAGATGTGGACAACTTGGTCCATGCACCATTGTTGGACCCATGTCTCTCAAGCAGCAACCCCCAATACTAAATGGCATATAAGCAGGTGTCTCAAAAACAGGTAGTGATGATGCTCAGGGCAAAGTCAAAACACTCCCTGGGCATGTACAAATTCTTCGGTATACCTCAAAGTAGCTCTTTGGATTCCAGCATATGGAGCCTATTTAGGAATCCCTGAAAGCTGCAGATTACAAAAACTTAGCTTAAACTACAGGGCATGAGGTCTCCTCAAAAATAATTTGTTAAAATTCTTCAGAGCAACATGAATACATGATTGTTCACACAACGGAATTCCCTATATAAGCGAAGGCCAAGTGCAATACCATCATTATTAGGACAAACCAATGTTCACAATGCAGAATGTGAGAATTCAAGTTACACACTGGATGATGCAAGAACAAGGCTTTATCCCTATCAGTGAGTTAAGATTTTTTCATCACCTATAATAAGAAAAGAAGTCCAAACAGAAGCAGGCTCTCTAGCTCTGTCACCTGGTTATTCCTTAGCTGTGCTGCCTGTGGGATTAGAAACCTTGCTCCAGCAAGAAGCTAGAAGGGCAAGAGAGGAAAGTGCACTGCAAGACTGGAGCGCCGTTTCCGCTGCATGAATGATAAAAAGGCCAACAAGGCAGAGCAGGGAGGAGAGCCCAAGAACTACAGGTCCAGGAAAAATGCTCCATCTCAGGTGGACTGTCCCGCTGAAGCAGTGTGCCACTGAAAGGGACAAGGCTAAATGACATTGCACATGTGCACCACTGGGCAGCAAACAGCTTGCCCTCACAGTCTACTTGCTCCCTTATGCAACGATATTTCACCCCTCTTGGCCATCACACAGTCAGTCCGTCCGTCCGTCCGTCTTTCTATACTATCTAATAGCTGATGCTCTCTGAATACGAGTTCTACATCTGAATATGTTTGCTATGTTTCATTGCATTAAATACAGTGCAGGATAGTACACTGTATAGTTTAAAACTCTTTGTCTTGCTCCCAGCTGGAGTTCATGTACACATTTATACACACGTAAAGACGCTCCTCCAGGTATTGCTGCATGCATGCGTATGGAACATGAGGATTGTGCTGCACCATTTATTTCCCTAGTGCTTTCATGACCATTTATTCAACAGAAGCCAGTAAGCAAGTTCCAGTGGTAATCACATACAAAGATGTGATACTGGTAAGGTTAAAGAAAAGACTGAAGTGTCTGTTTACAGCATGGATCCTCAAACTACAGCCTGTGGGCCGGATCCGGCCATCATGCCCATTTATCCGGCCCACCTCAGAGGTTTTGGACTCCCTGGGCCCACCACCGCCCACAGCGAGGCGGCAGCTTGCTTGCTCCGAGATCATTTTGGACTCACTTGGAGATGTCCGAGCGAGCAAGCTGCCGCCTTGCCACCCACGCCTGCCACTGCCTCGCTGTGCGAGCGTCTGTCGCTGCCTTGCCGCGCCCACTGACGGCACCACCCTTCAACTGGGCCCCTGTTGAAAAAGTTGGAGGACCCCTGGTTCAGAGATTAGAAGATAAAATTCAAACCTCAATGGAATATAAGAGTTGGAGCAAAGACCTTGCAGAATTTTTGGAAGATCATTTGAAAACAGGTTTAGGTTTAGATCATGACAGCAATTAACTGATGTTTTGGAAGAAGCTCAAGACAGAGAAACATTTGTGAAACTTCAGTCTTTAAATCAAGGGTGTTATTTGAAATAAGACTTGGGTACCACAAATTAAAAGCCTGCTTTGATAAATAGGTTCAGAATATTATGTGGAATAGAATTATGATTTTTGTTAAGGTAACCAGAATTTATTCTAAATATAACACAGCAGAAAAGTAAAAGTGATTTGGATTAAGTGACCATAATGGGCTTCAAAGAAAACCATGACACTTAGATAATCTATAGTTAGGTGCAATCCTAGATAAGCAACTAACATGCTTAGAAAAAAGTAATTCTACTTAACCTACTGTTAGACAGAGAAGATACAATTCAAGCCATAAGTATAAGTTTGGAGGGGTTTGTTTTGTTTTTTCTCCTGCAAATACCTCTGTGGAAAGAAATGAGATTACTACCTGGAAAGCATCAAAGGCTATTATTCCAGAGGTCTTGATTAAAAAATCATTTCTTTAAAATAAAAAATGAACATGTAAGTTTATTTATTTAAAACATTTCTATGCCACCCCCATTGCAACAAAGCCTCGGGGCGGCTCACAACATAATTAAAACATATAAATAACAAATAATACACTTAAAGATTAAAAAGCCCGATAACATCTTGGCTAAAATTTTAAAATCCTATAAATACATAATAAGTTAACAATTAAAATAAGTTTTAAATAAAAAGGTCTAAGCCTGGCGCCGAAAAACAAATAACGATGGTACCAGGCGGACCTCTCTGGGGAGCGCATTCCATAGGTTGTCTTATTCGCATTCCTAAGTTGTCTTAGGCAGATTCATTTTTTAAAGCAAGATGATAATCATGCACAAGAAAGCATGAGAACATTTAGAAGAGCTCTAAAAACAACTGAATGTAACTAGTAGTGTAAGGATAGGGGGAAAAATCAACATTTTGAAAACTAATGTAAAGAGAAACACTATTACAAAAAGGTAAGGGTTACATGGGAAGAGTAAGTCCAGCTCATTGACAAACTATAGAAGTAAAACACTATCAAAAATGCTCAATCCAATTATTAAACTGAAGAAAAACCAGAGTATTCCAAAGTAAAAAAAAGTTGAAGAACTAGAAAGTGATTTAATTAAAAAGTATTACTCCAAACTTGACTAGTGATATGAGGATTCAGTTGTACATAGGTGTGTCTATCTGCCAAAGGAAGAGGCTTCGTTAGGAGAATCAATTCCAACTTTGACTCACATGCCTCCCCATCTGCTTCAGAAGGCTAGGAGATCCTAAGGAGATATCAAGGAGCAGGGGAAAATGAGGGCAGTACAGGGGAGAAAGAAGAAATGTTCTGATGCGTGAGCAGACATCTCATACAATGTTGGATACAACATTCAGTCTGGCCCGAGTGTGAAGGAACTTCACAGTCTGGGGTAGGGGGGTGGAGCCACGGATCCACCTGTGAGCCACACTCCCACCACTATATCGCAAAAATAAAGAGGTACATTTGTCATTCTAAGCTTCGATGGTGGGACTGCTGCTGATTTCAGCATCAAATTGTGACTTTTTCTGCCTTTTTGAAAATAAGATTAAAAAAGGAAGAGGATAGGGCAATCAGAAGTGTACTAAGAGTTGTGGGTCACTGAGATGAACACCCTCTCCAGTGATCCAGCTGCTGAATAGCACCCCCAAATATGTTTTCTACAGGCTTTCAACCTAGTGAGCATTTTAAGAGGAACATCCATCTTTTGCTAATATACAGGTTCTATTTTTCTTTATTGCTATTATCTGGCTTATAAAGATCCTGGGCATTCTAATTCATAGCCAAGGCTGAAAGGACTCCTACTTTTTATGTTTTTACACAGTGGGACTCTGTGTAACCTAAGACCTTAGCACTCAACTTTTTAACCTAATGAGGTCTGGAAGAATCTCTTGCATTAACTTCAAGTCTGAACCAGTCTGCAGGTGAGGACCTAATATCATGACCCACCTCAAATTACTATTTTCCTTTTCAGAAACTTTTTTGAACATCCAGCTTACAGAATGAGTTCTATCAAAGTCTAAAGCTTACACCATGCATTGTGACCATCAGTTTGTCCATGAAGAGTTATTTTAGTGATCATTTTGACTTGCTATTTGTATACCATTGATACTTTTGATGCTCATTAATGCAGACGAGTTTGCACTTAAAAGCCAACTTGAGAGAATATTGGTAGATCTACCTGTATCTACCTTTGTACATTCACATTAATTGTTAACAAACTGATATAGTTCATGCTTCTGCATAACAAACCCGCTGGTGGGATCAATAAATGAGAACAAGCACAGGCCTGATTAATACTAGAGCCAAGCACATTTGCTGGGTACTTCAAGCCTAATAATTATGTTCCTTTTCCAACTATAAATTTATTCCTAAGCAGTTTTGACAGAAAGTAAGTAGAATGGCTGTTATTAATACGTAACGCCATGTTTAATGACTTAAGTGTGAATATGTATCTAATTAAAATACTTCTGTAGAGTTACAATCACCTATTGTGATTATATTTTATACATACATATTCATTAATATGCAACTTCTCCTGAACCAAACAGATCTTAATTTTATTCTCAGAATAAATCAATATGCTCATATGCCATTGGGGGGAAACTGCTGAAGTGCAGCCAAGTGCATCAGTAACTCTCCTTTGCAGGAAGATAGAATAGATAATTCTGTAACAGTTCTCTAGCATTTACATAATGTCTGCTATTTTGCTTTTACAAAGCAAATACTGTTTACAATTAAATTGTTAACTATTTTGACAATAGTTTATCAAATTTATCAAATTGTTAACTACAAAGATGACCATTTCCAGCTGTTAGGACCAACCTTCAGAAGTGTCAATAATATCTGCTATATTACATCTCTGTAAGAATTGCTGTTATATTAATATGCTTAGCAATTCACGCATTAGATACATCATAAGTCATTTCACAGCATGAGTGCCACAAACTCAACTCCCAAGCCTTCCAACACATCTAAAAATAAATAATTACCCAGGATTCTTTGGTTCACTCTCTCGTGAACTTCCTCCCTTCAGCTTTCTAACCAGCTTCTCACTGCTGCGTCTAATTGAAGCACGAAGTTTGCTAAAGGAACCACTGCGTTTTAGAGATCCAGTGCCATCCTGCAAAAAATGAGTACATTTAAAACTGCAAAAGCTTTTTTCCCTTATGTCACAATACAGCAATTACTATAACTACAGTCTAAGTACTTGTGTTTTGCTACCATTAAGCAGTTAAAATAAAAATGGATTCATTTCCTTTCAAACAAAATGTAATGAAGTTCTGTTTGTTTAGTCTGTTTATTGCCCTCCTGACTTACTCTGGACAGATGAGAAATAAATAAAAATTGTAATACATTATTTACCAAATTTTCTACAACATTCTGCTAAACACAGTTCAACCCAATCTACTCCTATGTTTGCTTCAAAAGAGAAATTTCCTCAGGAAAAGGTCCCAGTGGCTTGTGTTTCCTGCTCTTAACAAATAAAGAGCTGAATCAAAATTTAGCCATACTTTAGAACAGACCCATTAAAACTAATGGGGCTTTAGTCATGACTAATTTAATTTCTGCCACCCCAAAATGATCTAGTTTTAGTTGGCCATGAGATGGGATTTGGGGATCTGAGGCAGTCATTTAATTTATTTTATATGCCTATGAAACTGGTTGATATGTTATATTTAATTTTAGGGTTCTTATCTTTGTAAAACATCCCAAGAAATTTTAGCTGTTGGGTGGTAAAGAAATGAAATACAGTGGTACCTTGGCTCACAAACTTAAATCTATTCCACGACTCTGGTTGCGACCCAAACTGGTTGTGACCCAACTCAAATTTCCCCATAAGATTCAATGTAAATAAGGTTAATCTGTTCTGGCCCCTCCGAATGTGGTTGTGAGCCAATTTCAAGTCAAATTTCCCCATAAGGTTCAATGTAAATAAGGTTAATCTGTTCTGTAACTGTATTTTTTAATCAGCAACTTTGAAACAAAGTGACAAAGAAAAACAAAGTAACAAAGTACAGCAAAGTGACAAAGTACTGTACAGTACAGTGGAGAACACTAACCTAGGTGGGGGAGAGGCTACTGCTTTGAGGGAGAGTTCCCCTCCATAAGGACATTGGGGAGATCTCTTTCAGGGGTTTCCTCTCTTCTTTGTCTCTTAGCTGCAGGGTCAATTCTGGTGAAAAATCTGTCTATAGCCACTTGTTTTTTCCTGTGCTGCATAACCCTCCAGAAATGAGAGACCACATTATTGTTCATCAAATTCAACACTGTTTGTTACAGTTATGTTGGGGTGGTGCTTCTCAAAGAAATCCTGGCACTCATTCCATTTTTTCGTAATGGATTGTATCATATCACTGCTAACCTCCTCCCTTTCTTCTTTTTCCTCAGTGGAATCCTCCTCAGCAAGTGCCTTCTGCTGCTCACTCTGGAGTTCAGCAAGTTCTTCTGTCGTCAGCTCCTCTATGTCTTCCTTTCACGAACGCAACTGCGATCGTGGCCATCTCCCCACTCGGGGGCTGGGGCTGGGGAGATGGCCGCGATCATGCTGGTTGGGGGTGGGGGGAGATGGCCAAGATTGCGCCTGTCTTTCCTGCAGGAGCGTGCCCGTGATCATGCACGTCTTCCCGGCACAAACGCAACTGTGACTGTGGCCATATCCCCACTCAGGGGGGTGGGGAGATGGTCACGATCTTGGTTGCCAACCAATGCGGAGTTCGCGATTCAAGTCAAAATTTTTATGAGATTTTTGTTCGTGACCCGATTTGGTTGTGAACCAAGGTGTTCGTGAGCCGAGGCACCACTGTATATGAAATAAAATGATCGACTCTGGATCCAACCTATATTCATAGTCAATCAACTTTAATTAAAGTTAAAAGTACAATTACTCTTATGATAACATGCAGCTTCTTGCAGAGTATCTAAAATTTTCATTAGTAAGACAAATTTACAGATTGCCACACCACTCCATGCTAAACAAGATGCAGTCATAGCTACACAAAGTCCACCACCAAGAAGTAGCATTTCAAAAATATCTAAGCGAGTAAAGCTTTTACTGAAGTTGTTCAGTCTAAACTCACCACATAGCAAACGTGCCTATATTAGCCTATTTTAGGAAGAAAGTAAATTCTTTCCTGAAGAATTCTGTAGTAAGATTCTTGTACTTTACCCTTAACTGTGTTCCAGAAATATACAATAAGAATCTATAGCTTTTACATCAATACATATATTTATGTACCTGGAGACAGATTTTTAAAGTTATTTTTCCAGATGTCAAGTCTGCATGGCCAAAGACCTGCGGTCAAGTTTTTTGAAAAGCCAATGTGTGCTTAACTACAAGTTAATAGTGGTTTGCTGTTTCTGAAAACCTCATTTCCTATAGCAGCTATGTAGATGGAAAGAAAGCACTACGCGGAAGACAGAGACAGACATCAGTTGGAGTGAGTTTATTAGAAGTTAGAAAGACAAATACACCAAGTCACCCAACACCAAGATTAGTAGAGAAAAGCGTAACTGCTGAAGTTCCACATGAGGACTAAACAACACTGCTACTTTAGTATAAGCATAAGTGAAGACATCCAGAGTTCCATATTGATGTTAACCCATGTTATAGGTCTCTAAATACAATTTAAAGCACTGTGAGCACATGCCTTTTTTTTAACGGTTTATTCTGTGAAGGTCACCATCATGCCATTTAATAATACCTTGCAAAATACTTCTACCATTCATCATAGTGAGACAGCTACCTGTAAACTTCATTCTTAGTTATAACTCTCATCTGTTACACAGCGAATGGTTATTAACACCACATTTTGTAAGACTAGATACATATCTGGCAATGCTACACATGTACAGGAAAAAGAGGAATCCCTGTCCCAAATGAAAGAGACACCAACACTTAAGAAGTGGCCTTTTTTTTAAACAAGAAGTGTAGCTCTGACAAGAATCATAAAGGATGGCTAAATACACAGCAGTCAGTAGTGGAGAGAAGTTAGAGCTTGAAGATGGTGCACGGCCGCCATGCAGGAGACAGTGTAAGAATCAGAAAAGGCATCTAGGCCTGTCGGACAGAAATGGAGAGAGAAAAAACTGAATGAAACTGTTGTGGGGAGAAGTTCAACAGTTTTCAATTCTGAGCTTGTTAATCTTAAACAGTATTTCTAGATCACACTGTTATGTGAATTGCTACGCAAAAATTCACAGAAAAAGCTAGTGAGGTAGTCACACAGGAGTCTGTTAACTTTCATTCTGTGTTCTATCGTGCACCACACTTGGTGCTTTTTAGGTGGCTTAAGGAATCAATACATTTAGTTTAATAACATTATTTTTAAATCTCCCAGTGCATAATGAAGACAGGCAGATACATTTTGATTTACCATGAAGATCTACATTACAGCGAGTAAATGTCTATCTTTAAAAGTATACAAGCCAAAATAAAAAAGTGGTGAAGGGAAATCAATCATGCATTAATATAAGCATTAACATATATGAAATATTTCAGTAAGATGTGCCCATAACAAAAGCACAGGAAAACAAACTTGCATTACAAAGCTCTATGATTTCATTACAACAGGGGATTTTAACCTAGTTCTCAGAACCTTCTAGTTCCTTGGAAGCTGAATGGATGCTGCTTAGTAAGACCAATAACTGCAGATACACTTCTATGGGAGACTTGCTCATCACTACCAGCCATGTGTTGTGCAGATACGGAAGAATATTGAATGCTATCAAGTTCATGAATCAGTGAGGTCCAATGGCTCTGCTTAGTGCCCCTCACTGAGTGAGTGCATACCCTAGGACTGGAACTTGAATAAATGGAATGGCACCAACCATGTAATGTTTAACAGAGCCTATTGTGTATGAAGCAGCAGACCTCAGCCCTTTGTCAGAAGCTATGTTGGATGGACCCAGGAGCAAGGCAGGTCTTCCTAGAGCATATGACACTGCTCTGCACATTTTACTTTATGTCACTTTTTTTAAGGTCCTCCAAACAAATGTAATCTGTTTGCTCTGATTCCATTATTTAAATCACCAGTTCTGGTTTCATGATCAAACTGTATGAGAGAAACACGATAGGAAGAGATCCCATCTTTGGCAGCTCATTCCAGCCCCTGGAATGAGAAGGCAATATGGTAAACAGAACGTGAAAGTTAACTGAAAAAGGCAAAGATCTGCAGAGCCTGACACAAAGCAGTGTTTTTAAATGATTCAATCGTTTCCAGTTAAATAATTCATGTAATGTCTACCCCAGTCACAGATTTTAAGCCATATTTTAAGCTGCTCATCCTCTAGGATATTTTCCAAGCAACCAGAAAAGTAAACCGTCCTGCATGGTTAAAAACAGCAAGAAGGCAGATGCCAAAATTAATTATATCTCTACTCATATAAACCAGAAATGTAAAGAGTCACTCACCTGCGGCAAGTAAGGATTGATTACAAGTGAGGAAGTTTTTGTAGCTTGGATAAGAATATCACTGAATTTCCCATACCCTGCTGATGTGCCACATTTTATTTAAACCCAGCTTTTCCTCCAGGGCACTCATGCCAGCATACATAAGGTTCCCAGGCAGTCCTACTGAAGCACTACCTAGACCCAGAGCTACTTAGCTTCAATAAGGTAGCTGCATGGTGTGCACAGTAATGAATTATATTGCCATGAAACTATAGGAAAGTGAGTAAATGTTATGGCCTTGCTTATGAGGCTGATCTACAGATTCAAAATGAAGCTAGCAATTGGTGAGAGTGCCCAGTACATCTATTCCCATTATGTACCAATTTCACCCAAGGTGAACAATTTCCACAGCAAAGTGTAGTTGGAGAAACCAGACTGAATCAGAATTTAAAGCACTGGGCATACATTCTGCAGACATACCTGCTTAGAAACAGACCTTACTGAACTTGGATGTCATTCATTAGGATGAAAGGCTACGTAAAACTATCTGTGAATAGTAGCATTGCCTAGATGAGAATTCTTGTGGTGTAATGGACAGAGTCAAAGCGCAAAATGAGGAAGCCTGGGCTCTAATCACCATTTAGCCAAGAACTTAATTTGGTAGTTGAGCAAGTCACACACAAGTTGCCTGAAGTAACTCACAAAATTATTCTAAAGGATAAAACTGGATAATGGCCATGGCTCTTTAGAGAAAGGATGGAATATAATGTGTGTTTCATTTGACTCAATATTAAGTAAATTATCATTGTGCCAAAGTCTATCTTAAATTATTTCTAGGCTACCCTTAGTGTGGAACCTGTCTGACAGACGAGCAGAATGAGCACATGCAGAATTAGCAACTAAGCATGTCAACATAAACAAAAACTGTGGAAGCAAGCAGATCAACTGAAGTTTAGAGCTTGAACACAAAACAAATGAACCCAAAAAGAAGGCAAGTGGACTAACATAAACTTCTAAGTGAACTAGAAAAAGATATGAATGCCACATACTTCTCAAAGTAGACAAATTCCACTCTGGAAAAGATTCCTAGTTGATCTGAGTGTTTTATTATACCCAACTGCCATTGACCTAGAAATACTGTTTGGTCAGAGCGCTTGTCAATCCCAAACCTGCATGCTTCTTAATTAAAAGTCATTTGAAGTCAACAACCCCACCTGAAGATTTGAAGGCATGCCAAGTATAGAAGAAACAAAATCAGGGAAGAGTACAGTACACAGTTCTATTGGCAAGGGAACAAATGAAGGCAGTAGTAATGGCATTATATGCTGATTGACTGTCTTAGCACTACTAACACCAAAGCCAATCCAGTAAGAGCAGAAAGGGACAGATAAGAATTTCCTACATAAAAAACAGAAAAGGCAAACAGCTACAGTAGCCTTTAGCATCCTTCAGTTCTGCCAAGTAACAACAGAACTATAGGGAAAGCAAAGGACATCTGAGAACTACCACAGTATGGAAGGCAGTATCAATGGCCCATAGCAGAAGAAACTTAGAAAAACCTATGACTACTGCAAACTATCTAAATGGTTTATGGAACTAAGGCAGCTATATGCAAAATGCGTATCACAGGGAGTTAATGCATAAGCCCAGTGTAACAAAAATTAAAAGTGGTAAACTACTAAAAGCTTGAACTAGCTCTGCTTACAAGATACCAAACAGAAAGTAGGCTCTGTTATGAGTTAACGGTAATATAGTGTTTTGCTACTGTAACATTTGTGGCACACATTTTATGGTAAGCAGTGGAACTGTGTACAAATCACAAGGTAGAAAAGGTCTCGCTTAATCAAGTATCTGGCAATGTATCAAGCTTCCACTGGCAATGTAAAGTATTAACATATTATCTGTAGATGGGTGGATTTTTGCATTATTACAATGCCATGGAACAGCAAAAATCTTGATAGAGAAGCCAAATTCTGCAGCATGGCTCATGACACCTGGAAAAAAAACACTTCAGTGGGAACACAGGTGGGCTGCATCTTTTAGAGTGAAGTAATTTTCTCCTTAAATTTAGAGCTTTTGGTTTATTTTCCCATACTAACTCTACTTAACTGCACAGCAATGCTTGCAACTGAAACAGAGAAAAGGAAACCTTTTGAGATAAAGGGAATATAAAGAGAACAAGCAAAGTAAACCAATTGCCATCCTATCACATCCTCTGAGAAACAAGTCACTTGTTAGGATTAGGTCCTATTCATTAACCAGGACACTCAATCAGCATTCAAGTGCTCATACCTAAATCCAAATGTCAATTCCAAGGAGATTTTCCTCAGTTAAACTAACTGGTATCCAATTGGTCAGACCTGATAAAAGCCCCACATTTTTTTCTTTCAGTGTCATTCATACCAGTCTAGGTTTTCTTTCTTTCATACCAGTCTAGGTTATTTCCTTACACTGTGTACTGTACTTACCCCATTCCATTCTACGCTCATACTCACTTCCTCTCCTCCATCAGGGCCACTCTCATACTTTACCACATCAACATTGAGGCTCTCACGGCTTCGTCTTCTCTCTATACTTTCTGGGTCATTAAGCACCTCAGCGACTCTCTGTTTGTGAACATTGTCAAGACCCTATGAGCCAAGAGAAAACATACAGCTTACTTGGCAATGGTTAGTTTCAGTACCGTGACTGAGAATGATAATATAAATTCAAGAAGAAAAGATCAACTCTCCAACAGCCTGTTCTAAGCAATTTTGCACTTTTAAGTTTAGTCCAGAAAGGGCTACATATAGACTGTATTTGAACAATCATATGTCTACTTAATAAGCTGAGCTAGGAACAAGTCTTCTGACAGCATAAGCAACCCCTTCACTCCACTTTTTCATGCAAAGTAAACGAACTAGGAAATCTTCAATTGATGAAAGAGGAGACAAGATTCAAAACAAAACAAAATATAGAACCATGGTTTGAAGTTGGTTTAATATCCTGGGTTGTTTCAAACCCTAACCCTAACTGTAGTTTTCCAATTCAGATGAAATAGCAAACTATATTTAATTAAAGACTTCCTGGTTTCTTTCCTCCTCCCTTTATGGTATGAGTAAAGTGGCTGCATTGGCATACAATTCCATCTATAAAGGATCTTGTAATAGTTAAAAATTAATTGTAACTGTGTATGACATACTTAAATAGATATGCTACCATTCACAATCTGTAAATTGTTTTTCAAGGTTTGTTTATTATATTCATATCCTGCCTTTTTTTCCTTTCAAGGAACTCAAGGAGGTTTACATAATTTTCCTCCTCTCAATCTTATCCTCACAGCAAGAATGCTGTGAGGTAGGATGGGTTGTGAGTCTGTGTCTGGCCCAAACCATCCAGTTAGCTCCATGGCTGAGTGGGGACTGGAACCCCACTAATATTGACAACACATAATTTTTCAAAGTTAAGAACACTTTGTGCTGGTATTTCTTCAAGAGTATCAAATATTTTTATGGAGAAGAGACCCTTTCGGGTCAGTTCAAACAAAACTCACCAATACAGTTTAGTACTATGAGAAATGAGCCTTGTGCTCACAAGCTTTCTCCTCCCCTCAGCCTTCTCCCCTTGGCACATTCTACATAATTACTTCCTAGGTACAAAAATGACAATTTGCCATTACATCGGATCTAGCACACTATGGTTGGCATTTGTTGTGCAAACCAGGATTATTTACCATTCTTTGTTGGGAAGAACCTCCAGCCCTTTGAACTTTTTAGAAATGAAAAACCTGATGAACAAAATGAGAAAAACAAAGAACTGGCACTTACCTGTTTACGGGATCTCATTGCTGCCTCTTCTAATGTTTCAGCAGCTTCAAACTTGCCTTGGCGTCTGTAAAGTGCTCCAAGATTCTTTAAGGTAGTTGTGACTGTTGGACTATAAAATTAAAAATCACGATTAGTTTCTGACAACAGACCATGGCATTCCGAATTTGAAACATTCATGTTTAATAATACTGTGGTATATTCTATTAAAGTCAATGCCAACAAGCATTTATTACTCGTGAAAAGTTCCTAAGAGCTCTGCAAATATGCAAGTTACTGTCTATGAAGACATTGCATGAAGCTATGAGGTTAGAAAGCTGCATAATTTACACCTAGTATCTGGCAAAATTATGCTATTACTGTTAGTTAAACATTTGCAGGCCATGGAAAATGACCCTGACAACAACTTGTTTGCAGTTCTTTTAGACAAAGATTTTGCAAGAAGGCATCAAGTGTCTCCATAACTATTCCTATCTGTTACAGAGCTAGGCTGGTTCTGAAGCAATAACCTTGAGAAAGATACAGACTGTACATTCCACTTCTACATGTCAGCCCTGCTGAATTTTTCAGCCTAAAAAGATCACAAAACTTTCTGGCACATGAGACTCATCAACCTGATGCTAAGTTCTGTATTATATCTCATTTCAGCAACTCTGAAACCTCTGTTTTGATTCTAATGCAAGAGGGAAAACACCCTCCCAAATATGATTCTATTGTTATATTTCTACTTATTTCTGCCTATTCCCAGAGTTTGGGACTACATAGTTTAAAAACACTACAAAAATATAAACAGTACAATCAATCCAGCCCGAACGCAAAGGCCATTCCCAAATACCTGCTGGAATAAAAATATTTTAGCATGCTTACGGTACCATTACAGGGAAGGGGCCAATGTAGTCTCCCTAGGAAAGGTATTCCAGAAGATTGGGGCAGTGACTGAGAAGGTTCTTTCCTGTGTTTCTACCAAGTGTACCTCTGAAAGTGGTGGGACCAAGAAAAGGGCCTCCCCAGAAGTTCTGGATGAGATAGGGTATCTCAAACTTTGGATAGCCTGAACACAAGTTGTAAAGGGCTTCGTAGGTCATCATCACTTTGAATTTTGCCTAGAAACAGACTGAGAGGCAGTGAAGCTCTCATGAGTTGTGCTTCCTGCAGTCAGCCCCAGTCAGCAGCTCTCCAAATTAGCTAAGGTTTCCAAACACTCCTCAGAGGCAGCCCCATATAATCCAAATGGGGCAATCCAAATGGGATGTTACTAAGACATGTGTCACCGTGGCCAAATCAGTCAACTCAAGGAATAGGTGCAGCTAGTACACTAGTTCTGACCAAGTGATTGCACTTCTAGCCACTGCTGAGACCTGAACATCCAGACTCAGGGTTGAATCCAGAAGTACACCCAAGCTGCAAACCTGTGTCGTTAAGAGAAGTGTCTTTAGGATGGGAGTAACCCCATCCAGCACAGGCTTAATCCCTATTCCCTGATTTGCCTCCTGACTGACCAAGAACACCTCTGTCTTGTTGGGATTAAACTTCAATTTATTTGCCCTCACCCGATCCATTACTGCCAATAAACACTGTTTTAGGACTGATACAGCTTCTCTGGAGTGAGATGGAAAGGAGAAATAAGAGTTGGGTATCCTCAACGTACTGGCGACACTGAAGCTGTGAACTCTGACCAACCTCTCCCAACTGTTTCGTGTATACGTAAAATAGCATGGGGGACAGACCAGAACCCTGAGGAACTCTACAGATCAGTGGCCAAGGAGTTCAACAGGAGTTCCTCAGCACCACCTTCTGGGTCTGCTCCTTCAGGAAAGAATGAAGCCACTCTAAGACAGTCTCTCCAATTCCCATTGCAGGAAAGTGACAAAGAATGATACCATGATCTATGGGATCAAAAGCCACTGAGAAGTGGCTTAGGACTTGCATACCTGAAGCAGCATTTCCTTTCCTTCTTGCCTGCCCCTTAAGATCTGGGTTAGAGGTCCTTCTTTCGGAGACCTCTTTGAAGGAGATTAGGAGAATGCCTACCCGGAGAAGGGTCTTCTCTGCAGTGGCACCCCGATTATGGAATATGCTCCCCAGAGAGGTTTACCTGGAGCCAACACTTTACATTTTTCAGTGTCAGGCCAAAACTTTTTTATTTTCCCAACATTTTAAGGTTTAAATTATCATTTAAATTGTGATTTATAGAAGATAATGCTTTGTTTTATTTTCTTTTATTGTAAGACCATCCTGAGACTCTTGGTAAGAGGACAGTATAGAAAAGCTTTAAATAAATAAATAGAAGTCCTGCAGAACCAACAAGGACAGTCTCCCCATCTGGTTCTAGGTGAAGATGTGCCACCAAGGTACCCAAAGCTGTTTCTGTTCCATACTCACCCATGAAGCCAGACTGAAATAGATCTAGATACACTATCTCATCCAGGAATCCCTGGTGTTTGGAAGCCACCAGACACTCTAATACCTTGCCCAAAAATGGAATATTGGCCAATATTATTATTATTATTATTATTATTATTATTATTATTATTATTACAACAACATTTCTATGCCGCCCCTTGCCGAAACCTCGGGGCGGCTTACAACATGATAAAATACATTGAAATACAATAGTACATAATAAATTACCATTAAATACAAAAATACATTGACTTACAAATATAAAATTAAAATTATCAGTATAAAATTAAAATATAGGAGGAGAAAGAGAAGGAAGAAGAAGTTGCCCTGGCCAGATCATATGTTTTAACAATTGAAATGATGTTTAAATAAAAAGGTCTTTACCTGGCGCCGAAAAACCCGTAACGATGGTGCCAGGCGGACCTCTTTGGGGAGTGAATTCCATAGGTTGGGCGCCACCACAGAGAAAGCCCTCCTCCGGGTACTTACTCTCCTAATTTCTTTCATGGAGGGTTCCTGGAGAAGGGACTCTCCCGCAGATCTCAAAGGGCGGTCGGGCATATACGGACGTAAGCGCTCGTTCAGGTAGCCAGGACCCAAGCCGTTTAGGGCTTTATAGGTCATAATCAACACCTTGAATTGGGCCCGGGCTTCAATGGGAAGCCAGTGAAGCTGACGGAGGACTGGAGTCATGTGATCATAATGCCCCATCCCTGTCAGCAACCTGGCAGCTCTATTTTGCACCAATTGAAGTGTTCGGACTGTCTTCAGGGGAAGCCCGACGTAAAGCGCGTTACACAAGTCTAGGCGGGAAGTCACCAGCGCGTGTGTCACCGTCGCCAGGCAGTCGTACTCCAGGTAGGGGCGCAGCTGATTAATCAGCCGAAGCTGAAGGAAGGCGTTCCTCGCCACCGCTGTCACCTGAGCTTCCAAAGAAAGCTCCGGGTCGAGGAGTACTCCTAAGCTGCGGACCTTATCCCTAAGAGGGAGTGTTGCACCATTCAGGACCAGGTCAAATCCACCCTCTCCGAAACCTGATCCGCCAACTAACAGGACCTCCGTCTTGTCTGGGTTGAGTTTCAGTTTATTGGCCCTCATCCATTCCCTTACCTCGGCCAAGCACCGGTTCAGCACAGCCACTGCCTCACCTGGATTAGTGGAGAACGAGAGGTAAAGCTGGGTATCATCAGCGTATTGATGATTCCGCAGCCCACACCTCCTGATGACCTCTCCCAGCGGTTTCATATAGATGCTAAATAGCAGAGGGGATAGAATGGAGCCCTGTGTTGTCCAACAGAGTAGAATCCAGGGAGGGCTTTTTTAGTGAGGGTAGTAGGCCAAAACAACTGACAGGCTACCTTGCCCTAGATAACTCTGACTTACTTCCATATTGGGGAAAAAAGATTTAAAAGGCATGTAAAGAGCAGCATCTGCTGAGCAACTGAGAGTAGTTCTTTAGCACTGCAAAATTGTTTGTTTAGTTAGGGGCAAAGAAACCTGTGACATGTGACTGAGGAAAGAAACAATACACAGAATGATAACATCTAAGCAAGAAGCAAACTGACTCTCCTATAATGCAACAGCAAAACTAGACAGGGTATCAGAGATGGCACACTGGTGTATAACACACAGGAAAAGGGCAGGTAAGATTTACAGATGGGTATTTCTAATGGCTGTTCTGCTATAGAGTTTACGTTTCATAACCTGATCAAAAACAATTGTATCTTAATATAGTTACACATGGGAGTATTTACTTATACAAAAAGAAGGAAAGACACTTTAATCTCTCTCAAAATTGTGATGGCAGTTACCACAGAGTTAGAGGCCTAAACTTTAGTATGCAGGCATTCCAAGACTTCCCAATTACTAGAAGAACTCAACAACTATATTTGTGTGGATTCAAGCTAGTTATGGAATTTCCAGATGACAAAAGCTAGAATTTGCAATAGACATGCCCCTGAACAGGCTGCTTATTATCAGAGTTGGGAAATGAGACAGTTTGCACGTAAAAGTCACATGCGGAGCAGCACAAGCTATACAACCAAAGTGGAATATTGGGCTTTTGAGAATTCCACTGATTATTCAGACTTTGATTAGAGATGAGGAATACATACAAATCAAGGAAGAGTTACATCTAAACGAAGGTGCAAAAATACTAACTGCATCTGAGCAGCAAAAACACATTCTTATTGTGTAAGTGCCTGGCTCAACTGCATTCAAAACAAACTTCGAGGTAGCAATGAAAATTCCCTAGCTTGGTTAGAAGAAAATTCTGCCTGTGGCAAGTACTAAACTTGTCTGAGAGCAGCTTATTATATGTATCCCCTTTAAAACACAAAGAGTACATCAGGTTCCACCAGAAAGCAGAGACAATAATACTGTGACATTACACTGTTCATTTATAAAGATTTCCTCACTATGAGGATTTCTCCCAGTACTCTATTAGTTTGATTTTTCAAATATTTAAAATGCTTTAAGAAAAATGTACCTACCTATCAACCTTGCAAGCTTTATACCAGCCTCCATATTCACCAAAGGTTGTGCCGTCTTTTTGCTTGCCCTAAATTGAGAACAATGTATTAAATTGCATCTTAGGCTATAAAAATTTCAACAGAATACATTTTTAACTCCAGATTTATGCTTACTTTGCATTCTTCTCTCTCTTCAGCATGCATCCAGATAGGTTTGTTTTCATCTATGTAAAAATGAGATATTGGATACTATATGAAATAAACTTACCATTACATACGGACAGGCTAGCTTTCTAGAAGAATGCTTAAGGATATAAGGATTGTATATTTTAACTTATTGGTTTTATTTATTGTTGTAAGCCGCCCTGAAGCTTCGGCGAATGGGGCGGCATAAAAATGTTTTAATAAATAAATAAATAAATAAAATATTACAAAAAGGTACAGAGACACCCATCTATTCATAGTTCTAGGGCATCAAGTCCACTTACTCACAGTCCTATACTCTGTAAATAGATGAGCCGTGCCTAAAGCTTCTGGAACAAGATGAACATAGCAGAAGGTCCTCTTATCACACTATGCCAGTTCGCACACCAAGCTGCAATTCCTGGGTGGTTTAATCCCAGGAATTTCCAGGTTTAAGTAAAGCTATGCATGTGCTGCCTCCCATATGCCTGCTATTTCCATTTTCAATTAAGAACCTAAGAATAGAATGTTTCATGATGTGGAAACTCAAATCCTCTGGACTGCTTATGAACTAAATAACACAGAGTCAATGTCTCAACAAACAATGAGTAATTGCTGTTAAGCAACCTGGAATTGCTGTGTAATATGCAAACTGTATCACTGTGTTAAAACCAAGACAAACTCCAAACAGGTGTCTTGATTTGTACAGGAAAAATGCTAACTAGAAACCTGAATTACAAAACTGTTAAAATGTTCTTTCAAGGTATCCTTGATGTCAGCTTTGAACCAAACTGCAAGTAACACATGCTGACACAAGCGAAGCTGTTTGCTTGAACATATACAGCCTTACTTTGCTTTTATCACTTTGAACACCTCATGCATACTGTTTACATAATAAACTCATTGCAATGAAGCTACTGTGCTGTTTGCCAATATTCTATTAGGTAAATGAACACCCCAAATGTTTTAGATTGGATAATTAGTATGTATTAATTTTCATGTTTATATTTCCATTCTTCTTACTATCATCATCTAAAACCCTGTGTGAAATTTGGTGACAACTTATAAAAGGAGACCAGAGTGAAAGAGCTAAAAGGAATCATGCCCAGTGGGTTTTGAAATTTTTGCTTTAAATCTCAAACAAGTCTTCTGCATCATGTATCAAAAGCAGCTCCAGAAAATGTAATTGGCCATATAGCATGAAAAAAATATTTTGTGAAACGTGTTTTGAATTATGCAAAGATCCCTCTCTGTCTGACTATATAAGTTATTATAACTAAACACTTCATATAAGAATTTCTAAAACAATTTCTAAATATTTTATGCCATCTAACCTATTACATGAAGGCAAAAACCATTATCTTCATTAGTATTAGTTCCATCATATTATAAATGTTTACCATCCACAGAGCCAAATTCCCTTTCATGGGCACGAGTAAGGATCTCTTTGTATAAAGTTTCTGCTTGCTTAAATTTGCCTTGTTTCAGGTAGCAGGATGCCTGAAAGACATAATATCAGCAATGTACATTTTAAACGTATGTCCTAGGATTCATTTAATAGCTAATGGTTAATGGCTCAGCACATAACAATGGGTTGAATCCAAATGTGCTTTTCTGCCTCATAGGAAACTGCTTTAAACAGAGGAAGACCATTAATCTATTGTGCTTAGAACGGCCTGCACTGACTAGTAGTACTATACACTCGTACATCACAGGTGCATCAAAGTGTATCAAATCTCTTTCAGCTTGAGGCCAGAGAATCTCTCAGGGGACACATTCCAAAAGCAAATAGGTAGAGCCAAGAATATCGACATATTTAGGAGAGGCATTTCAGTGCTTCAGAATTGGGGGCAGGTGAATAGCACCAAATCTAGAAAATCACGAAATCTAGAAAATCACCAAACAAAGCAAAACCATAGAACAATCAGACAATACAACAGAATTATCGGAACCAGAAAACAAATAAACACAACCAAAACCAAATAAATAAAAGCAATTGTAAATGGTAAAAATACTAATTTTTAAAATAACAATTAAATAAAAAGGTTTTAACCTGGCACCAAAAAGAGTATAGGCTTGGCTCCAGGCAAACCTCACTGGGAAGCATATTCCATAGTCTGGGTGCCACTGCAGAGAAGGCCCTGTTCCGGGTGGATGCCCTTTTTACCTCCTTTAAGGGGGGTTCTCGGAGCAGGGCCTCTCCAGCCGATCTTAAGGGGCGTGATGGCATATACGGAAGGAGATGTTCCCTTCAGGTATCCTGGTCCCAAGCCGTTTAAGAGTTCATTTCTCATTATTGTTTACTCCACTGTTCAAACATACCAAATTATTCTTTGTCTTTGCTACATTTGGATCATCAGGCCCCAGTTTAGTTTGGTAGATCTCAAGTGCCCGTTGGTAGTAATATTCCACTTCTTCATATTTACCCTGATTCTGACATAGTAAGGCCAGATTATTTAACTGTTTGGCAACATCAGGATGGTCTTTTCCCAGTACCTAGAAATAAAGGCAAGCCACATCAAAACCTTTCATGTTTTAAAAAGCATCCAGGTATACCATTCACACTAAGATCCATTCACTCAGATTAATGTATCTACTTATATCTCGATCCCAAACATATTAATCAAAGTCAGTTAGAATAAATTACACACAATGCAAAGATATTCCAAGTAAACACTTTGCTAACTTTGCTTGGGAAATGAGTTTTTCGTGAGTAACCATTCTCACCATGGCAGCCACTTTATGAATGGACAAGCATCCAATGGAAGACATTTTGTAAGAATGCTCATGAGACACTCTATACATTTTGAATGTGCCCACCAACTTAGAAAGGCTGGGGAACCCTGTAATAATCAGACATGTTTTACATATTTATAATAGTTTGTTTGTTTATTGTTTAATAAATTTTTATACCACCCAATAGCCAAGGCTCTCTGGGCAGTTAACAAAAGTTAAAATAAACTAAAGTTAAAAAGACTCACAGACAATAATAAAAATAAAAGAACTAACCCATAATTGCAATTGCTATTATTCAGCACAGAAGCATCATGGTAATATGAAAATACAATGGGTTATATATATAAAAAATAAGATTGTTAAAATCCCAGGAATATAAAAAGGTCTTCACCTGGTGCTGAAAAGCATACAAAATAGGTACCAAATGTAATTTTTTTGGGAGCACATTCCAAAACTGGGGTGCCACAACCAAAAAGGCTCTCCTGGAAGCTGCCTGCATCACTTCCTTTGGAAGGGGCTCCAGAGAAGGACCCCTGAAGAAGAAGACCTCAGGTATATACAGGAGGAGACAATTCTTCAGATAACCTTGCCCCAAGCTGTTTAGGACTTTGAATTTCAGTACAAGCACTTTAAATCAGGCCCGGACTTCAACTGGCAGCCAGCATAATTGGAAGAGGACTGGTATACTGTGTTCTCATGAGCCAATCCCCATTAACATTCTTGCTGCCCTGCTTTGAATCAACTGAAGTTTCTGGACTGTTTTCAAAGACAGTCCCACATTTACCACATTGCAATAAAACAAATGAGGGGTTACTAGAGTGAGAATAACTGTAGCTAGGTTTTCTCTGTCTGGATAGGGTTGTAGCTGGTATATCAGTTGAAGCTGATTAAAGGTACTCCATGCCACAGAGTCCAACTGTGCCTCAGGTAATAACTCCGGGTCCCAGAGCATCCCGAATCATGAACCCTGCCCTTCAGAGGAAATACAGCCCCATCCAGACCAGGTTGAATATCACCCAACTGGACAGATGAACCACCCACTAAAAATACCTCCATCTTGTCTGGATTGAGCCTCAAGTTTCTTGGCCCTCATTCAGTCCATTACCATGCCCAGACCTGGATTTAGAACGGCCACTGCCTCAGCTGGATTTGGTGAAAAAGACTGCTACAGCTGAATGTCATCTGCATACTGGTGACACCTCAGCCCATACCTCCAGATAACCTCCAGTAACCCAGTGGTTTCATGTAGATGCTAAACAGCACAGGGGATAAAATGGAATGCTGTGGGACTCCCTGACATAATTGCTATCAGACACAGTAATAATCCCCCAGCACTATCTTCTGGAATTAGCCAGTCAATGAAGTAGGACTGGAACCACTGCAATGCAGTGCCTCCCACTTCCAGCCCATGATATCTAGAAGGATATCATGGTCAATCGCATCAAAAGCTACTGAGAAGTCCAAGAGAATCAACAAGGTTGCACTCTCCCTGTCTTTCTCCTGATAAAGATCACCCCGCAGGATCACCAAAGGCAGTTTCCATTCCAAAACCAGGTCTGAAGCCTGATTGAAATGGATCTAGACAATCCATTGCATTCAAGAGTGCCTGGAGCTGTTCAGCCATCACCCATTTAAACACCTTGCCAAGGAAGGGGATGTTGGCCACTGGCCTATAGTTATTAACATCTTCTGGAACCAGGTTGGGCTTTTTCAGGAGTGACTTAATTACAGTCTCTTTTAGAGGCTGGCACCACTCCCTCCTTCAAGGAGGTGTTCACAGCCTCCTAGACCGAGCTAGAAATCCCTGCCTTAGTTGCTGTAATGTGCCATGAGGAACAAGGCTTGAGCACACATACAATGGGTCAAACATGACCCAAGCACCATGTCCACATCATGGGATCTTAATTACTGAAGTTATCCAATAAAACAGGACCAGATGGTGCTCCAAATGCTCACCCTCCTGTCCAGTGAAGAAAACCAGATTAAGCATGTGTTCTTTTACATGTGTTGGACCAGTAACATCTTGAAACAGCCCCATGGTTGCCATGGCGGCCATGAAGCCCTGAGCAGCCCCAAATACAGTGGCCCTGGCATGGAAGTTAAGATTCCACAAAACCACCACCCTAGGGGTCCTCAACACCAAGTCTGAGACCACTTCTATCAGCAGAAACTGACGGACAGCAGCGTGGGCAGGACACCAGCAGAATCCCTAATCTGTCACAATTGCCCAATGCAAGGTAAAGACACTCAGGACCTACACTTGGCTGAACAGGAAACCTAGAGAGGGAAAGCATATTCCTGTAGACTATGGCCAACCCTGCTTCCTGGCCCTCAAGTTGATACTGGTGCTGTACTGAGTATCCGGGATAGCACAGCTGAAGTACTAAGTACTTCCAATGGCCTTCCTTTCAACTCTGCTGTTCTATTTTTATATATTATAGTTGCTTTATGAACAAGTTATCAACATTTTATCTGCAACCACAACACACTTCTTCTTGCCCCACTTCCCTGTCATGTTTCAAGGATAATTTTTCTTGCTTTCTGAAAGCAAGTTGTGACACATTTTCAAAACATACCCAAACGATGTAAGATAAATTACTTCAATAAAATGCTAAATATTGCACAATTATACACACAAGATCTACTTTAATCTGCATATGCACACACTGCCAATATTATAAACATGTGGAGGGGATTTTTCTTAGAAAGACCAAGTCAGCAAAAAGAAAACAGTTGCGCTACCTTCTCTCTGATTTCCAAAGCTCTCTTGCATAAAGGCTCAGCTTCCTTGTATTTTCCTCTTTTCCCATAAAGCACTGCAAGGTTATTTAAAGTTGCTGCAACCTACAAAAGAGAAAAACTACTATGTCTGCTACCAGACTTACTGACATGCTTGGGGGAAAAATAAACAGCTTAGACATGTCAAGTGCATTAATCTCTTTGTAGCTCAGATACACAAGTACTCATGAATTGTTTATTCAATTAAAGAAAAAATTAAGTTACAAGCAACAAGCAGAAAATGCGTTTTAACTAGCACAGTGATGCCCAACCTTTGGATGCCTGCAATAATATTAACAGATATTTTCTGGTTCAATTCACCAAACTAATGAATACTTAACATACCGTCCAACAGGTTCCTATTTAATTAAAGCTTCAGAAATTGAAATACATCTACAGTTGATGGTCTTTCAGCAAAGCATGATATAAGATTTTCCAAAGGACTAAGTTATTTGGTAAGTCCTAGACCAGAGGCTAAATGCCTCATTAGGACTAATTTGTGAGCAACGGATTAGATACAAGAAACAGGAAGGGAAGCACTGGACTAGAATCTTAACATATTAGGAAATCCACAAATTTTCTGTAGGTAAATATGAGGTCAAGTGAAATAATTTCAGATTTTCTTTCTGTAATATTAAGCTATAGTTGATTAAACTGGATATTCCTAATAAACAAATTATACTGATGCAATGTCTTATGAGTGTGAACAGCTCCAATAGGAATCCACAAACTCAGCCTAAATACTTCACTGATGTTTGGGTATATTCAAATCATGCAAATTGATTCAGAATCAGACATGTGTGTCATGAGAGTAATTTAAGTGGAGTATTATTAAAAGAGATTTGCCCTTAATTATTTAAAGTACAAAACGTTTTATGAGGGTCTCCTACCTTAGTGATGTTAATGATAACCCAGGACTTAAAAACTTTCCTGTTGAGTTTAACATTAAGATAAGTCTTAAAGAAAAATACTTGCCAGTTACAGGAACAAAACAACAGGGTAGGGGAAAACAAAAATGAAAATCTGTGTCCTATATACAAACCGCTGGATGATCTTTGCCTAGGGTCTTTTCACGAATAGCCAAGGCATCATTCAGTAGGTTTGCTGCATCTTTGTATTTATTCTGGTCCCTATATTAGGAAAGAGCCATGATCAACACGCCCTATTCATAAATGGATCATTTAAGCATTTGGACATTAAAATCAACAACAAAAGCAAGAACCAGCTTCAGAATCCTGGTAAACTTTATGTATTAGCATTAAACCCAGACTCAGCGGTGAGTTGTATAATTATTTCATTATATACCCCAATGTAATAATAATAGAAATAAAATGCACAATAAATGTAATGAGCTTGAATTATCCCGAAACCATCTCCCCTGCAACTCTGGTCTATGGAAAAATTGCCTTCCACAAAACTGGTCCCTGGTGCCAAAAAAGGTTGGGGACCGCTGCTTTACAACAACACAGGTAGGGCATTGTTACTTTTAACATAAGTAATCCCTTCAAAATAAATCAAGATTTTATTAGACTGTAATTGCATGGATGTATGGCAATTCCTCTGACAGGGTTGAAAACCCAACTGATTTTTTTCATTCAGTCCTCTGGATTTTGTTCCCTTCCAACTGCTGGCATTTGTACTGGTTGAGTCAGTGCACAGATTTCTTTTTTTTTAATGCTGGCAATTTACACATATTTTGGCTTTGAAATGTCTGCTGTCAAGTGCAGTAGGTACCACCCATTAACATTTACCAAGAGATGTTGCAAGTAGATTAATGTGCTACTTTGCATAGGTGAAGGAAGATACTTGTATTGAGAGTGAGTGACAAGATTTTCCATGCTCCTGAAAAAAGGATGGCTCACGTTTTTCTGAGCAACTAGTGATGGGAAAGCGCAGAAAAGGTGCAGCAGACTGAGAAAAATCAGTTCCAGACAAATAACCTTGTCATACAGGAGATGATACACATGCTACCCACTTGCACAAACAAAGATTTTCTTGCAGCATTTCTTTAACTGGTGAGTTCACCCTTTGACAGCTGTCAAGTAAGCAGAAATTAACACATTAACTTATTTGCAGGATTTCCATGTGGAGATCTACTGCATTTGACAGCAGACACTTCACAGGACATTAAGCAACAAGTCTTTTCATTTCAGACCCTCCTAAGGATATAGGTGCACACTTGCAAAAGACTGATTTTTTAAAAATAGCACAAATTATAATTTGCACCAATGAAACCAACCCAGGAAAAAATGTTCATAATGTTCCCAGAATCCTATCCCTTCCCCAACCCCAATGAAAACCAAACCAGAGCATGGTCCTCTACCATTTGCCAGAATGAAAATGCTGCAAGATTCCATTGCATTAAATGAAACAGAATTCCCAGCATCACACATCCCCTTTCATAATATCAAAGGTTCCAGAAAATAATTTAAAAGACTGTTAAAAATACCAACCTGTATACTAATGCAAGTATGTTCAACATTGTGGCAACATCTGGGTGATCATGACCAGAAGTCTTTTCCAAGTCTTCAAGTGCTTGTTTGCAGAGGGGTACAGCAACCTCATATCTACCTTGGGAAGCATACTGAATGACGAGATTATGAAGGGTCCTTAATCTTGCTGGAATCTCATAGCCACCTTGTTGGGCAGCTGCTGCTGCACTGCTGTGTGGCTGTTGAACTGGAAGGGGGAAAATCACAATCTGAACAAGTGCATTACATTCCCACATAATCTGTATGGACAAACTGAACGACCACACATTCCTATGCTTTAACTCAATCAAAACTATGGTTGACTTCAATGGGACTATTATATCTAATGACTCCATCTTTACTTCAGAATATACCACCTTGAATATATTCTGAAACATTATTGTAAGTGCGGTTATTTTTGTTTTATCATAGTTGTTCTTGAAACGGTCTGGGCTTCCAAGGGAATGAGAAAAATCAGCAATTATAAAATTCACCAACTATGGCTATCTCAGCAGGTGTTTCACACCCATCTCACAAGCCAATGGAACTAAGAGTGAGGGGTTCTCTTTTCAACCTCTGACCTGAAGTACAGCTAATTTGTAGCATATTTATCTTCAGAAGTAGGCCCTAACTTCAGCATTTACTTTGAGAGTGACATAAAATTAGTAGTAACTAAGATTACACCAGTGCAGACTTTGTGGCAAAACACAGTTATTGCTAACTAGGAAAGTTACAGCCTTTCCAACTCTGAACTATCCACACTGAAGTGAGGCTATTTTCAGTCATAAGTATCTACAAGTCAGACCCCATAGTTGTCCACAGTTTGTTTTGTTCAAGTTGGTGGGTGTGTGCTACACATACTACTAATGGTAAACAACAGCCTAGGAGTTGCCCTCAACACAGTAACAGAAAAAGACAAGACTTTAATTTTACTTACTTCCTTGCCCTTGGTCATCTTCATCATTGGGGAATAAATCATCCAGTGGTTCTTTGGCAGAATCTGTGTCTTTATCCTCCTAAGTAAGCCACCAGATAATCAGACTGTTACTATAATATGGCTGTGTATATCATGCACACCCACATTGCAAAGAACACTTGCAGTACTTTCCCCACTTCACTTGTGAAACCAACACTAATAATTGTTACCAACTGAACAGTCTTTGAAAGGTTAAGCAAAAACCTTTTTATTCAAGCAAGCCTTTCGCACATGAGTGGGTCTGTTCATTTTGATGTTATTTTTATTCTGTCATTGCTGTGTTTAATTCTACTTTAATGTTTCTCTTTTATTACTGTTTTAATCAAATTACTTATGATGGTAAACCACCATGAGTGCAATTTTTCTTGCAGAAAGCCAAGATACAGAATAAGTAAATAAATGTATAACTAGACTTAGAATGTAGGCCTTAGAACTCCTGAACCATAAAGTCTTATTTTTCTTCTGCCGGATATAAACATACTCTTTAGCAATAGTGAAATTGTACTAGAGAGTCGTTATGGCACATTACTCTCCTATTCACGTGCATGTTTATTTTCAGATGAACAATCAAGTGAACGCAGCAGAACCTACTCTCAGGTAAGTGTACATAGGATTGTACTCTTATTGACTATTTAAATGTATCATAGTGAAAATGTGTCTCTCTCCTGCCAACAAAACCAAGATGATTCATCAACTACTTATCTTCCTTTAAAGTGCTGCTGTTTAATGCCAATTTCTCAGAAGACAACAAAGAACTGATGGGTGGAGTTAGTGGGATCACCTGGATATACTGGGATTTTTTCTCTCACTAGGCTCTCTATCTATCACATATTTAGAGTTTGTGTTTACCTGGCTTGGGGGTTCTAGGAATAGGCTTGGAATTTTTCATGTGTACAGTCCTCATTGCCTGAGAGATTTCCTAATTGAGCTGGTAGAAACAGATTCAGATCTAGTGTTGAATACCCTGGCCAAGGCTACTGGAAATTTCAACATCAATGATAAGGCCATTCATAAACTATTTATATATGGCAAGCTGTATATAGAGCAATTAAATTAATTAGTTAAATTTCTTGCTCATAAAGCTCCATACTTTATAGAAACCATGGAACAGTCACAATACGTCTTTTGACTTTGAACCTGCTACAGATTTATATGGGGACTATTCTGGAAGTGATCAAGGTAGCTCTTTCTCATTAAAAGACTTGAAACTTTCTGTTCTGAGGTTCCACCAATACTTACTATGGAAAGATTAAAAATAAGAAGCAGATCTTGAAGCTTGATTAACATATTGGATTCCTGACTAGCTCACCTAATGCTAGTGTGCATTTTACATCTAGCTTTGTGATATGCCTTTAACATTTTAAATTATGTTTTATAGTTTTAACATTTTAAATTATATTTTATAGTTTTAAGTTCGTTTTGGGTATTGAATGGTACATAAATGCAATAGATTAGTAACATGTCATTTATTATGGTACCCTTCAGAACTACCACTGACAGTTATTGCTTTACAGTGGGGTTCTGCCCTTCACAGGCAGCCCCAGAAAGGCGATGCTAATTGTTTTTATTTCTTTATGTATTTTTATTGTGAACTGTTTCAAGGAACAATTTCTTGACTGGGAAACATTACTGGCAACAGAGGAAAACACAGCTCAGCAGCAGAAATATATAATACTTTTCAAATCAGACATCTGAGAGAACAGATTTTAAAATTACATTATTAAAAAGGTTGGGTGAAATGCAATCCCATTCCTGGATATACCAGTATATCATTGTATATCATAATGTTGTGATCTTGCAAGGTCAGTTCTAGACTGCTCCAAAGTAAAGCCAAATATGTATGGTGAAAATTTAGCAAGCTTTACCCTGTCACTATAAATATTAAAAACTTTCCTGGAACCAAGTATTCTAGTAAGCAAGGCTCCCATTATGCCCTACACTCTTTATACATACCTATACACACAAACAATGAAATCTGCTTGAAGAATTACATATATTTACAAGTTAACATAGGTTAGCAAATGGAAGGAAATTAAGGAAAATAAAATGTAGTTTGATGTAGAGCTACTTACTGAAGGTGATATATCATCATCATATTTTTTTAACTGATTCATGAATTCTAGATGCTTCTTTTCTTCCTCTAGCTGAGCCACAGACTGTTCACTCTTTTGTAATTTCTGCTGAGTATTGGCGAGCTCATCCCTTAGCCACTGATTTTCTTGGCATAGCCTGCGAACCTGAGCACGTAGTTTCTGCTTCTCTGATTCTACTGCATTTAAGTGATTCGACAATGCCATCATTACCTAGAAAGCAAAAGAGATTACAAGTGTTATTTCCGCTGAACTCATGATTCTTGACCATATATATATAAAGCAACATCAATCATCTCACTACTTGATAAAATTCAGTTTTCATTCTCAAAATCATGTATCAAAGAAAGGTAGCATTTTAACACAAAGTGAAACAGCTTGCAAAAGCACAATTTTACCTGTGCTTCACTGAGTCCCAGTTCCAGCATTTCCAAAGACTTGCGAATCATATTTGATTTTTCTTCCACCAAGTTGGTCTCATCATCTTTCTTCAAACATTTCAGTGTCTCCAGCAAACTCTGCAAGATGGAATTGTGCTCATTCTTCAGTGCTTCTAATCCCTGAATCACTTGCTTCGTCTTAGATATAATTTCATCTTGAGTGAGCTTCTCCAACTTGTCTTCCTTTAGATACACCATTGTGGACATGTTGTCATACATTCTGGTGAGAAACAAAATATTTTACAGAAGTCTGAGTATTCGAACTTTAATTTAAAGGCTCACAGTGCAAATTGTTTATATATTTAAACAGTACATATTGTAGCTAAGTTCTCAGAGCAGCTCAGTGCAAAAACCTAAAATGTTAAAACACAGTATCATACAAAAGGATAAATAATAAAATATTACTGGCAGCAAAGCCAAAAATCAGTTCAGCAAGAAAAATATATTATCAATTTGATAATCAGAGTACCCAAATATGAAGAGCTCAACAAATCAACACAGAATTGTGTATCTCTTAAATAACTTTTCAGTTGTCAAATGTGAAGCCCATATTGAGTCTCAAATGCTTGAACACTCAGCAAAACTTGCTCAATTTTCTCAAGAACCACAAGCACTAGAAACTTTTTCCTTTAAAGCTTTAGACTTCAGAATTAGAGTGACAATTTGTTTCAGTGTATGAGGATAGCTTTTCTTGAGCTCAGGCTAAAAAACCAACTACCATGTAAATCTCTCTTCTCCCACTGCCACCCACTCCCAGTAACAAAGGAGTGGGCAGCAGTGGGAGTGGAATGTTTGGAGTAGGAATGGGAGTGGAATGTTTGATCTCCCAAGTATCTACATCCCAAGTGATGTAAGCCGCCCCGAGGCTTCGGCGAATGGGGCGGCATAAAAATGTTTTAATAAATAATAAATAAATAAATAAAAGGGTGAGCAATACAGGCAGTCCCTGGGTTACATGCTTCCAAGTTATGAACAACCTGTACTTATGAACAAACTGCCTATTAATTTTGAAACATTACTGCAGAAAATTGTCATCACCATACAGAGAGGAAGCAAAAGGGGAAAGAGGAAGGGCCTCCAAAGCATATCTTCTTCTTCTACCCATCTGGAGAGGGAGATCTGTCTGGCATTTTCTTGCTGCACAGAAAAGACACTGATGAGTTTCGGGGGGGGGGGGCGGGTAAGAGATATTCACAGTTTTTTCACTTTCATGGGGGTCCATGGGGCCATATATAGTCAGCCCCACAAATGTGCAAGGCTGACTATATATGATCCAACTTGCATACAAATCTGACTTAAAAAATCTTTTCTCAGAAGTAAAATTCATTCATAACCCAGGGATTGCTTGTAATATACCAACAAGCGTGTAAATACAACTCTACATACTGACATGGTAATAGCTGTATCTTTCTTCCATACAGCATGTTGCACAAAACCACCATTCCATCTTGCCACTGAAACAGTGCCTAATTTTGCTCCAACACTGCAATGACTAGTTCAGATTTATGTTTTCCAAGACTAAGTGTCATTTATTGTCAGCATATTTAAACTATGTACAAGTCATATATATATTCTGTAATGCCAAGCTCCAGTGATTTTCAGATAGATATTCAGCTGTGGTCTCAACTGGGTATGGCTAGTTGTGGTCACAAGTGGTTCTCCAGACTGCAGATGCTTCCCCTTTCTCCAGTGAAGCAGAATTTGTCCTATTAATATATGGAGAAGGGGAAGTATCAGCAATGTTAGCTAACACAGGAAAAGCCAGTCCTACCTGACCATTTTTCTTAAGTATTCAAAATGGGACAGTTGCTCCTGTCACAGCTATACTTCTTGATCCTATCACTTGATCCTATTCCCCACAGTAGAATTTCTTTCAAAATTGGAGTCAGTCCTCTCAAACCCTGTTGCTGATCTACCAACTAAGTTTATGTAATATTCTAAATCCTTTGTTGTCATTTCAACACTCTTCATAACATCTTCACCAGGAGTAGATTCCATCTCAAGAAACCACTTTTTTTGCTCATCCATAAGAAGCAACTCCTCATCTGTTAAAGTTTTATCATGAGATTGAAGCAATTCAATCACATCTTGAGACCACTTCTAATTCTAGTTCTCTTACTAACATCTGCAGTTACTTTCTCCACTGAAGTCTCGAACTCCTCAAAGTCATCCATGAGAGTTGGAATCAACTTCCTCCAAACTCCTGTTAACGTTGATATTTTGATCTTTTCTCATGAATCATGAATGTTCTTAATGGCCTCTAGAATGGTGAATCCATTGCAGAAGGTTTTCAATTTACTTTGCCCAGATCCATCAGAGGAATCACTTGATATGGGAGGTATAGCTTTATGAAACATATTTCTTAAATAGTAAGACATAAAAGTTGAAATTACTCCTTGAACCATGGGGTAAGGAATGGATGTTAAGTTAGCAGGCATAAAAAACAACATTAATCTTGTACATCTCCATCAGAGCTCTTGGGTGACCAGGTACATTGTCTATGAGCAGTAAGGACTCATTTTTTCTGAGCAGTGGGTCTCAACAGTGGGCTTAAAATATTCAGTAAGCCATATTGTAAACAGGTGTGCTGTCATCCAGGCTTTCTCCCATTTATATAGCACAGGCAGAGTAGATTTAGCCCTAGGATTTTTGGAATGATAAATGAGCGCTGGCTTCAATTTGAAGTCACCAGCTGTAATAGCCTCTAACAAGAGAGTCACCCTGTCCTTTGAAGCATTGAAGCCAGGCACTAACTTCTCTTTAGCTGTGAAAGTCCTAGATGGCATCTTCTTCCAAAATAAGCCTGTTTCATTTACATCAAAATCTGTTGTTTAGTATAGCCACCTTCATTATCTTAGCTAGATCTTCTGGATAACTTGCTGCAGCTTCTGTATCAGCACTTGATACTCCACCTTGCAATTATGTTATGGAGATGGCTTCTTTCCTTAAACCTCATGAACCAACCTCTGCTAACTTCAAACTTTTCTTCTGCAGCTTCCTCAACATTCTGGGCCTTCACAGAATTGAACAGAGTTAGTAGGGCTTTGCTCTGGATTAGGAATTTACTTAAGAGAATGCTGTGGCTGGTTTGATCTGCTATCCAGACCACTAAAACTTTCTCCATATCAGCAAAACTTCATTATTCGTGTGTTCACTGGAGTAGCACTTTTAATTTTCTTCAAGTACTTTTCTTTTACATTCACAACTTGAATGTTTATTCCAAGAGGCCTATCTTTCAGCCTAACTCAGCTTTCAACATGCCTTCCTTACTAAACTTAACCATTTCTAGCTTTTGATTTAAAGTGAGGCACACATGACTCTTCCTTTTATCTGAACACTCAGAGGCTATTGTAGGGTTGTTAATTGGCCTAATTTGAATATTGTTGTGTGTCTGGCCTGAGAAGGAAGGCTCAAGGAGAGGGAGATGGGGTAACAGCTGGTCAGTGGAGCAGTCAGCACACATTTATCGATTAAGTTCACTGTCTTATATGGGCACAGTTTGTGGCACCCCAGAATAATTATAATGGTGACATCAAATATGACTGATCACAGATCACCATAACGAATATAATAATGGTGAAAACTTTAGAAATATTGCAAGAATTACTAATAAGTGACAGAGAGACATGAAGTAAGCAAAATCTGTTGGAAAAATGGCACCGATAGATTTGTTCAATGCAGGATCTCCACAAGCCTTCAATTTGAAAAAATGCAGTATCTGCAAAGTGTAATAAAATGAGGTGTGCCTGTATGCAGGCACTTAGAACAACTGCATGGAATTGTGGGAAAACAGCGTTCACAGTATCAACAGTCTGACTCAAAAAGTCAATAAAATTATACACAAACACTGCAAGGCAGAAGCCTCTATCCCTTCAAGTGACAATTAGCATTAAGACAACTAGCATTAAATGCTTAGGACATTTTTGTGCTTTTGTTTTGTTTTTGGTTGTTGAAATATTCTCTGGCTCTAGGCCTACCTGACTCTTTTTCCTTCAGTGCATTTTCTCTCAAGATGACAAAAGCAAACACTGTGTAAAAACCTCCCTTTTTTGTTCAACTTTATTTGTTGTTGTATTAGCTTGGCAACTACTTCACTGAAGTAGAGGCGTCACTTCATTCAAAGGTGTATAGTGTACATATGTTAATCAGGTAGTCATGGAGTTTTAGCTATAGACTAAAGTAGCACTAAGTTCACATTAGTATCAAGGAAAGTTATACTTTCAATGACAATTCTATGCCTATAAGAAAATCAGTTCCCCTTAGGTCCAGGGTATTGTTGGGGTCTGGAGTCTAAGCAACCCTCTCATAGTATTTCAATGTATTTTATCATGTTGTAAGCCGCCCCGAGGTTTCGGCAAGGGGCGGCATAGAAATGTAATAATAATAATAATAATAACAACAACAACAACAACAACAACAGGCTGGATGAGATTAAACAGCATGTGTCTGCCATAAAGCACCACCCCCATTATCCAGTCGTGCCCTCCTCCAAGTTCCATGCCTGCTTGAAAGGACTTAGTGGGTACTTGGATTGTGACTCCTCCAGGCACCACCTGAGTCCATGATTTGTGGACTGTTTCATAACAGCACATGTGGCCAAATCCTCAGTTATCTTCCATCAGGGACTGAAGATAACTGCAGGCACTTTCTGCTAGTAGAACTAATGATACATAGTGGGATCCTCATGGTCATCTCTCGCCACTAATCAAAGATAATGGGGCAAAGGGATCCCCTCCAGGAGGCAGGGAGCTGTGTGGGTCCAACAGGAAAATTCTGCAGAGCAGAGGATTTCCATTCCTGCCTTAGATGTATTCAACTGCTGCAACAGACTTCCTTTTTAATCAGGGAACTTTACTTGTAATGAAACAGCCACCTTTATGCATTGATACTTCATGAGAAGTATCTAAGCTTTCCATTGGGGGAAAAAGGAGTAAAGTGTGGTAGCATGTGATGTGCTTCTGTTATTACCAGTACATTACATTTTTACCCTTTATTGTTCTTACAAGGAATCTCAACTGGTTTGCAATGCAATCTTCCTGTCCATGTTATCCTCACAATGTTTTATCCTGTGTGCTAGATTAGGCTGAGTGACAATGACTGGCTCAAATACATGTAGTGAGTTTAATAGCTGAGTGAGGACTTGGAACTCAGACCTCCAAGTCTCAGTGCAACAAGTTAACCACTAAGCCACACCAAAGTGCCTCTCAAAAAATAATGGGCATGAGACTGATCTACCTTCATAACACCACAGCTGTAGCAGGACAATCATGTCTTATTTTTAGAATTAATGAGAGCCAAGGAGTAATAAAAAGGTGCTTGTCATTTGAAGCAGAGGCATTTTAGTTTTCTAAACAAGTTTTCATATATTTTAACTTCCTAATTAGACTATGCTTCTTACTCTGAGGAAAGCTACAACCCCATATAATGTCAAGGCTATTTCTAGTACGTAACATGCAAATACTGTTGATCTGATTAATTAACTAGCTGATGTCTATTCAACATATGAGGGCTGCATCCCTCAACAGCCTTTGTCAACTCAGATTTCAATGAGATATCAATGAAACTACTGCAGATTAAATAAACCTACTTTTATATTTATCATTAAAGACAGTTAATCATTGCAAGCAAGTACATGTTCTGTGATCATTACCTACAATGCATGTACAAACCGAACGCTTTTTCTTTCCCATGGAAACTTTCATACTCAAATTTTTGTTTCATTTTGACCATATTGTCTAATGTACTCACACAGCAACCACAGATGATAGAAGGACAGGCTTCAGGCTTGTAAGATCTATTCTGTGAGCTAGAATAACACGCAGACACAAATACCTACCTCTAAGTTACTATAAATAAGTAATTCTAACAGCTAATTTAGACCAAAAATTATCTTTGCTAAACAATGACTGAGAAATCTACCTGCACTTTTTGATCTACCTTCTTCTCACACCAAGTAGATGGAGCACCACCACCATGCTAACCTGGTCACAGAATGGTGCATTCCTGCAAAGCTGCCCAACCATTTTCATTCTGTAGAACACACATGGTCTGCCTATCATCCAGGCAATTTATTCAGTTATTTTATTTATTGCATTTCTGTATCACCCAATAGCTAAAGCACTCTGGGTGATTCACAACAATTAAAAACATGAACACTATAAAATTGTGTGAATTTAAAACTACAGCATGAAACAGAAGTAAAAGTCAAAGTAAAACTAGCAGTAAGAGAAAGATTAAAATAAAATACAGGAGGACTCCCATATCCTTGTGAAATGGTTCTAGGTGCTAACCCAAATCCTGAAACTGCGAATAACAGCAAACACAGAAACCTTTTTCTGAATGCAGACTTTCAGATTCCTTTGACTCAGTCCAGAAATGACTGCTTTTGACAACTGCTTTTGCTACAGCCCTGAAAACTGGACTTAAATAGTATACTATATACATTTCTTTTCCCCCAAATATCATTCATTCTTACATCAGCATACAATTTTTTCTTGCCCTATTAAATCAAATATTTTCACTTACAAGACTTCCTTTGGCACTTTACAACTTCTCCTTTGGGCTGAGGTCAACCATGGTTATCTAAAAATGCAGTAACCAAACTATTGGATATGGGAGTCTTGCTGTAACAGGTTTAAAACAGGAGTTGAAACATTTAAAATGCCTAGGAAAATAGGGAGGCCTTAACCTGGCAACCAAAGAGCACAATTTAGTGCCATGAAGGTCTCTCTGGGAAGCTCATTCCACAATCACAGACCCAAAAGAGAAAAGGCTCTCTTCTTAAAAGGTATCTACCTTACTTCCTTTGGCAGAGGTTCTGGGAGAAGGGCCACTGAGAGCAATTTTAGGGTCCAGACAGGTACATAAAGGAGGAGATAACCCTTCATGTAATCAGGTCCCAATCTCTGTTGAGAGTTCTGAATGTTAATACAAGTATTATAAGCACAGCCCAGACCTGGGCTGGCAGCCAACAGAGATGGTCTAATATGATCACATTGACCAGTACCCATTAACAATCTTGCTGCTCTAATTTGGATCAGCTGGTTTACAGGTTAAATTTAAAGGCAGCTCTGCATATAATGCATTGCAGTAATTCAGAAGGTACAAGAACAGATAACTGTAACTAGGCTTTCTATCCAGATAAGGACATAGTTGGTATATTATACTAAATGGAGGTGGTCCATGCCACCAACTCCACCTATTCTTGGAAATGAAAGAGGCAGACATTTTGGCACACTTTCCATGATCAGGGTGGCACTGACTCTTTGGATGAGGGAGGTGAGGCATGGGAAATGAAGTCTGCAGACATAGAGATGGCAGAAGAGGAAAAGCTTATCTCAAGGCTGCCATCTCCAGGAGTTCAGGCAGACTTTAAGAACCAACAGGGTTTGGAAATGCCAGGAGGGGACATGGAAGAGGAGCAAAAAGAGCCCGCCTCAGTCCCTGACCCTGTGACATGGAATTGGAAGAGAAGGACTAGACAACTAGAGGGCCTGCACAGATCTAGGAGGCTTGCCCATCTCCACAGGGGCACACCAGAGGAATGGAGCCCAGGGTTAATGAAAAGCAGAGTTCTCAGAAATAGTCTCTTGTTTGGGTTCAGTGAACTGCTCTGCGCATACTCAGAGATTCTTCCCTTGTTGGCTAGTAGTTTGCTGGATGTACATTGGAAATAAGGTCCTTTTGCCAAAGAACTGACTGTTGTTTGAGAGAGAAAAAGGGAGCCCAGCTCCCAAGGGAACCCCCTGTGCTCTAATGACAATGCTAGATCCAAAGGCAGCTCTGAACTATAAACCTGATCCTTTAAGGGAGTGATACCTGCTCTGAAACATATTGAATATCATCTTCCAGGCAGGGAAATCACCCATTAATAGTACCATGATGGTTTGAGTCACAATTTATTTGCCTTCGTCCAGTCCATTACTGTGCTCAGGTACAGATTCAGAATAGGTCCACCTATACCTGGATTTGATGAAAAGGAGAGATAGAGTTGGGTGTCATTCTCCTATCAATGACACCTCAGCCCACACCTCTAGAGAATGTGCTCAAGCGGTTTCTTGCAGGTGCTATGAATGTGAATGTGAGATATAATATAGCCCTGTGGAATTCTGTATCACAGCTGCTGAAGCACAGAGCAATAAACCCACAGCACAACTTTGTGGAATCGGCCATCCAAGTAAGAGAAAAACCACTACAGTGCAGTTCCTCCAACTCTGAACACTGACAACCTATGTAGAAGGCTACCATGACTGATGATATAGAAAGCAAGTGGAAGCTCCCCTTGTCCCTCTTCTGCCAACAGGAAGACCAGTGTAGTTTGCATTCCAAAAACATGCCTGTAGCCTGACTGAAATAGATCTAGATAATCCACTTCATTCAAGTATGCTTAGAGAGGACTGGCAACCACCCATAAAAACTTTGATGATGATGTTGGCTACAGGACTGTGGCTGTTAATATCAATCAGGTTCAGGTTAGGCTTTTTCAGGAGTCACCAAATTACTGCCTTAAAAAAAAAAAGTCAATCCTGCTTCCTTTCTCAAGAAACAGTTTTTAACCTCCTGGAACCAGCCTGAGAGCCCTTCCCTATCACTTGTAATAAGCCAAGGGCAATAGTCCATGACAATAAGGGTCAACCAGACCCAACCAAGCAACTCATTCACATCTTCGGGTCTTGAAAACTGAAATTCATCCAATAAAACTGAACTGGACAGTGTTCTGGGCAACTCAACTCATGGAACTGCATTAATTATGGTGTCCAGTTCAAGATGCAACTGAGCAACTTCCTCTTCTAAATGCTGCAAAAACTTGTTGCAGCATTCTACCAAGGTGTCCACCTTTTCTTTCCCTGGTCCAGATTGCAACAGGTCATTAGTCACTCAGAAAAGTTCCTCCATCTGTGTTCTGTCTTCCCTATTGCTCTCAGTTCAGGTGTACACCAAGAAGCTGGCCAGTTCTGCTCAGAAGGAGGGGGAGCTTAGGCACAACTATGTCTACTGCCCCACCCATCTCTTCATTCCGCCAAGTGCCCTCTGAGATGCAGCAGCTACTGACTATAAGATTCTGTAGTATTCGCTAAGCAGCATCTTCACAGGGATTATTTGTGTTCAAAATGAACAAGAACTGGTTCTATTTCTTCTGTTTTGCAACAGCTAGAAGAAGAAATACAATGGAAAGTTTTGATTCACAATATCAAGATATGTGGTCACACCCAGAAGTCTGAAAGAAAAAGAAGAGTTGAGAGACTTGACACATCTTCTAACCTGCAATTTCTGAAAATAAATCCTCACACAAAGCACTGAGTCAAATACACATGACTCATGGACATGGAGGAGGGGGTCTCCAACTGAATTTTGAAAGGTAGGACAGAGATTAACAAAGCTACTGGACTGCCTTTATAAATCTCACACCAAGAACTGAGCACATGGTGTTACAGCAATCCTTCCTGTCAACTACCTGATATACAATATTCCAGTACTAGTTGTGAATTCTGTGTTCTAAAGTACACAATATTCTCCATTCTGCTTATGGAATTCCTTCCTTCAGGAGCCTTGCCTGGTATCCATTCCATCTATTCAAAGCCAGGTAAAGAGTTCTCAAGTTTTTACACTTTGAATCTGTGAAATTGTTCCATATATCCCACCTTTTTTCTTTTAAAGAACTTGAAGTGGCTTACATCATTCTCCTCCTCCTGCTCTCAGTCTTATCCCCACAACAACAACTCTGTAATACAGATTGGGCTGAGAGTCTGTGACTGGCGCAAAGTCACCCAGCTGGCTCCATGGCCAAGCAAGAACTAGAAGTAAGGTTTCGAGTCCCAGTCCCGCATTCTTAACCACTACACCACACTGGCTCTTTAAATATCTGTGTCCAAGGATCTGCAGACATTTTTATTAGAACATTTCTCTCTCACCTTGCTACTGCAAATGCCTACTCAGGGGGGCTTACAACAAGTCAGTCACAAGTTCCTAAAATAGAAACAAGCCAAGAAACAGAGGTAACAGTTAAAATCAACTCATTTTTTTTCTCAAAAAACATAGGCCTGTAGGCACAAACAGGTCTTCAACAACAAGGAAGCAGGGTCCAGCCATATTTGACAGGGCAAGGTGTTTCTCAATCTGCATGTAGCCATGTTAGAAATCTTCTTGTCCTATCTAGCCATTGCTCCAGAACAGGTAGAAAGGCCTCTCCACCAGATTTTATGAACTAGGCAGAACAATAACACTAAGCTGATACTAGCTTTAAAGATCTTGCTCATGTTTAATAGGCTGGTTTCTGAACATGAAGAGTTCCTTTCATATATATTAGCAACAGTGTGCAGTTTATACCATCCACTATTGATTTCTTACCCCATCTATTTTCACTATCAAGAGAATTAACCTACAGAAAAGAGGCAGTATCTAGTTTATATGACTAAGAACAACCCTATGACCCCATCCACATTTAACCATAGTCCCAGGTAAGAATGCACACGATGCAACTGGCTAGTTCAATGGGGCAAAGAGTATGACTCTGTTGACAGAAATGCACATCTCCAACAGTGAACATACACATGTCCATCTACATGAAGCTTTCTTGTGCTGAAGTAGGGAATAAAGAGCATACATCCCAATGAACTCAGTGAGCTGTGTATATATAGTAGAAGCATGCAAATAAGCATGCAAGTTAAAATTGACACACTGTACAGAATCATGAAGCTTTCACACACACACCCACACACTCATACACAATAGATCTAGAGCAGGGTCTCAAACTCAACTTACCTGGGGGCCGCTGGAAGTAGAGTCTGGGTGAGGCTGGGCCGCATGAAGTATTCCACCACCACGGTGGTGGTGAGCCGCTCATCCCACGGCCGGCCCGGGCGCCACCGGCGCTTTGAAGGCCTCAGGGCCCTGCCCTGTGCCCCACCCGTCCCGGCAATTGGCCCACGGGCCGCGAGTTTGAGACCCCTGATCTAGAGATAGCTGTATCAGTCTGTACCAGATTTTTTTCCCAATATAAAACCCAGCCATTTTAGATCATTACCACCAAATATCTCACAGGGTAATCCTATACATTTGTGTTGTTAAATGCTATCAAGTAGGCTTCAACTGATGGCTCTATAAAATGTGCTATCCTTGACAGCCATGCTCAGCTCTTGTAAACAATCCCATGCAAGCCCATTCAGCATTAAACACCACTGTGTTTACTCCCAGATAAATGCTACAGCATTCTACCCTAACTTAGCATTACTAGTAAAGATATTCATGAATATAATTAACATTTATATAATTTAAATATATATAATTCCTGCATACATTATGTGCATTAAAATGTTTAACATAAAATTAAGAGGTTATTACTGTAACTTTTGAGTTAAGTATATTGGCCTTGATTCAACATTGTGGGAGTGCTTGCATAATCTCAGGTTCACCTTCTGTTTAAAATCCAGTCCTTTGAGCAACATTTAAAATTCAGGCTGGTAAAAAAAAAAAAAAAGCCCAATAGCTTTTACAATTTTCTTACTATTAAAAAATTCCTGGGATACAAAATATCCCAAATTTCTGCAAGAACAGTTTTGTGGGGATCTTTTGGACCCCCCACCCCAGGACACCAATTTTGAAGACACTAAAAGTAAACTAACAGCAATGTAAGTTTCTTTTGAACTGGAGCTAAAATCTCTACGGGGAAAAGTTAAACCTATAAAAGAAAAGCATCTTTTATGCTGATTTGAGTTTGTAAGCCAAACTATTCTGACAGTGATTGAAGGTCAAATAAGCACTATTTAATTATTATGTATTGCTGCATGAAAAATTAAGTCTTACATTACCTGTACTAGCTGAATCCTGAAATCTGTCCTTAAGCTGATTCAAACTTCCTGGGGGAAACATTTGGCCAAACCAAGGCCTTTTATATATAGCATTTGCCCGAGATAGTTTTGTCTGGGGTTACCAAGTCACCGCAAATATTAATGCTAGGTTTCAGACTGATGTAGGGTGAAGGCTAGATACGGGCATTTTCTCAGATTTTCTAGTAGCTAACATTATTTTACAGGTTCATACCCAAATACAAATATTACTGCCAGATGTACTGCTTTAATGCTTTTATTAGAATTTGAATGTTCTTTGTGATTTTTTTTTCATTTGTCTGCCTGGCTAAAGTTTATTAGCTTTTTGAAAAAATGAGATTTTACACAGGTTTTTCAATTAGGCCAACTTCAGTGGTTAATGACATTTATGATTATCTGCCCCAGATAAATTATCATCTATTGACTTCTGTCCATTCTCCCAGAATAATGGAACAGCAGTGTAATATAAAGGAAAATTTCCAAATTATTCAACTAATTTTGATTTGGATAAAAAATATTACATAAGTGCTGTTGCAAATTTGAAGATGTCTGTATCTCAGCAGTAGTTAAGTTTTAACTCAGCAGTATTTTTGCAGACTTGTAGAAGAATTTTTTTTTTTTTTACATCCTGAAAGCACTTTCCCTATAATTAACCTTAGTGTATTTTAAAGCACATGGCTGAGGAATGCAGGGTGTTGTAGTATTTTTTTGTCTAAACATGTACAGGATTGCACTTTTAGTAATTTGAGGCAATATGCATATTTTGACCCTAATTCACAATTTCCCTTTAACCTTATGCATTGTTCAGGTACTTCATGTTGATATTTTCCAGAACTTATGATAAATAAAAATGCCAGAAATTGCTTATTTTACCCAGGGTATTACAAAAATTTGAGTAAAAATGTACAGAATAGTCTTCATAGCATTTATAGACACACATTTCAAGAATTCAAAAGGGCTCTAAATAAAATTGGTAAGCTAAACCAGCATTATCTTGGTGTTACCAATGGAAGCTGAAGCCAAGAGAGCAGATGCTTGCCTCAGGTCCAAGTTCATGGTAGCAGTAGCAATTAAACCAGAAACATGTCATAGCACAATTCTAACAACTTCAATAACCTCAATTTTTAGGTTGTTACAATTTCAATTTTAAGTTGAAAAGACATACTGTATTTAATCTGTGAAGAGAAAAGGCTATTTTTCAAGCAAAATTAGAACATAGTACCTGTGGTAGGAAATATCTTTTCCAAGATACCACTGTCATTGTAACAATGACTACTGCTGATTAGAGATGTTTGCAAAAACTATGTCTTATTTCCCATTTAATTTCTTCTCTGAAAATGAAACCCATCATGTTACTACTTTTAAATTAATATATTTTACATGTCCTTCAGCAACAATGCATGGGAAATTCAGTGTGGTAAGAAAGACTAACTTCCTTCGGGAACTTAATTTCCTATTATGCTTGACATGAAAACCTATAAACAAGACAACCCCATTAAAAATAAGTAAATTCCATTTAATGAAGGTGCTAAACATTTCAGCTAAATTATCACTTTAAGAAAAATGTCACATATGTGTGTATACACACCCACACACACACACTTTTCAGGGCAGTTTTCGATAGCTCTATGAAACAAATTTGATTCATATGGTAAACTGATTATTTTGACTATTAAAATAACCCTAAATATATAGGAATCTTGTTGCCACAATAGCAGAGTTATATAGCAAGGATGTATAGTGAGAACTCAAAATGTATTCTAAGCTAATTGTGCCTCATAGGCATATCATAAAGGTGGAGACTGAAGAGTAACTGCACTAATCCTCATGCCCAAAGGGAATTTAGTCTGCAGTAAAATGCCAGAGACTGCATTAGAGGGTATAGTGAAACATCCCAAGGGCACTCAACTCAACCAGAGAAACCAATAAAGCACAAAGGGAAAAAGGTAGGTGAGGCTTTTGTCAGACCCATATGGAAAACTCCTCAAACATAAAGCTAACAGCAATTGTCCTCTTATTTTTTAAAAATGCATGCATCGCTTTATCCCAACTTTCATATTATAAAACCCTTCCTGTTAATGTTCCGATATTATGCTCTTGTTAAATATTTAAAGTTTTCCTTTGAGGTTGCAAATGCTATTATTATTAGTCGTATGCCAATGACCTAGATTTCTCTTTAAATCTGTCCATTCCAAAGCATTTTTGCTGTTCACTCTGCCTTAATAAGGAAGCAGGAGATTGTGAAGCATTAAAATGTTTCTCAATTACTTTCCAGTTTCCTTAATTTTAGTATGCCACTATACAATATGCATTTTAAACAGGTATATGATCTATCTCTCAATAACTGTACATATCAGTTTTATTCCCATATTTACAGGAACACAGGTAAACTAATACAACATGATACAAAAGTGTTATTGAAAAAATTGACCACTTAAAATGTTGGGCTTCCAAGCATTTCTAAATTAGTCTGTATTGTTGCTTCTCAGTTCTAGGATTCAAGTCTGAAATCATCTCAGAACAGTTTCCTGTTTAGCAATATGCTTACTGTAACATAGTTATTGCTGGCTTACAGCACATTCTGGCTATACCTAATACATCTGCTTTAACTTCACTGCTTATGAATGCAGGATTTATTACTCTACAGCATATAAATCCAACAGCTGTAACATCTTTAGTCAAGATGTGCAAGCTAATTTTGACATTACAAAAAGACTGGCTTCCAAATGAAAATGTTAATTAAGAAGTTAAACTATTTTTTGACATTTGAAATTAATAAACTTTAGGAAAATTAGAACACAATTCTACCTTCTCTTTAATGAGTAAGTGGTTCACATGCTTTTTTTTGTTATTTAGCTTACGAGGACATATTAATTCCATTTATAACGTAATCTTGTGCATGACTAAACTCAGTGGGTATTACTCATATGAGGTTACTTTCAGGTAAATGGTATAATATTGCAGTCTTAAATTTGTTTTTATTTCATTTGACTATCGTACACATATATGTGAATTGCAACACCAGGTAAGAAATATTTAAGTTTGGAGACAAAAATAAGATAAACTTCTATTTTCTTTTTAAATATTTCTATCCAGACTATGCTTCTAATTAATAAATGAAGGCTGGTCCTATATGTCTGCAACAAAAATACTCTGGGAAGGGCCCTTAACACATATACAGTAATAGTCCAAAACTGACTGTGCATTTCTATATGTAATTTGGCCTCCGGAACAAATAACATATTAATGAAATAAAAAATGAATTGAACCATTGCAATCAAAGCTATCCAGTTTACACACACCATTACACATTAAGTTTGCTTCAAAACATTTTCACTCACCAAAATGCAATAAGCTGTTAAAAACCCTGGAAAGAAAGAAACTAGGCCGATGACTCTTCCTTTACCATCTGAAAACACTCAAAAATGGGAAGAGTACTACTCCCATCTTCCTTCCTTATTTCAAGAGAAAAGAAAGTCGTGCAAGCCAAAAATATTTATCCACCCCGTAATTAAAATTGCAACAAAGAGAACAGGGGCAAGGAATATCCCCTACTCTGAATATTGTCAGACCCCAACCCACAACTGTACAATAAGCCGGAAGGGACAGAAGTCATGAGGAAACAGGTTTGGGTGGATGCAAAAGAAACACATCTCCTCCATAAAGAGTGAGTTCTTCCTCTCCTGCATCCTTTTCCTAAGAGTAGCGTTGCTCACTTGCTCCTTATGACAGATGCACGTTTGAACTTGCTGTTGTCATCAGGGACCAACGCTGGGCCTTAGCAAGAGCCTGGCTCTGCCTTTTGTTCTGGATGAGTAATTGGCGATGGGGAAAAGGGGACTCGGCAACAGAGAAGGCACACACGCTCAACAGAAGAGCTGCAACCCAGCTGCTGTCAACCTCGTGTTATACCTTCCTTCGCCAACCTCCGTCCGCTTTCGCCTCCTTCGCTCCATCTTGAGCGGCGCCACCTCAGCTTGGCCATCCCCTCCTCCATCAACCACCCATTGCCCATCCACACCCACCCACCAGAACCCGGCCTTCTCTCAAAGGCTTCCCAGCCGCTCCCGGCCTTTGCACCCCTCATTCCTCTTCTCACCCGCCCGGATCCAGCCGTGCGCCCCAAAATACAGCCCCCTCCCCAAACCGAGGCTGCGTGCGCAGGCACAAGCCCCCTCCTATAGTGGGCGACTTTCCTCACAACACCCAGAGCTGCCAGTGACCCTTCGTCAGTCAGTCAATCGGTCTTTCTGAGGAGCGGCAAGGCCCCCAGCATCATCGCGGCGGGCGGGGGGGGGGGTGAAGAAGCAGGAAAGACTATGATGGGAGGACGAACAGCGATGCCCGGAGAGAGACGGAGGCCACAAGCAAAACTCACCCCAGCTATGCCCGCTCCGCCCTGGCCGGAACAGCCGGCTGCCACTCGCGGCGGGACAGAGGCCGGAGTCCGCAGAGCCAGCGCCGCTGCTGCCGAGATGCCGGCCGCTACAGCCCGAGCGGTAGTCGGCCAACCCTGACAGAGCGGCCGTAGCCCCGCCCCTCACCGAAAATGGCGGCCCCTCCCGGCCCACAACCCCGCGCGCGCGCGCAAGCATGAGGTCACCGCTGTCGTGTGCGCAAAGAGGAAAGGGAGCGTTCTCGAAAGGCGCATGCGCAACCCTAAGCGGCTTTTGAGGGGAATTTAGTATGTATTTATTTATTAGATTTATATCCAGCCTTTCTTCTTATAAGCCAAAAAGTCTGGCTTGTTTTAAGATTAAAAGACCGCCTTTTTAAAATGAAAAACAAGTACAGGGCGGTTGGCAGGTTAATCCTATGTGAGTTTACACAAAAGAGAGGCATACAACTTGCTGGAGAGTTCAGGGAATTGTAGGCCTTTTTTCTGAGTAAGCATATGTTGGATTTGGGCCTAAAAGGATTAACCATTAAAACGTATATATTAAGGCAAAGTATAGCTTGAATAGATGACTGTTTAAACTAAATTACTGCCAAGCAAAAACCCAAAACATATGCCTGAGCAGCTTCAAAGTTTTTCAATCATTCTCTTCAATAAGAAGTACAATCTTGGCCTGGAAAAGAAGTGCCAACTTAGAGTTTCGTCTTGGAAACACAAATTGATGACCTTGTTGTTGTTGCTAGTCACGAAGTAGTGTCCGACCCATCGCGACCCCATGGACAACATTCCTCCAGGCCTTCCTGTCCTCCACCATCCCCTGGAGTCCACTTAAGCTCACACCAACTGCTTCAGTGACTCCATCGAACCACCTCATTCTCTGCTGTCCCCTTCTTTTGCCCTCAATCGTTCCCAGCATTAGGGGTTCTCCAGGGAGTCCTTCCTTCTCATTAGGTGGCCAAAATATTTGAGTTTCATCTTCAGTATCTGGCCTTCTAAAGAGCAGTCAGGGTTGATCTCCTCTAGGACTGACCGGTTGGATCACCTTGCAGTCCAAGGGACTCGCAGGAGTCTCCTCCAGCACCACAATTTAAAGGCCTAAATTCTTTGGCGCTCAGCCTTCCTTATGGTCCAGCTTTCACAGCCATACATTGCAACTGGGAAAACCATAGCCTTGACTATACACACTTTTGTCAGCAGGGTGATGTCTGTGCTTTTTAGTATGCTGTCTAGATTTGCCATAGCTTTCCGCTCTAGGAGCAAGTGTCTTAATTTCTTGGCTGCAGTCCCTGTCTGTAGTAATCTTGGAGCCCAGGAAAATAAAATCTGTCACTACCTCAATTTCTTCCCCATCTATTTGCCAGGAAGTGAGAGGACTGGATGCCATGATTTTAGTTTTCTTAATGTTGAATTTCAAGCCAACTTTTGCACACTCCTCTTTCACCCGCATCAAGAGGCTCTTTAATTCCTCTTCACTTTCTGCCATTAGAGTGGTATTATCTGCATATCTGAGGTTGTTATTTCAAAAGGAGTACAGATATTACAGAGTACCTGCAAGAACATACCAGATCACTCCTAGCCAATGTTCACTTTATTTGGGGTGGGGCTGGCAGATTAAAGAACCTGAAGCGGCAATGCTATGGTTGTTTAAACAGAAAAAATCCTACAACTCTCAACATTCCCCAGCCAGTTTAAATGGGCACAGGCTAGCACCTTAAGACTATAAATTATGTATAAATAAGGACTTTAAAAATTAAAATTTAATGCATAAATATATGCAGATAGTATCCACCTGCTGCATGTTCTCTGAATAAGTTGCACTTGCTGCTAGTAAAGAAAAACCTGAACACTTATTTCTGAAACATCCCTGGCCAGTGGTGCTCCCTTCTGCAAACTCCACTGCCTCTTTCTATTCTGAATATGTCTGCTCATTTCCAATGTATTGGGAAACACTAGTTTCCCATTATGCTATGGTTGTGTTGTGTTGAAACATAGCATTCGATACTGCTCTGGATAACCAAATGTCTGAATATCATTAACTGTATAATCCAATCCATAAATTGATTCCTAAATTAGCCCTACTGGAAAAGAATGCCATTGACTAAGCTGAAATGCAAGTAACTAAACAATTGCACATTTTTCACATTTAATGCATGCCTCCATTCCTTGTACTATTTCCATGAGCCTGTTTCTCTATGCACATAGATAGCTCTTTGGAAAGAAGCATCCCTGCTTATACTGAACACAAATATATGTCAGCACAGTTGATTTACAGCAGAATAGCTTCTGTGCTTGCATCACAGTGCCAGCTGGAGGAGAAAAACTTGTATATGTATTGTATCTTCTTCTATGAGGAAAAGTTGAAGGGGCTGGGTATGTTGAGCCTAGAAAACAGCCGATTAAAAGGCCATATATGATAGCCATCTACAACTGTTTGAAAGGGTGTCACATAGATAATGGAGTAATTTAAATCTATTTTTATTTTATTTATGATTCAAAGGATAGGAAATAAAGCATTAAAATTACAAGAAAAGGAGTTTTAACTAGACTTAAGAGCTTCCTGGCTATCCATAGTTTTTCATGATCCATGCAGTCAAAGGCTTCACTGTCATCTATAAAACATAGACTTTTTTTCTGAAAAAGTTGGGTATGCTCCAATAGTCAATGCAAATATGTACTATGATCTCAAGCACCTCTACTAGTCTTCTTAGGGCTTGGACTGATGCGGTCTCTACAGATAGGAATAGTTCTACTAGTATCCTATCTGTTCTGGGTGCTTTATTCTTTCCAAGTGTTTCAGAGCAGCTTCCACTTTGCTTTCAGATACTGCATTCTCATAATCTTATATGATTACTATTTAAAGAAGTCTGTCATCCTCTTATCTCTTTTCTATAGTTCTTCTCTATATTGTTTATGCCCTTTTAGTTTACCCTGATCGGATAGCATGTTCGCTTGTTTGTCTTTCAGCATTCTTAATCTAGGTTTGAATTTCTCTTTGATTTCTTGAATCTTCTGGAAGAACTTTCTTGTTTTTCCTCTTTTGTTGTTCTCTTCTATTTCTTTGCACTGGCCATTGTAATAGTTCTTTTTGTCTCTATATGATGGTTGCTAAAAAGTTGCTTTTAGGATTTTGGCCTTATTTCTGTCACATTTGCTTCTACTTCTTGCCCGTCCTTAGCAATTGTGCATCTCCTGGTAGTTCTGGAAAAATTCCTATCTGAAACCCTAGAGATCTGCTGCCAGTCAGTGTCAGCAATATTGGCTTAAATGGGCCAATCCTCTGATTCAGCGCAAGGCAGCATCTTACGTTTGTGACAGACTGTACAGCCAATACCAGGCCAAATGGTCTTTGAGGCCCCATCTCACTCTGTGATCCTATGCTCATTGTCTGCTTGGATCTGCTTGCTGTTGCCTGAGTCTGCCCATGTCATCTGGTATGTTATCCATTGGGTGCTTGCATCTGCCAATTTAATCTGGTATCCACCTGGTGCCTGTTTTGTGTGACCTTATCTCCCATTTAGCATCTGGTCAGTGTTGACTAGTGTGTGCTCATATCGTATCTGTCCAGTGTCTACTCACACCACCACATATCTACTCATGTGAACATCATAAGCTGATCTAGCATTCCATTAATTTACTAAAAAAAATTAAGATGGTAAGAAGCAGCACTTCTTGCAGGACCAGGATATTGCTATAATTGGTATGTGTAGGGAGAATAATCAGGTCAAGGCTATCCAGCTAGAGAGCTTAAAGAAATTAAAATTCAGGGAGGAACTATGAGCAATGTATGTATAAATATTTGCCTATTCCTTGCTCCCTTCTTTGCAACAACAGCAGTTCCCTACTCTAAGAGGAGATGCAGGAGATGATATAGTGATTAAGATTTGTTCTAGCAGACACTTCTGTTTCCCAGCTGAAGATCTAAATGTGGTTAGAGTACATCCTTTCTCAAAATGGCCTTATGATGGTTGAAAACAGATTGTGATGGTGGCACAGCTCCAAGACCAACAACATGTCTGTGTATATCCATGTGTTTGTGAGGGTGGCAGCTTCTGAGCTGCAAACTTAGCATGTATAACCACATCTTGGGTAAGAGAATTTATCCTTGGTAACGTACTCCTGTTCGGTGAACCTTATGAACTAACTTGACACAGTGGAAATGTTTGGGGTGCTAATGGTTGCTGCTTATGTGGGACCCATGAGGATTAATAAAAATAAGCTTGAATCTCTTTCCTTAGAACTGTAGTTAATAGAGAACAATACAGCAGTTGCTTACATAAAGCAAAATGAGTACTTAATCTATTTCAAACCAGAACAATGCAATTTACAGTCTGAGTTCAAAAGGGGGGGAAAAAGTATGATTCTTGCTTGAAGACTTTGCAATCAGCCAGTTCAAACATTCCTCAAGTTCACCAAGGTGCTGAATATTCCACAGTTGCAAATCTGAAGAGTTCAGTCCTAGTGATGCTGCCCTCAATGATCAGAAACCCCGCTTTCCAATCATTCGGTGCCAGGCAGGAAGAGCTGCAGAAGTGATCTTTGCTTATCTGTCCTCCAGCCCAGCAGTTTTCATTAGGAAGGCTTTTTTGCCTGTCTAGTTGGCCTTCAGAAAGGGAAGGAAGGAAGCTAGAGAGGCCTCAGGATAGCTCATATCCTGGCTTTTCCAGTCCTCTTCCCAGCTACTTAATGTCCCTTTTTTCCACAGAGGCTGATTATTTGATCATAGGGGGCAGCCAGCACAGGTCTTTCTCCAACTCTCTTTCTGAACTTGGAGCATTGTCTCTCACCTCAGAGGGAGGAATCCAAACAATCCTTCGATGATGTGTAGGGGTCACAGGATTTTCCTTCCTATTAGAGTTTTTCTTGCTTTGAAGTAAGTCCAGTTGGATAGGATTTACTTCTGAGAAGATAAGCATAAATTTGCACTATGAATCCCAAGGACAACAGCAGCAGTAACTGATAAATTGTGGCCTGAACAATATAGCATTGCAATGCAAGAATAACAATACCAGATAAATACAAGCCTTGATTCTCCTTTCCCTTGCTAATTCAGTATGCACTTAACAGAGTCTCATACAGAGTTGTTAGAGCTCAAAAATACTCTTCAGCACCTCCCAGCAGCACA